AAAAGTTGGCACGTGCAGAGTTGGCTAATTAGAAAAAAAAGTGTGCTGCACGTGCAAAGTTGTTTTTTTGCTAATTAGATCTATTGTTGTTGTTTTTAGCGTTTTCGTTGCTTTCAACTTGTCTTTAGTATTCATCGATTTTATATTTTCTTTGAGGAACCATAAATATTAAAGAGAGCTTCGCTTTTAGCCCTGGCTAAATCTATATATTATTGTTGTTATTATTATGATTCGTAGTAGTCGTAGTAGTAGTATTATTGAGAGTCAATTTAGAATTGTCGGACTTTGACTTAGATATTGAAAATGGATACGCTGAATATTCCTTAAGGCTTTGAAAACCCTATTTTATTTTCTTCTTTTTTAGTACTTTTCTTAGTAAGAATGCGTTTACTTTTGAAAATAGTTTTTCAAAAAAAATCGAAATGAATGGTTTCTAACCAAATTTAAGTGTTTTTTAATCGGAAGGAATTTTAAATAGTGTTTTTGACCATAATAGTTATTAAGAGATTTTTAAGCGATGTATTAATTGTTAATAGGTTTTTAATAGTTGGCTTAATCGATGAAATTATTATTTGTTATTAAAAATATTATCATCATCATTATTATTATTATTATTGTTGTTGTTGTTGTTGTTGTTGTTATTGTTGTCATTTCGTAAGCTTTTATACTTCTTCGTACTTCGCTTGAATTCTGAGATACAGGCTACTATACTGTGTCTATACTATCTATGGCTGTAGAGGTTTTTTTCTTTTCGAAATGTGTGTATTCATGCTTCTTGGCAAACAAATCACGTGAATCTCTTAATTAAAAACTACCACTTGTTTTAGTTAGCTGTTAAAATTTATGTAACAGTCGACCTATACGGGTGAAAGGTTTACTGTTTATCAGGGGCACCCAACGAGAATATAGTTCAAAACCACTTCAACATGCATACCATTGTTAAACGTATTTTATTATTTAAACGGTAGATATAGGCATATTTTTACCCCCTAAAAATTTTTTATCTGTTCGGATTTCCTAGCTGAAGGTCTAGTGATCCGAAAATTATAGGGATAAAAACTTACCTTTTCGAAAATTTCAGCCAGAAAAAAGGCTCCCGAAAATTCTAGGTGACCTTTTAAGGGTAAAAATCCGTTAAAAATGGGCAATTATACCATTTTTAGATGTTCGAAAATCCTAGGAGAGGCAGGCAAGCAAGAAGTTTTACAACAAATGTTCCGAAAATTCTAGATCTCAAATCGTCTTCCGAACAGATATTTTCCGAAAATTGTCCCTGTGTTTATGCCGAATGCACATGAACGGCACGAGGACTACTAGTATCACTAGGAATCGACTCTTGATCAAACTTAAGATCGTAAAACAAACAAAATCACAATCAAAGCTATCTGTTTAAACGAATAACACTGTCTTGTTGATATCCTGTCTGCAATGATCAGCTTACCAACCACCCCTACCCTTCCCTAGTACCCCCGGGGGGGTACTGCAATATATGGGCTATATAGGTATGTGCCGTTGTGAAGCAAGCAGTTTACTCTAGGACAGGGTATATAAATCAGAGCGTTTGAGTGTTGAATAGGGTATCATTTTTCAGGAAACTGATCAGTTGGTTGAAGATTTTATCTAGACTAGGGGCTGTGGTATAAGGTTTTGTTATGACTAGACTGTGCTAGTGACCTCAGTAGTTTCTAGTGGAAAACAGCTACTCTAGGATAGGCTGGTGTGTGTGGTTTAGCCAACAGGAGGATACAAAATATGATGATTTGTATATTCAAATGTCTCCATTTTGGTAAATATCCGTGCTATTTAAAACAACTGATCAAGTTAAGATCTACTGGGTTCCAGGGTCCCTAATGTTTTAGCACTTCCTAAGCCGTCTACAACCACATATGGTCTAAATTCCTTTAGCTATTCATCTGTTAAGTACTGGAATTCTCTACCTGATCACTTTAGAAAGACTGTAGATTATAGTGAATTTAAGCGCAAATTGTTAGTGCACGGTTTTAGTTAATACTACATTAATTAATATTATATTATATATGTTGTAACTTTTAACACTAGTTACGATCGGAGATACGCATGATTCGATTTTTCCTTGCATTGTTTCTCATGTCACGCAACAGCTTTTTTCGTCTTTCTTTCTTGCTTTGAATAGAATAGAACTGGCATTCTCTTAATCGACAGCTCTTAGTAACAACATCTACAACTAATTTTACTTGACAAGGTGGGATGCCCCTCCTGGTTTGCCCCTAGGCGCGGCCTTTTCTCAGAATGTTGTTGTTGTTAATGTGACTTCCGGCTGACGTACTTTGATACTGCCCAACCAGCCGTAGCTGATCTATATCGGGTTGTTTATGCAGGATTGGCCCTCAAACTGTTCATTTCAATCGTTGAGTGATGGAGAACGCTCGATATATATTTTTGTGAGACTTCGACTGTTTGTGGGGGAGAAATTTCCTTTTACAGTATGATGTGATGGCATTCCCTTGCGATCTACACACTGTTAAGATATCTCTGCTACTGGTCTTCTCTTGTGGAGGTAAGTATTAAAAACAGTAAAGCTGAAGTAATGTTGAGACATGAACGGGAAATTTTAGTTCAATAAGCTTTCTTTGCTCAGTAGCGCTTAGTTTTAAACATTCAGAACAAAGTCGGCATGACCCCTGTCCATTTGCAGAACTTAGGTTATTGTAAATTTCTGGACGTAGGTTTTGACTTTACATTACAGACATTAAATGAATTCATCATCTTCAATTGAGAAAGCGTATTATTTAAAATTAGTGCGTTAAGCTATCATGAGACTTTTTTAAAACAGGTAAATTAAATTCATAACTTGTAAGTTTAAGGCGCGACTGCTTCGTCATGACATGTTACGGTTGTATGCGTTGACATGATAATTATTGTTTGAATGCCTTTTTTGACGCTTGGGGAGCAAGTATTTGGAACAGGTGTCAAGTGGTTAAATTCGTCTCTATAAATATACATGTACAACCTAATAGATAATAACTCTTGGCGTTAAACTTGCCCAAACTTTGCTTTAATTCTTACTCAAAGTTCATTGTTATTTTTATTCGGAAATTTTTGTCCACATGCCGAGACATGTCTATACAGTAAGAAAGCAAAATTAAAAAGTAACGCAGTGGCATTTTAATACTGACTAATGTTTAAGCTTAATTTGATTCTTTTCTGGCCATCAAGCATTTCCCTGTTTCAAACTCAACCCAAGTTTACAGAACTCATGTTGTTCACACCTATCTATTATTACTAGACAGCTAGTGTGACCTCATGTGCCTGTCATGGTGTCACACCCAACTCAGTATTTTCACATGAAGGACATGAAGGTTAACAAAACTGCTACCGAGTCAGTCGTATGATTTTTACAGTAACTGAGTGATTTCTAGGCAAACTGACTGGTAAAAAAGAACTATGGTCTATATTAATTAATACTGTCATGGATGCAGCATTTCCAAAACTAGAAGAAACTTCACTGGAAATGGAAATAAATTTTAAAAATTTTCAATGTTATTAACAACAACAACAACAACAGTTGATTCAATTGTCAAATGAGTAAGGTCTGTGTTACCCACAATTAGCGGAGCTATTCTAGATGGGCAACAATACAATCATTTTGAAATAATTGTCTTCTATAAAGTCAGCAAAAGAACGTAAGTAAAGAGAAAGCAAAGATAAAATGAAATGAATAAATAAAAGGTAGCTCCTATAGTTATAAGGAAGGAAAAACACTTTAACTGAATAAGGAGTTCAGGTAGGAACTAGGTACTTTATTGCATTAAATTAACAATAGATCAGACAACTATAGGTCATTTTTGAGTTGTCCCAAGCCTCTATTTTTAAAGAGAAGCAAATTGTGAAGCCATTGAAAAAAAAAAAACATTCTTATGCAAACAAAACTAATTTTCAAAATAAAGGCTATGTTTTGCGCTTAGCCTCGTTTTAAAGTGAGAATTTTTGGAACTCAGAGATGGTCTATGTATGATCCATGGTGTACAGTATACTCTTATGGAATGTGACGTCAAAATTGTTCAAACTCAAGGCTGTTGAATTTTGAGCCACAGGCAACTGGTTTCAGACCACTACAAAATTGTAGCATAAGATTGGTCATGTAAAATTGAACCCCAAAAAAGTTAAGGGCATGCTGTTATTAGTCAGTATACCTATGACTGAGGGTGCAGAATGCTGATGAAACACTTGTGCTCAGTATAATAATTGATTGTATTAAATTTGCACTTTAGCAGAATTTCTTGTACCTCATTGTTTGTGAAGGATTTTATTTACCATATTGTATGTAGTCAATAGAGACCTTTAGATTGCAGGATGAGGGGGACTATTGCTACAAGGAAGAGATTTGATTTAAAGTTTTCTTGTATATTGGGTTTTTCATGGCTGGGCTCTAGCAGGGGTGGGCAACTAGAAAATCTTATACTTTCTTTATTTAAATCATATGCTAGGCACCCTGGATTTCACAGCTACAAAGAGGGACAAAAGTGTTGAGGCACTATAAAATGGCCCCATTTTGAACAGTGGACATACCTATCCCCTCCCCCTTTGTACCCCCACTCCCTCCTCCCAGACTCAATGTATTTTAGACCCTCAAGTCTTTCTTTTACTACTAACAACATTGAGTCAGGGGTGGGGGATTTACAGCATTGAAATAGAATGAAATATATGAATGAATTTGTTGATAAAAGCACCCATTTTAGACAAGTGTACGTGTCAACTACTTTTGTCCCTGATTGTAGGTCCAGATCACTGGGCTCCCTTTAATTTTTCTTAGAGAACAGCCTTTCTCAAAACATCATCAGGATGATCTGGTAGCTGGGACACCCTGGAAAAATTCATCTTGCTTTTTTTGACCAAAATAGTTGACCCGGTTATTTCATTTAAGGACGTTAAGCCAAAAGCACAAAAGGTATTTTGTACAATTATAAAAGCTCCACTTTTACTGAAACAAATACGTTGCTGATTAACTATTATTATTAATAATGTTTTCAGGAGTGATTCAGGTTGAGCCAGCTGACGTCAGAATAATCAGTCCTACAGAAAATCAGATCATCAGATTCAGAAACCAGTCAGTCTTGTTTAACTGTACAAGTTCAAGTCGGGGAAAGTTTGACTGGCTCAGAAACAACAATGTAATTCCCAATATAACTCAAAAGGATTCTTCTCACTGGTCAAGTTTTGAACTAAAAAGTTTCAGTCCACAAGATGAAGGAGTGTATATGTGCATCAATGATGCAGGGACAGATTCAGTGAAAGTATACCTTGCTTGTATGTAATACATGTTTAATTGTTTTGTTCATTGTGATTTACTTTTGATGCATTGGAGCAGGAGCTTAATTGGGATACTCAGGGACCAAACGACTGTTTTCTGTGAAATATCTATATCTTTCGAAAGACAAATTGCCTAGAAATCTCTAAAAGTTTAGAAAGGCTAAAAATGTTTAGATGACCGTTCCAGTCACTCAATCATTCCATGTCACGTACGCTTAATTCCAAAACTGCTTCACATGCAAGCAAAAATTGTCTAAGGAAGGACAATTACAGATCACAAATAAGTAAAAAATTGAATCATGTTTAACGAAAAAAGTCTTTACTCTACTGTCCGTTGACGTAAAGAAGGTGAAAAATGTTAAATCTTTTAAAAAGAAGTTCTATACAAATTTAATCACTAAGCAAAGAGAGACAGGAAATTTTGAACAACTTTTGAATAGTTAAGCAGCCTTTCCAAGTAAAATTTTCATTTTATTTTTATTTGTCTTAGTTAATAGTTTTTTAATAGTTAAAATTTTTAAATAAGACTCTAGATAGGTTGTAAATACTATTTTTGTTTGTTTTTTAAATTGTCTATTAGTGTTAATTTTTATCTCAGTTTTATATTGACAGTGTAAAATTATATTAATGTTTGATTTTATGCTTTGTGGATCGAGAGCCACAAGTTCATGATCAGTTTTATCATAACTGTCACTGTTTACCCTCTTTAAATAGAGGCGTTACCTTACCTTACTGCATGTGCTTTCAACTTACAACTTATACATTGAAGGTGGTTCCTTCTAAGAAGTTTAATTTACAAATGGTATTATTTGATGGAACCAAACCAACTGTGGACTTTCACACATGCTAGACATATATACCCCACTGATGAATGGTTACAACATTGAGATATTTGTAGGCTATTCCAGGCGCCAATATAGTAGTGAAGTAACCCAGTATTAAATGATGCGAAAAACGAGCGGGTGCTGGGGAGAGTCTCTTTTTTTTCCCGCCAACGCCCCCTCCCCCAGAGAGATATTTGCAGTAGCAACAATTGCTCATATTCTTTCAATCGATCGTTTATCCTCATTCATTCAGTTGTTTGTTGATCATTCGGACAGCAATACCCACAGTGAAGCAAACTGGAAAAGTAAATATCCCATTTACTAAAGATGAAGATGCGAAGGTCGGGTGTGAAGCTCGGGGATGGCCAAGACCAGAGATCACGTGGTTAAGGGGCAACCGAAACATAAGTGATATAAACCAGCAGTACCATGAATATCTTGTGAATCCAATGCCACGACAGGATGACAGGGTTGTTGCCTCGGAGTTAATAATACTTGGTATCCAGAAAGAGGATAGCGGAATCTACACATGTAAAGCAACAAATGCACTCAAAGTTGTTACAAAGAATATAATGGTCCCATTTAGCGGTAGGTAATCTAAGTACATCGACCCCATCCCTGTGCACAGCTATCCAAAGTATTTTCCCACAAGCAGACTGTAGTCAAACCTCTACTACTTCTCCCAGGGGCCCGTTTCTCGAAAGTCCCGACAATTAACGGACCCGGTAAGCTGTCTCCGTTTACATTAAAGATCGAGGTTTCAATAGTTTTGCATCTAACACGATAAAACTGTCAGTTAATGAAACAAAACGCAGTAGTTTGCTTGCCAGGACCCGCGTTCTTGTTCTTTATATTTCGATTTGAATATTTGATTTCGGGTCCGTAAATTTACTGGGACTTTCGAGAAACGGGCCCCAGAATCCTTCTCGGGTTTGCTTTCTTGTGCAAATTTAGGCTTTTGTCATTGAAACCTCACTAGGATTACCAAATTTGAATATGGAAAAAAAAACGAAAAGGATTCTGGTCGTAGGAGTAAAATGACGCCATCGTGCAAATGGCCTATACCTTGCTAAGAGTATGCGACAAACTATTAAGGGACGCCATTGAACTACACATATCGTAAGATGACTGAAATGCTTGATATGGCTCTCCATCAAAGAACGTCTTCATTTTAATAACGTATTACTAACTTTCAAATGCCTTAAAAATTTGGCACCTCAATTTATGTGCAAAATTATAAAAAAAATGCAGGTACACAGCCGTTCAACCAGAAACAGTACGGATATAACAGACGTCCTCATCTTTTTTCTTTTTCTTGTTTTTTAATGTATAGACCCAGGAGGCTTTAAACCCACAGTGACTGCAGAGAAAGGACAATATACTGTGGAAGTTGGCAAAGATGTATCCCTTTCTTGTCTTGGTGATCAAGTAAAGCGCGATCCATTTACTTGGATTTATTGGGAATTCAATGCGACAAAGATTAATACTTCAACTCACCACTACAATGATTCCAAAAAATATTCCAACCCAAATGATGGAACTACACCTAAAGTTCATATGAAGCTTACAATCTTCAACGCTGATCATTCGGATGAAGGAAACTACACCTGTGTTGTTTTTTCATACCAGACACGTTATAGTGATGGAATTTCACTTCAGGTCAGAGCTAAAAAAGGTATGAAGAAGATAGGTACAACAACTTATAATCTCTCCTTTGGCCTGCCGCTCACGCGTGACTTCTCGCGACCCTCCTCCCCAAACAGACAGCTTCCTCGCAGGCTAATCGTCCTGGGACCAGTTGCACATATTTCAGCATCGGACGTGGCGAATAACGACTCTCTTTTTAGTCTAGTTAAACTCATAATTTTAACAACCAGGGCTGAGTTGCTCAAAGCATGGTTAGCTTTAACCATTGGTTAAGCAGTATCAAAACCAATACGTTGTCAAGGTATTAAACGCTGGTTAACGCTAACCATGCTTCGAGCAACTGGGCCCAGATCGTTATGTTCTATGCTGCTGACCCCTAGAGCCTCCATCTCTCTCCTGAGGAACTGGGTCAAAGCGTATTGCAGGCTATTTATTGATTCACGCTTCCGCGCTATAAAGCTCTAAGCCAATGAAAGAAGAGAAGGATTTCCGACTGAAGAAGATCATTGGCGGTTGGCGAAGAATCAAGTGAAGACAGTTAAACCCATTCTTCGGATAGCTGTTAATTTTTTTCATCCGAGACATTAGAATCTTGCGAAAAAAGTAATTCCAGTATCTGAAAATAGGCCGTGAGTCTAACACGCTGTGATGCTTATTTGACCGTAGATTGAGGTTCCCAGTTGATGGGCTTTTTTGTATTATTTATTGATTTATTTCTCTTCTTAACAAGGGGTAGGCGGGTAGAGGAAAATGTTATTATTGTCTTGTGCACTGCTTTTATTAAGTTTATAGACGTGTTTGGAGACACAAGGCTAAGAATGAGTGAATTTGCAGTAGGCGACTTTTAAACCCGTGATGACACAGTCTTTTCCCATCCGTAGGCACTTGGCCCTGGTTTGGTTATAGGAGTGGCGCTGAGGGTTTGAAACCCCTATTTATAACCCAACCCTTCTAAGACAAAAGAGTATACTAAAATACCTATACCCTGCATGGGACAATAACCCCTGTTTTAGAACTTTGTTTAGTAGAGAGGGCAAAAGAAACGCTATGTTGCTACTTTGTGAAACATTGAGACCCTGGTAATGACGGTCTTGCACCTAAAACTGGATACGAAATTCATACCCTGCCCAGCGGCATCTTGTTTAGGCCAAAAAAGGAATCCATGATCATGTATTACATATTTCTAGAAGGCTGGAAGATTTGCTTTTTATCAGTCATAATTTCGTGTTTTCCATGCTTCCCGTTGCCATTTCTTCCCTTGAAATTAAGAGCTGCCATTTTGTTCCCGCACTATTAACAGAAATTACACGCCAACGGTACTGCTTTATCGCGAGCGACCTGCTCATCGTTAGACCTTATTCATATGCTATTTTGCGTCTTACAAATAATAAATTATTTAATTAATTAATTAATCAATTAATTATTATTTTTATTAATAATTAATTAAATTATTATTATTAATTATTAAATTATCATTACGATATGCCCACGTCACTAGTCAAACCAATCATTGGTTTGTGTTTGTCGTATAGATTTGACGGATAGGTTTTAGTCGTGTCGTAGACTCAGTCTAAGCGCATTGCATGCGAAAAAGTTATGACTTAAGTATTGTGTTGATATAGTATTGCGTTTCATTCACAGGAAACGGTGGAGGAAACGGTGAAGGATTGGAAGCCTGGCTGATAGGTGTTCTTGCTGTTGTGGCGTTTCTTTTGATTTTATTACTGATACTCGTCATTGTAAAGAGGCGGCGAAAAATACGAGAAAAGAGATTGGCCAGACTTGCTCAGAAATGTGAGTGATTTAATAACTTAATTCATACTAGCCTGTTCCAGGCGTTCAGATAGTGGGGAGCGGTGCGAAGTAAAAAGGAGCGCGAAAAAATAAAAGCGAGGGAGGGGGAGAGGTGAGCACCTCTCTCCCCAGTCACCCTCTACTTTTCATCGCTTTCTTTACTTCGCACCGCTCTCCACTATCTAAACGCTTGGAACAGGCTAAATTCATACATCCTCGGAGACTTAGGCGTAGCTAGTCGAGACGACGGGATTATCGCTGAACGAGAGGCCTTGTTAACTTTCGCCCATGAGAATCCTGTCGTTCTTTTTTAAAATCCCGTTGTTTCTACTAACTGCCCTGGGCCTCCAAGAATACAATTAATCTAAATAAACAATGAAAGTGCATTGTTGCATTGTTGTAACTTGCACAGTTACATTGTTTGGCAAACTGATAAATCACGCAAGTTGGGTTAACGTCGAAGGGGACAGTTGAGCAAGAAGGCTACAAAGCAGATCTGAGACTCTTGATTCGAAACTGAGCTCAGTGTAGCACCAACCATTTGAGCCCTTCCTTTGCTCCTCCTACAGAAGAAATTTGGGTACAATCGAAGTTTTCATTAATGACTGATGGAAACTCTAGTAAGCAGACAATTCTTACGTTCTCCTTGACAAAACTCCGTTTGAACTCCAATACAAACTTTGTTTTCAACTGCACTTTCCTGTGAGCGGCTGTGCGCGGAGACTCGGCTCAAGGATATGATCTAGCCTCACATGCACAGCCTTCCATCTTCTTCAACACTTTAAGCCCCAATATCAACATACAAATTCTCCAAACTAAACACAATACATTTATTTAAGAATTAGTTTAGAGAATTTGATAAAAGATCAAGGTATTTTCTCTTTGGTGATCATTTTATTAATTCTTGCAACCAAATCTCTTGACAATCTATGGATATCCTCAGGAGAAAATTGATGTTGATCACTATTGGGACTGAAAGGGTTAAGGCTTTGTTCACACTATATCGGATAGCCTTTCTTACCGACACTAAAAGTTATCTTGTATCGTGTGAACAGCAGTCGCACAGAACTGGAAAAAGTTAATCACACACATCGAACATCGCGCCGGAGAAGTTGGCCGAGAGGGTTTGGTGAACCAATTCCTAGTCCTGACTCCTAAATATTTACTTCCGTCTCAGTGGGTTCCAGTCCTCCTTCCTAGTTATTCACTTCCGCAAAGGTGCGATTTCCTGTTCACATTGTAGCAAGGTGTGGTACGGAACCTATTCGATAATGTGACGCAGTTTCGTTTCGGTACAGAAATCGCGCCGAAATCATTGTTCGTGTGTGTGAACAAAGCCCTTTTCTGGTATGGTTTTCATGTCGGTGCAAAAGCTTTCTGGTGTATGGTGAACATAGCCTTATAAACCTTGCCTCGTTTAGTCGTGATCAGTATCTCATTGGAATAAAGAAATCGAACTGTATTGGGGTATTTTTCCTCACTATTACTAGTAACCTGAGATCAGGCCCAATTTAGCAGCTTCCATACTTTCTCTCTTACGTAGTCGCGCTAAAATTGAGCTCGATACAAAATCTCTCACGCCTTTGCTGCTGCCGCCAGATTTTGGTTGCAAGGCTGATTGGTCGTAAGAACAATGCTAGACGATCAGATACCCTGTTGGAATCACCGGAAGTTGAAAGCACTAAAATGCTTTCTCTCTTTCTCGGTGATCCGCCGTGATCAGAGAAGAAGAGAATTTTTCTTTATCTTTTGGAAGGTTTGCGGTTTCTGGAAATGAAACTTAACTTAACGACTGCTTTTTTGGATTCGTTTTGAAAGTTACGAATTGATGTGAATGGACTGAATGGATTGCGGATAGGTTTGAAGGGTTTCGAGTAGAATTTGTTTGAAGAAAAAACCGTACCTAAAGCTTTCCAGAAAAAGGGAATATACCTAGCAAATTAAGGGTACAAGTAACAGAACCGTCAATATTTCAACTGGCTTCATGGGGCAATGATTTGAGTAAGGCTGCATTCATTATGCAGGGGAAGGGGGGTTGGGGATTCGTCAGCGAATTTTAAACTGGTGACACTTTTTTCAAGTTGTGTAATACTATGTGAGCCATCAAGCACTTTATGACATTCCAATGATGAAAGTCCTGTAAAGAGCCTATTTATAATGCAAATAAGCTAGGATGGTCAAGGATGGTCTTTTTTTAAAAAAAATCCACAAAATAATGCTTCCTTTTTAAGTAAGTGGAGAAAAAACAACCCCTCCTCCCCCCCTTCGTCTGTCAAAAATTTTGGTAAACCCTCCTTGTCCCTTTCCAAAAACTTTGAGATCCCCCCCCCAAAAAAAAATCCTGTTTTGTTTCTTATTTTGGTATACTTTAATAGGCTTTTTTAAATCTTGATAGTCTTGATATTATTTATATTGTACATTCTCGGTGTCATTTGCTTCAAAGACACTCAAGATACTGTACCATACATACGGTTACCCGTAAGCTTATATTTTTTTTATGTAGGACAAAATGTTGAGCTTACCAAGGACCTTAAAAGTCAGTCTGTTTATGCTTTAAGATTTTTCAGTTGACGATTAATGTCAGTTCTAAAGCATTGAACAAATGTACCACAATTTGCTGCGAAGAAAATAAACTTAAAATAGATTGTGAAACTGATGTGAGGTTCCGTAATCGTCTTGGAAATCTTGAATAAAGTCCTCGGCGATGTCCACCAAAATCGGACATTCAGGACAGTTTTATGAGCATTTGAAACAGAAGAATCCACGGTATCATTTGCTTCGCCAAGATTCAGACTGGTTATAAACAAAAAAAATAGTGCCTCGTTTACTAACTAATGTTTAACAAAGTCTTTTTTATTATGACGATTCCTATGATGATAACGTATACATGGCGATAACATAAACCTTTCGTTTCGCCTTTCCCGACAGAAATTTCATTCGTGAAGCAAAATGAAAATAGAGCCTTAACTCAGGTTACACTATTAGCTATTACGTTTCTGTATATAGCTAGTAGAGATCAGTCTTAGTCACTTACTTTTTTCTTCTTCCCGTGGGTGGTAACCGCTGACAGGAGTTTAAACCGTTCTTTATGTTATTTTAACAGATGGGCAAGACACTAACTATCATACTTTCGAAAAAGACGTGTTTATCTCATACAGTTCCAAAGACTACGATTGGGTACAGGAGTTTCTCCTACCAGTGTTTAATAACAACAACGTCAACTATACCATCCATTCGCGAGATTTTAAACCAGGCAAAGCATTTCTTGACAACATGGCTGATAGCGTGTACACAAGTCGAAAAGTGATTCTTGTCATGTCCGCAAACTACCTTTCCAGTGGTTTCTGTAAGGACGAAATGCATATGGCGCTGTACAGATCAGCAGAACTTGATGATGCGTCACTGATTCTGGTCAAGATCGACAACACCAAAATCAAAGACATACCAAAGAGTCTTCGACACAAGACTTTCATTGACTTCACCAGTAGAGAGGAAGTGGCCACGTGGCAGAACAGGATTCTTGAAAGCGTTGTCTCTGAAGACAGGTCAGCTTTGAGTGGGACTCGCAATGAATACACAGATGGTACAGGGTCCTCTGATAAGCTTCAGCTCATTTTTAAATTTTTTAGCTTAAAAAAGAAGAAGAAAAAGAACACTCCTGAGGAACTTACAGATCAGGCATAAGGATTTCAGTGTCTGTTCTTAATTATAACTTTTTCAGTGACGTTGGCTGGAGTTGGCTTGATTCTTAGTTTTTTGCAATCAGTGCGATAAATGAACTTTAAGCTCACGGCCGCGCATGCCTTTTTCTCTAATATTATTTTAAGGAGCAGTTTTTTTGCTATGAGGATTGAAGGCTGCCTTCACTAATAGGATTATTTTTCACACCTATGGGTTGCAGCCAAGTCACCAAGCTCTGCTCTGGACTTGTGTCTTTCCGGCTGTATCAGTTCCGCTCTTAAGTTTCCGTTTTATTTCCCTTTTCTTGGCGGACCCTCCTCCCGGGTCCAGAAAAACATGGAATAACCTTTTAAGTCATACTTCTAACGTTAAAAAAATTTTACATTACTGAATTCCGCCAGATCTCTGAGTCAGTATAATGTTCCTGTGACTGGCAAGGAACTTTTGTGCACTGGACTCCCTCAGTGATTATTGTGTCTTTTAGTAGGTTTGCTGCTCCGAGTCCGTGGGATGTACTTCCGTCCAGAAGTGGCGCGCACAGGTTGCGCTTTAGACTACTAAGAATTACCTGTTTAAGCAAGCTATTCTATAGGTTTTTTGGGCGACTCAAAACTTTTAAGGTGTGCGCAACAGACATTATATTGTTTCAAATCTGCCGACAGTTCTAGAAATGGCTATGCTCTTTTTCTTGCGTTTTGCGGTTTTGAATCTCTTAACAGTTATCATTTCAATTGAACCTTTAGCATTTCCGCCAAAGTTTCTTGTCAAATCAGTGTAACGAAAGATTAAGCCTAAGTGACGCTAAAAATTTGTAGAACGCATACTTTTCAACTGAAGTTAGTTTATCATCGAGGTGTAATTTCTAAAAGCGAAGCATCATGATAGTCATTGACTAAGGGTTTGCATTATTTGAAACGGCCAAATAGTTGTCTTTATTTGTCCTTGGTCTGTACCTAATCTTTTCTTCTAATTTAAAAATGGTGTATTTTTCTTATTTTATTATTATTATTTAAAATAACACATGCATCAGCAAAAACATCATGTCTGTGGCCTTTAAGGTAATTAGGAAGTCTAAGAATCTAATTGTCTTCTAATAAATTTATATAACAAGGATTTGTCTTGTTGCTTGCCGCGGTCCTCTCCTCGCTTTCTGTCTGCGAGGTTGATTGTCGCATCACTTTCTTCCTTTTGGCGCCTGTCTTCTCCTTCCGTTTTCCCCATTTCTGGGTTATCGAGCTGGGGAATTATCTAATATGTGGTAGCGTGATAAAAATAAAAACAGCGGGGATTTAAATGACCACTAGCGCAAGGGGATAGGGGTGGGGGAAGAAGAAAATAGAAGCAATGACTGCGCACGGGCTATCTATGTGGCGCCCCAAGGGGTATGGTGTTTGAAACATTTTGGACGGAAAGGGACAAAAAGGTTTTAAAAATTAAACTGGGTGTGAATAATTGAAAAATTATCTCACACGCGGAGTGTTCGGTCAAGTGTTTGAAAAGATGCTTCGCTTGCTTTTTACATGTTAACCGTCTCGGGATTTCAAAGGGAAATTTCATATACCAAGTACCAAGAGAGAATAACTATTCTTTCTTGCATTTACTTCACTTCCATCGTCTTACAAATAGAAAAAAATTGTTATCGTGAAATCCGCGACCAACGCGTGGAGCGCACAAAACCAATCGAGTAAAAGAGCGCGTCTTTCATATGAGCTGCTTTGACCGGTTTAACGAAACTGAACCGTTATGATGAAACAAAAGCAAGTGTTCAGCTCATTTCTTTAGCTATTTGACAACGCTTTATAGAAAGTATGTATTGAGAGAAATTGTTTGGCCATCCATCGCATGCAGTCAGATTATTCTAAGGGGATCATGAAAAAAGTTGCACGCGAATAAATTCTTTGTTACGCGTTGCCCGCCTTCGATAGGCTCTTTGCGGGACTTGATCACGTGATCAACTTTCGGTAAACACGAAAACAGTTCATTTTTGAAAAATTTTGTTAGCACAAGCTGAAAGAGCATATTAAAATTAGGTAACCGGAGCATTTTCAGCCGTATATCTCAAAAGTAGCGATTGCAACGGCCGCCGAAAGTTGGAAGCATTTGTATGAGAAAAACAACTTCTGCCATCCAGTCACGCTTGCATGGTTTTGCATACAAATCCCACAGGTAGCCCAAGCTCACTCATAGTGAGCTTGGGCTACCTGTGACAAATCCTTGTAATTTCGAGGCGTTATCTTTCGCAAGAGTTTAAAATCCACATGGGTCTTCGTTTTAGTCCAGGGAGTCTTCTTTTCAGTCCAAAGGGCCTTCATTTTAGTCCAAGGGGTCTTCGTTTTAGTTCAGGGGGTCTTCGTTTTAGTCCAAGGGGTCTTGGTTTTAGTTCAGGGGGTCTTCGATTTAGTCCATGGGGTCTTCGTTTTAGTCCCAGGGTCTTCGTTTTAGAAACACCCAAATAGCTTCTTTGTTAACTGTTCATTATAAACAACCCCAGAGCCCTTTGTTTATCTTTGTCTAAATGCCACATAACTGGAAGCCAAGTAAAGACGTCAGGATGAGAACATGTTCTTGCAAAACAAGCCGGCCACAGAGCCTTTCCTTTCACAGCCCAATTCGTACTGTTAAAATAAAAATTATCAGAGGGCCTCCGGATATATCTAAGCATGATTTAAGCATTAATTAAGCGGAAGAAAATGTAGCTTGGAAAGAGTACTTGCCCTATCATCCTTACACAAAAATTGCCTTCTACATGTAGCCCAAAACTTAAGATAATCATAAGCCATGTGTAGTGCCATCAGCTGTGCTCTAATGAAATAAAGGCTTGTAACAGAAAATTATCTTGACCTTAGTATAGCAAAGGAGGTGTACTTTCAGGAGAAAATACAGTAAATAAAAAGCACATCGTAATAAACGTATTACGTACATATCATTTCTGTAATGTACTGAATGTAGTCCTTGAGCTTGATTTGCTCTGTTACTGTAGTACTGACGAATATCCATTAGACAGACTCAGGCATACAAGTATCGATTGCTCGATTTCACCTCCTTTCAGTTTCCACGGACACTACGGTCGACACCCGGGTCGATAGATGCCAGAGACAAAGTTTAGCGCACAACGAAGGCAAACTTTCTTTGTCAAGGCTCATGGTTCTAGTAGAAACTTCTCAGATATTACCTTCAATTCTCCTCTTCTTTGCTACTGCATATTGCATTCAGTTCCTAACGAAAAAGGATCCCTTCGTGATCGACGTAAATCACAGACGGGTTCAAGAGGGCAGTACACTCTTTTTTTTTTTAATAAGAATGTTGTTTTTCCGGCCCAGGCTGAATATTCTTATTTTTCTGCCGATTTTAGGCTGAAAATATTCTTGTATTATTCTTAAATTATAGCTTATGACATTTCCGTTTCAGAATTTATTGGCGTATATCAGGATGTACCGTTCATCGAACTGTCATTAGCGTTGAACATTTTGCTATAGCTAGTGCAGGTTTTTTCGTTTTGTTGGCTAGTTTCGCCGTTCAGAGAAAGGAATAATTTTATACGGTTAAGTTAAAAACATAAAATTGTATTGTATTTACAGATGTTTTTTAAAATATTCTTAAAATTTCGCAAATTTCACCCTCGATATTCTTATAAAATATATTCTTATCAAAAAAGAGTGTATTCGCATTTCCTTTGTTTACACGGGACCCCCTCTTCGTCCACAGCAAGTGAACGACGTTTTCGACCCAGTCCTTGTCAAGGTGCAGTTCGTCGTCGTCGTCGCATTCGCAGTAAATTTTATTTTTTAAAAAATTTGCTCTGCGCATTCAATTCAAGTCAGCCAATGAAAAATTCGTATTTTCCATTGCGTTACAAATTAAGCCGAGTGGTTCTAAGGGCGCAGGAAGCGCTGTTACGCAATTCTTGGTTTGCAACCACGTGACAAGGTGGCCCCGTTGGTAGGTCAACACAATAAAATTTCTCGAAGAATTTTCATGAAAATGGAGTTTCGTTCCCGGAGGAGAGAAGTGCTTTTGTTCTTGACCACCGGCACCAACATGGTCGCCGTGAACGTTAGCCTTGAATAAACGAAGCGCAATTGCGGAATACCGCCCCCGACAGCCGACCAGCCTGGACAACAGATCACAATCATTGCAGTGCTTTGTAGGTATTTCTTCCCGTGTTTACTATTCGTTTAACTCCAGTCCTTACCTTTGCGTTACCAGTTCCTTTTTCTATATTTTTTGCGTCGGACGCAGTTGTCACTCGAGGCCTCTTGATCGATTTCGGCCCCGATTAAAAACACTGCAGTTCATCACTAAGCCTAAGCCATCAGGGAAGAGTTTTAAAGCACAGGCGGCCCAAACTCATTACATGAACGCGGACGTGACTCTTGCTAGCAAGCGGTGTTGTGTTACAAACGGTTATTTACAAAGGCTTGTATGGGATCGATCGGTTTTTCTTAAAAGAGATAAAAAATGTTATGTTTTTAAATAAAATCGACGTACCTTATTGCCTTGTTGTATTCTTTGTTGTTTGCCCGCGTCTCAGGCCGTTTTGAAGCGTTTTCGGCGAGTTAGCGCTATTTTGGTGTCCCACTGCTAAAAGAAAGACAAGGCAGAACAGTGATTCCCGGAGTGTCCGTCGCTCGAGGCGAATAATTCCACTGGAAAATTGCCCCCGGTCTCAATTCCTTCAGAAATTCAAAGCAGAGATGTTGCAGTTCCACGTCCATTCACTCGATTCGCAATTCCTCCCACACATCGTTCACTAGCGATGCTTTCATCTCTTGCTCGATCGGCTTCCCGATTTCAAAATAGGCTCGTCCAAACTGCCGTGGGCCCGTTCACCGATCGCATAGTATGTCGGGTAACTAAAATAAGCCCGGTGAGGGTAGCCAGCGGGGCTAACGGTTTGTTTGTTTGTCGACTGTGGGCCGCTGTCTACCCGTGCCGGGCTTATTTTAGTTACCGGACATACTATGCGATCGGTGAATGGGTCCACGGCAGTTTGGACGAGCCTATTTTGAAATCGGAAAGCCGATCGAGCAAGAGATGAAAGCATCGCTAGTGAACGATGTGTGGGAGGAATTGCGAATCGAGTGAATGGACATGGAACTGCAACATCTCTGCTTTGAATTTCTGAAGGAATTGAGACCGGGGGTAATTTTCCAGTGGAATTATTCGCCTCGAGCGACGGACACTCCGGGAATCACTGTTCTGCCTTGTCTTTCTTTTAGCAGTGGGACACCAAAATAGCGCTAACTCGCCGAAAACACTTCAAAACGGCCTGAGACGCGGGCAAACAACAAAGAATACAACAAGGCAATAAGGTACGTCGATTTTATTTAAAAACATAACATTTTTTATCTCTTTTAAGAAAAACCGATCGATCCCATACAAGCCTTTGTAAATAACCGTTTGTAACATAACACCGCTCACAAGCAAGAGTCACGTCCGCGTTCATGTAATGAGCTTGGGCGGCCTGTGTTTAAAGGTAGCCGTCTTATCATTTTTTTTCCCTGTTACTTCCCGTAAATTTATGAGCTGAAAATTAACTGCAAAAGACCGCAAACGAATATGCTGCAAAACGTAACTAGGATCTATAGAGGAACTGATCATCAAACCTCTACCAGCGAAAAATATTGAAATCTGCAAAGCTGAGCTTTGCAGCTGGATTTCAATGTGTTTCATCATTAGCTGGATGGCTTCAAGGTCAACTTCTGGCTTCGTGTTGCATACATGTACAAGTTGAGTTGAGTTGAGTTTATTATTTCCCATAATATTATACAGTACATACGGTGTGTTACAATGTAATAAATTTGGGAGGAAGACTAAAGAAACCCTTACGGGCTTTTACAAATAGTCTCCCTGAAGTATTCGCTGTCACGCGTCCACAGTTGCTTGTATTTTGTTTGTCAGTTTTTTCCTTTAGTATAAGCCTTTAATTAATTATTTCGTATTCGTGGTTTATTCGAATTTGATGCAGATTTAATCGTGGCTGACCTTTTATTAGTCCCGCGGGGCTTCCATGTCTTAATACTGATTCATCAGGTGAAATGGCTATTCATTGTTCTCGCGACATTTTACAGTCGCAGGGGCGTAGCGTGGGATTTTGAAGACGTACGCACGAGAATAAATTTTTCCTAAGCGCCGAAGGCGCTTACAACTAGGGGGGTCCGGGGGCATGCTCCCCCAGAAAATTTTGAAATTTAGGGTCTCGGAAATGCCATCTCCTGGTTTTTCTGCGGGGCATTTTCAATATATAATGCGCCAAAAATGCAGTAGAAAGTTGTTTATTTTAACCATTTCCCTAGTGTTTTCTGTAAGCTACAGTGTTCCGAAGAGAAAAAAAAAAATACAAAAACATTGAAGACAGGTCACAAGCAAAGGGCGAGGCGTCGACCCTTAAGACGGGCAAACTCCGTTACCAACCTGTCAATATCCACGTTCTTATGTTTATGTATATGAAGGATTGCTAGGGAGCTTAATCTTTCGTCCGTCATTGTACTTCGCAGAGGAGATTTTAGTCTCTTTAATTTTAAGCTACTGAAGCTACGTTCGGCAGTGCATGTAGACACAGGATAAGTTAACAATGTTACGAGAGCAACATATACACCGGGATAAAATTGGGAGTTTGCGTGGTCAAGAGTCTCAGCCAAAGTCTGCGGCGTCACATTCGGATCCATGCCACTCCATTTGTGCTTCCATCTTATGACTTCGGTTTTAAACTCATCCTCAGAATTTATGCCTACGTACCTTCAGCTTCTTCTGCACGTTGTTCAGTTGTCTTGTTAATTACGTTGAAGTAATCGTGTATCGATTTTCGAGCCATATGTCTGTACTCTGTGTCACGAAACACACGAAAACACTACAGAAGCCAGTGATCACGCTCCTAAAGTCGCAGAAATATTCATAGGATTTTCTAACAGTTTCTTCGGAAAATCAATCACTGGGGCTTCACTGTTTGACCTCACAAGTATATTCCTGATCTCCGTTGACGGCAATTACGTTTTGTTCTGAAGCCACACGTCATGGCATAGTAACCTCTCCTTCAAGAATACCTGCGGGGCTGGGGAAACTGGTGAGGCTGGCTGACCTTGAGGGAGGGGTACGTGAGGCGTTTTTTTGCTTACCACTCAAATGCAGTTTGGCATTATTAGTGGCCAGCACTGAATGATTAATGCTTGGATAATGGGAATTCTTATAAAAAACGCCAGTATAATGTGAAAATATGAAATTTCTAGCCAAATTTAATGAGAAAAAATTTTTTCTCAAATCTCAGCTGTACGCACGGGCGTACGTGCGTATATGGACGCTACGCCCCTGAGTCGGTAAAAGTTTCTGGATATGTGTTTATCCCTGCCCTCATTGTTTCAATTGTTATTCTAAAATGCTCAACAGGACCAACAGAAGTCTATACCATGAAGGCTCTGTAGTACTCCTCATCTTGAAGTAGGCGGATTATAACAAAAAAGACGAATCTCTTCATTGTTTTCCCTTTTGTGTGGCCAGATCACAGATTTTATACGCTTTTAAATTACTTCATACCAGGAGCAAAGTACTGTTAACCTAGAACTAATTGCAAAAGAAGAAATTCCGACTGTTTTAGATTCAGAAAACTATCCTTAATATTATAGTGTCTGGTCGTTCTAGCCCCGGGGGCGGGGGGTACTCCCGCGAACTTTGGATAGGAGTGTGCCGTGAAGGCATTAAGAGGATCAGAGACCTTTCCGAGACCCTTGTTTCAGCATGGAAACGAGGCTTATTAAAAGAACGATAAAGAGGGGGGTGAATAGGGGTCAGTGCAAATCCGCCGATCCGTTATGATTTATTAACCAAATCCGCCGTTAAATTTTCTCCCTGAATCCGAAATCCGGGCAAAAATATTTGTATTACATGCAAAGTCCAAAATCCGGGCCAAAAAAATATATTAATCCGCATTCCGCTGCAGTTGCAAGATCCGGAAATCCGTTAAAATCTCGCTTTGAATCCGAAATCCGGGCAAAAATATTTTCAAAATCCGCCGATCCGTTCACCTATTCACCCCCCTCGATAAACGTAGGGAAAATATAGAAGTTACTTTATTGTTTTTATGTTTTAATGTATCTACTTGAGAAAATATTAATAATGGGGTTCATTGAACGGTCATTGCCGCGTGTGGCTTTAGAATACCGTATTTATTCGATTAACCGCCCTGGGCGCTTATTAAATTTTTGGACCTTGAGAGTGGGCGCTTATTCGAGGTGGGCGCTTATTCGAGGCGAAGAAACGCGAAGATGTAACAAAGCAAGGTTTCTGTAAACTACCCCTACTCTGAAGAAAACTCCTTCTTCGGGGAAGTCTGTTTATATTAGTACTTATTCAGTCAATCTCATTGTCACCCAGGTGGGTGGGGTGGGGGTGGGCGCTTATTCGAGGCTGGGCGCTTATTAACTTTTTCTGTCTTTAGGATGGGCGCTTATTCGAGGTGGGCGCTAATTCGAGGTTGGGCGCTTATTCGAATAAATACGGTATAAGGGTCCTTTTGAATGCAAATTATTTTTTGCTAAAGTTTTGCACGTGCGTATGAAACTTAAAACACGAGGACGCCCACTTGCAAACACAAAATCTGGGGGAAAATTTGTGACATTGGAAGCCCAATTGCATTGCCTTCCTTGCTTTCAATGTCCTTGAAACTTGGAGGCAATTTAAACTGATCATTACGCTCTTGCCTGCGTTGCAGACGCTCTAAACCTTCTGTATATGGACTCCTATATAAATGGTTTAGACGAGTGCGTGGGTCCGCTGCAACGCTGGCTATTAATCTCGGAATTCTCAATTTCATAAGAAAAATTATCAAGCGGTTTCTAAACTACCGTGAAATTTGTGGGCGTGGACCAAATTGCACACAAAAATGGTAACTAAAGCAACTGAACGTAGGCTAATAGAATACTTCTTTCTCAAAATAGGCAAAGTAATCCAAGAGAAACTTGTGGGAAAAAGGGTGGCGGAAAGTTAACAGCAACAACAAATAATTATGTCTGATTTTCCTCAAATATGTCTTTGAAGGCCTCGAAGCCATTAGAATAAAATGGTACGGAAGTAACAAATTGGATTCTTCTCTAAGTGAGAGTCTCGCTTATCCACTGCCTTGCACCATATTTCTGATAAACAGTTTTTAGCCATAGCGGTGCAGTCACGGCTTTGGAAACTACTTACCGGCAAGCTCCTCACCTGGCTATTTCTGATATTACAAACAGTAATTGTACTCTTCTCCGATAATCTTTATCCCAGTTTTTTGTAATCTGTCTGTCTGCAGTTGTAATCACACCTTAAAATTAATCAGTATTGAATTCTTACCTTGAAAACGTTGAAAACTCAAATCAAATCTCAGTTCTCCTTCACTGTATCACCCGGCAGTCGTGCGCCAGACCATTAAATACAGCGGAGCCTCTATTCAGGGAACACCCTTGGGACCAAGGCACTAGGTGTCCCCTGTATGGAGGTTGGGCTGGGGTTAACCAACGGATAAAATATTTTTATAAGAGCCGAAAAAGGCGTCTGCTCTCGCAGGCTAAGGAATCTCCCGCAGTTATTATTTCAAGCAACTGTAAAACTAAACTTAACTCTGGGATGTTGTGTGTTGAATTCCCACGAGTGCAGTACATCGATTTAGGTGAGTTAATTCCTGTTTTGAAGCCACCATTGTGACTTCTAGCGAACACTTAAACGAATCGACGATTTCTGTGATCTGTCACTTGTTTATTGCTAAGGTGTCCCCTGAATGGAGGTTAAACCCAGGTTTTGGGACCCAGACAAAGTGTCCCTTTCCCCTGAATAGAGGTGTTTTTCCGGGACAAAATTTTGTCCCCTGAATGGAGGAGGTGTCCCAAAGGAGAGGTTCCATTGTAATTGGTTGTGGGATGGAGGAATTCTCCCTATCTAAGATCAGAAGACGGCCCGCGCTCGAAAAGAACGTTTCTTTTCGATCCATTCGGGCCTCAAATCTACAAACTGGCCTCTCCATTTTGTTCCATTCCAGAAAAATGGTCTTTTTTTGTGGAATGCAAGGTAAAAAGAAAACTTCTGCAAATAGGCTACCGTCATTGCTTCTATTCATTCATTCCGTTCAATTCATTGATTTATTTATTTGCTTATTTGTTTATTTTTCTTTCAGATAAAAGAACGGGACTGGACTGCAACTGGAGAAGTTTCAATTCCCAATGATGAAAGTTTATTACTTTGCGCCGAACTTGATCGGTGAGTATAAATCTCGGTGACCAATTTAAATCCTCAACACTTCTTCACTAAATGAAATAGCAAGGAACAATGATGGGCTCCTGCAAGGAACTGGAATCTATGCTCCAAGTACCAAGCCAGAGAGTGAAAAAAAGCCCCTTTTACACGGCAGAAAATTTTTGGCATCGCTCGGATGAAAAAAGTACGCGTACCAAAGGCTGATATAAGGCTGATATCTCTGATACAGCTTCTGCATGCGAACCTTCTTCTTCACCTCTTTAACTTTCTTCTCTCCTCTCTTCTCCCAGCGAAACAATTCAAGCTCTTCTCGCTCTTTTTAATCAGATGCAAACTCGTCTGAAAGATACTCTTGCACAGTCGCCCTTATAGCATTTACCGCCATACATGTAGCTGTCGTGGTATCCTAAACTCCCTACTTGAGGCATTGACTGGTGGCTGGAGAAAAATTACTTCTGGTCACCGTACTCGACATGGCCCGCTCCGTAGTCCTTGCGGCTTAAAGTCCCTATCATCTCCCATGCCTTGTATTGGAGATAATTTGCATTCCTTATTATTCGAAAAAATCTAGTAGTTGCCTGGATAAATACAATACAAATTAGTTCCTTGATTGTGCCAGGTATTGTTCGTCATTATCATCGGTTTGAAAAGTGTCGCTTCCAACTTCTTAAATTGTTTTATTCAATAAAAGCAGCCAAAGAAAAAGTTTTGAAATTCGCGTTAATTTCATGAAGCGTTGAGATTTCCTATAATGTGAAAGTTTTTTTTTTACTTGAATACAGTGGATAGGTAGAGTGTAGCTGTACTGGAAATGGAATCTTCGAGCATCTTTATTTCGAGGTCATCTTGGAGGCGGGGCTCCCAGACCTTCTTAGCACTCTACAAAATGTCAAGCTTTGCCCATGCCTTTATCGTTTTTTCCCAGTTTAAACCGCAGTCTGGCATCCAGAATGCGGAACCCTGGATATGTGTAACTCAAGACGAAAGCCGTAAGAACCTAGCATATAAACTTTCCTCATGTGCCCAAAATTGGATAATTTTTAGAGACAGAGTATGAACCCGAAAGCGCCTTCCGACTGGAAGGCACATTAATTTTTAATTTATCTAGAAACATATCGCAGTTTATTTTCCTCAGAAAATTTGATGTAGTCCTTCATTGCTTCCGATAGGATATCTTGAAGAGTGCTGATCTGTTTAGGGGATCAAACGGGTTCAACCCTCGGGAGCCAAACTTATCATTTAGGGTCTTGAAAAAAATTACGAAGATGTGCTGACGTTTGCACTGCAAAAGGCTAGAACCTCGAGTGGCTCGATTAAATAGTCTGCTTCACAGCCGTTCTTTGTGTCATCACGCAGCTTAACTGAAAGAACGGCTGTGGAGAAATGGCGGTCCTGTCTCGAGGAGATGTGTTAATGCTGTCCTTAGTTAGTACTTAGGGCTGAATATATTGGCTCTTGCAAAAAGACGACCTTTTGTAATATTTAATATGCTTGATGTTCCTTTAGATATAGTTGCTGTTGGCGGAGACCCGCACTGGATGAGCACCTGTTCCCTGGGATACAAATAATGCAATTCCAGTTTGGGATGAATTTGGCCACAAGAGTGGCCGTTTATTTAATTCAAGCATATAAAGCTAGGAAAATCCAGATACACCAGAAGATCATTCCAGTAAAGGTGTGTGGGCACACCAGCCATCCGGGAGATGAAAGTGGAGCAAAAAGGGAGGGAATGGAGGGACATTTTTTTCTATTATTCTTGCTGTAGTGAGCAGAGAGGCTTTACGCCTCGCTTGCATGTCTTAAAAACACATGTAATGTCCCGGATGGCAGGAACGCCCGCTTACTGGCAACCGGAGGATTTACATACAAAATCAGTCACATTAAGCATAAAACCAATTATTTCTTTCAGAAATAAATTTCATGTACTGATAATAACTTTATTTTTTGTAGGTTACCTTCGTGTTATTCTTAATTTATCAGCTCTCTACCTCATGCTGCGTCATCCGTTTGTCACTGTAGCTCTTCATTTGACTGGTAATGGTATATTGGATGTATTCGATGGAGCCGCAGCAAGGTACTTCAAACAATGTAAGGGCAGAAAGTAGTTAGAAAGAACCTCATGATACTGAAACGGCAGCAAAACGCGTCCCTTATATAAAAAAAGTCAATTCAAAATATTCAGAAAATTATTCCAGTTTAATGATCGGCCGACTTCAATAAATTTGTCAAGTAAAAGAGAGATACCGCTCGAGTTTAATAGGACAATTGCACGATTACGTCTTTTACTATGAACTACCAGAATCCTTCGGTTTGTGCAAATTAGAGATTAGGGCTATTGTTTTTTAAACCTCAGTGGTAGTTGTAGTCAAATGTCGTCATCGTGAAAATGGCTTGTTCTAAAGAATCGTCAAGTACCGTAATTGGTTGTCAGGAAGCTTAATCAACGAGGACGGACATGGCAACAAGAACCTCAAACAGGCATTAGGGAGCTTAAGCAGCAACGTTTTTGAGCGACGCACGTCAACCGGAACTGGCTTTTTTTCATTTTTTGACGGTGGTTTCGCGCAAATTTTCAGTCAAATCGCCTCTATAACAGTAAAGAAGCTAAGGAATACAAATTTTATATCATCAAGGCATGTTAAGAGGGAAAATACCTCACTTCCGGTTGACGTGCGTCACTCCAAAACGTCGCTGCTTAAGCTCCCTATTATTTACTTGGTAACTTTATGAAAATAATCAATTAAATTTTTATTCTTTTTGCTTCAAGGTTCCAAATTTGGAGAACTGCTCGATATTGCTACTGACAGGTATTTTTTGGCTCATGAAATCTGTATTACTTTGAACTTTTTTCACGTAACATATTTACCACTTGATCCGGCATATGGCCCTATCAAAATGTATAAGTTACACTTAGACAACTCGAGCTAAAAGTACTACTTCTGAACTCTAAATATTAACAGATCATAGACAACGGCATCGATCAATCACGGCGCGCGTAGTAATTTTCACCACATTGCATGTACAACAACAATATAGATTGGAACAAAACTAGGAATCAAAAAGCCCTCACTGAGGTCTTTAGTATAGAATTTTGGCATAACGTAAAATATGAACGCCACGAGAATCAGGTAAAGCATTCGCTCGCAAAAACAACAACAACAAACACTAACTGACAAACACTGATACTGACTAAAGCACTTATTAGTACGTTGTTCAGGTAAGTGCGGTGAATCCACAACGAACGACCGCGGCTAATCATAACATGATCAGAAGGAGAAATGCATTTGTGGCCCTAACTTCATAGAAGTGTGCAGGAACTAGTCACAGTTAATTTGGCTTTTACCTCTAACTGGCTGGGAAAAAAGCGTGAAAATTTTAAACCGACAGTAGAGCGTAACAAGCAAAAATCCAACCGCGTTTCCAGAAAGAAGAGAGACCCTGGACTAGGTTTGGTGATGAGCAACAACTACAGTACTGTAATACAATTTCTAGAAAGAAAGTAACTCGTTTAAAGAAGAGAGAAGAAATCGGAAGTTTTATTTCGAAAGAGAAACTCATCTTAGGTTGTTTACGTTCTCGATAAAACGTGAAATTTGATAATTTCACGTCGTAGCGTGCAGTGACGGCCAAGATATAAACAAAAAAAGCATGCTGCACGTAAAAAACTATTATAGTCTTGCTGATCTAAATCTGTTGGGTTTTAAAAGTTCGCGTTGTCGTCTCTATTTCTCAAGAATGATTTTATATCTGTTTCCACAGGTGTGGCAGGGTAGGATTCGCAATGGGACTGTGCGCACTTTACCCTCAATATATGTTTCCTATCCAACTTCTTGTCTGCTTAGAAATTGTAGGACCTTTGTCAGATCTCTACAGGTATTTATGGACTACGAAAAACAAACCTGAGTGCACTATTCCTTAAATGAAAGTTAACGGATGGAAACTATTCTCTTCAGTCATATTATCATTTTTTTTTTGCTTCGTAGACGTTCCTTGAGAGCTGATCAAAAATCGCAGGTGGTCGATGACTGGTGGCTTTTAAAGATTTTTTTTCAGGAAGTAAGAAGGCCCTTTACTGTCTTAAAAATTAACCGAGTTGATACTAAGATATATAAAAAAGCTAAGGGCCTCTTGAAGGGAGATCGTTTAGCCTCACCTCTAAATCCTTAGTAAATCTCTTATCTTTCGTTAGACCTTAGTAGATCTCGTTTTTTTCAAAAGGTTAAGCGCGATTGAAATTTAAGCCAACCATGATGTGAACACTCCAAGCCGGTTACCCGCAGCTTCTATAACAGGGCGGCCGGGATGGCATCGTCCGACTTAGCTCCAGTGATGCGGCTATAAGAATTGGTAACGCTATGATAGGTGCCAAAGCTATAAATTTGTGTTTCGCCAACTTTGCTCTAGTTGTTTCTCGAATTTCGCGCAATAACACGTCCCAAGAACCTTACGACCTTTTCTCATCCTGGAAAGCGGAAATATCTCATTTGAACCCAAGCCGGGTTGACTTCAAATTAAAAAAGGGAACGTTTTTCTGTTAATACGCGACAACAAAATAAAAGAGATAGTTTCCTATAGCTACTGCACTTCACAATATGAAAATTAGATCTAACTTGAACGTCGGGTACTCGTTTTTGTAAACGTTAACCAATTAAAGTCCGTTATATTTCCAAGAACAAATTTTGTTTTCCAGAATTTTTTCCTACGAACGTACAAAACATTCATGGACAATTCGCTATTCTGACTGTTCCCCAGTAGCTGAAGAATATTTCTAGTGAATCTATCGTAAAATCTTACTTTTCTTTATACGCAGCCTATCCTTTCTTCGGTCATACTTGGTCAGGATATATGTGTATACATGATCTACTTGCTTTACTTTACGCCAGGGCCAACAGGTAGGAGAAGACATCACTTGTAATTGCTTCTAATACTTCATTATGCCTAACCTAAGGTTGCATTGGTTTAGGTGCTAGTTTTAAGCATCCAAAGTACGGAGACCAACGGCAACAGGCACGTCAATTGATTAGTGTATTCGTGTTCTTTTAAAATTTATGGCGGTTAGTTCCCACTGGTTCAGTTAGTCAGTTGTACGCGAGTTTTCTTGGAGTTGAATCTTCAGAGAGCACATTTCAATGTGCTCTCTAAACTTTGAAAAAGTTTAGTTTAGTTTAGTTAAGTTTAGTTTTTAGTTTTGTTTCTAAACTTTAAAAAGTTTAGAAGTTTAGAAGTGGAAAGAAATAATTTGTCGTCTATTGTTTATGTCTTTTGTTATACATGACATTGGAAAGTCTCACGTTTTAGTACGTTTTTAGTCGTGTCGTGACGGCGAAGAAATGTGGAAAAAAATCTTGATGCCCTTGCAAAGTTGTTGTTTTGGTTATTATAACTCCAGCTTTTTGGACGTCTTCGTTACCATTGCCGCCGTGGTTGGTTAAAACTCCCTGTTAGGTTTTCGGTTTACTAACAAATCAAAGCGACATGTCAGTGGTGGGGCATGAGATACCTCTGGGATTTCCAAGTTTCCTCTCAACTGACCAGTTTTGTCTTGTCTTGTCTTCAGCTATTTTATAGGCGATGAAAGATCGCAAAATGCAAAAATTGTCCCAACCACGAATCAGAATGCCATGCCCATGGGGTCATCAGTAATCAAAGTTTTGCGCTAGCGGTGTTCAAATTTCACCTGTCCCTAAATTTTGTACCAGCTACTTTTCTTGTCAGATATCATCTTGTTTGGTTATGGTTCAGAGGTCTTAGTCTTCATCAGTTTTCTCTTTCGACAATCGATGATCGCATCCTCCACAAAAAAAAGGCTGTAGCTGTATTGACTAGATCTTGTAGGTCTGAGCTGACTTGTTTATTCCTTTTATTTTATTTCCAGTGTCTTTGGTTGGACTCTCATTCAGTTTATGGCAAGCCTTGGCTTGGCTTACTCTTCCGTTTTTAATCTACAGACAAATTGTTGTCTGTTGTCTTCTAGTCACGTCATCTTTCAGTGAACTTGCACGTTTGCATCACCTTCAGGATAGCAAGCAGAATGAAAAGAGAATTAATTGACACCAACAAATGACCGATGACTTTTACTAATTAAAAGAATTACGTTGGAACCATCTTACTATTCGAGTCTTTCTTTTCCCTTCGGGGTTTGCACTCTCAAGCGGGTATCGTTCTGGATGCGAATAATTTCCTGGTTTGGTAGGCTGTTATAAGAGACCTTAAGATCGAGGTGTTGTCATTTTACGGCAAACGACAAACTGCGCTGTACGATTAACGGTTTCACGTTACCCGTCTGCCCATATTTGAGACTTAAGATTCGTGGGTGGTAGCTTGCGGCGACCATTACTACAGTAGTTATGTGGCTACAGGAGCCTACGACCATAGGCTCCTGATGGCTACAATAGTACGCGCGCTCTGATTGGCTGCTGAGCGGGCAAGATTTTCTTGTATTGACATGACATTACTAGCTAGGTGTCCAAGGCTTATAAAATCTGTGTTTAACTTGATAGTGGTCATCCATGTTATGGATAGCTGTCAGATAACTGTACCCGCTGACTAATGTCACATGACTGTATCGCTCAATTTTTATCCGCTTAAGGCAAACATTAATGCGCTTGTACAATCAATTGAGCGTTCTTTACATTTAATATACGAAAATCTATTTTCAATTAAACAATACCAATCCCCCCCCCCCCCAAAAAAAAGAAACTGGCCTGAATTTCTTTAAAGAATCACGCCGTACTTCGCCACTGTGTTCGTCGACGGCTGCGGCTATACATTTACCCTAGACGGCCAGAAGTCATGGTGGGGCGCTACAGGGAGTGCAGGGCGTACCGCCAAGTGTGCGGCCAACGAGAACGAAATTTGACTATGACCATGGCAATATCACCTATCAAATGTTTTCCTCAGCAGCTGCTGGAGTATTGAATACTGTGTCGGGTTTTCTGCGACTTTCTGGCACAGGCGAGGAAAACGTGGATCCCGATAAGTCGGTAATTTTTGCGTCTGACGGGGTGCCAGCCCACCTAGATTTGGCCATTCCCGCCCCTTATGTGCACATTTCGTATATTAATTGTAAAAAACACTCAATTGATTGTACAAACGTATTAATGTTTGTCATATCCATCCTAATCCATCCTAAGGTTGTCCAGGAATGCTATTGAATTGCAAACAGTGTCATAAAAGTGTTAATGAATAGTGTTTGCACTTTAATGTATGTCAGTTGTCCCTGTTGGCTTTCAAGATGGTGTTAATGACTTTGATGTTGGCGTTAATGAAAGTATATTTTTCTCTTTTGAATGACGCATATGAATGCCCAAAAGTGTTATTGAATGTTGATTAAAATGCAAAAATCGTAACTAAATCTTATTTATGTGCATATGTTCGTATTTTCGCGCTAATGAATGTATATTCGCACTATTAGTCACCGTTTCACGCAAATGATTGCGTATTTTCTCCTAATGAACAGCAAAAGGTGTAAATAACTTATTAACTTTGTCCGTTCGGTCATTACAGGGAAAACATTGCCCTTAATCAGTTATGGGCTCCTGAGTTTATCTAATGATTTATTCCGCTCCTTCACTGCAAGTAGAGCACTGTCTTGGCTGGCTTCGCTGGTGAACATCTAACTGAATTATGTATGTCTGATGTATGTATGCATGAGGCACAACTGAGACAAGCTTACTAGGGTGACTGACCAATATACGCGCATACGTTCGCAAAGGCCTCAGGCTCAGACCATTAGAAAAACAGGGGAGGGGGTCAAGGAGTTTTCTGCTATGTAATCTTTTTTGGTTCGCCGTGTGTGCATGTTTCTATTTATATATATATTTTTTATCATTTCTTTTCTTTTCTAAGCTTGCTTTTTCCTGCTGTTCTGGCTGCTTCCTATTATTTCACGCGCTTTTGTTTTTGTTTGTTTTTTTGTTCATTTCTGTATGGGTTGATTTTTTTAGGTATACGGTAAGTCTGTCTGCAAGTTTTTTTTATAGTGCTCCATCGTAGCGGGGGTGGGGAGCGTGTTCCTTCCGCAATTTTGACTGCCACAAGCAACCAAGGTCCAAGGTCTCTTGAAGCTTTCTTGAAGCAGCCCAATAATCACAGCAGAGCCTGGGTCCAACTCGTCGTGGTACATTCCATGCAACATATACAAAATTCTAGTCCTCACAAAGGTGGTCGAACGGTCGGTGAACTGTGTTTTAAGTCAAGTCGAATTTGGTTCGATCTCCTTTAAGCCCGACTAGAATTCTAAATTATTTGGGTACATGAATGCTATATCGACCAGGGAATCGTTCAAAATACTTTAATTTGAAATCCTATTCTGACGTTAGGGTTTTGACACGTGGTCACGTTCAACATGACAAGCCTGTGGATGGGAGATGTAAGTTTATGATAGCAGTTTTTGAGATGTTATAGTAAAATAGAAAATCAGCAATGGCTCTTTATTTCTCCTCTGCGTTAGAGGCGTTAAAATTTGCAGTACGACGAATAGCAGTACATGCGCACACAGTACAGATGCCAAAAATTTTATAGACTTGTCTCCCAACTTATCATAGTGAAAAAGGAGTGAATTCCCACATCACCTCTATGACCCTTAACCATACCTTAACTTCATCCCAAGGTGACTTAACTGCAGAGTGACTGCATATCCACTTACCTAGTTCTTTGAAGGTTACAACATGGAAGGCATGATACTCTGGAGTGAATTCCCTAACCTAAACATACATGTAGCTTTAACTTTCATCCTAGCCATATCTTACCTATTACAGCAGTGATTTGGTAACTCTAGATCTTAACTCACAGACAAGCTTGCAAACATTAATGAATTTTATTGACATTCACAGGGTGCAAAGAAAATCATTTTTACAGCTTTCCATTCGAAGCTGAAGCTAGCATTTACTAGCCCAGACGTCACTTCAACTAGCCCTTAAAACGTTTTGACTAGCAGAATTTATTTCACAGTTCTTCTGTAATTCGAATTCCTCAAAAAACATCACTTGCCCTTCAGGCAAGTTAAAAACAGAAATCACTAGCCCAATAGCAAGATCCACTAGCCCCAGGCTATCGAACACTACTTTCTTTGCATGCTACATTCATCAACAAACTCCACATTGAGTGGTTCAGTATCCAGACCCACACTACTGAGGGAATTTCACTTAGGACCCCGCCACCTCCCTGGATTTTCCATTTTTGTAGGGGGCTGATGACCCCCTAACCCCTCCGTAATTTTCCACAAGACCCCCCCACCCCCCAACCCCTCTGGAAAAGTTCATTTTCACAAAGAAAGATCATAAAGTAAAAGAACAAGGTCATTTACAGTTATTATTATGCAACGTTTTCCATTTATTAATTGATCTCCCAACATTAGAACACACCACACTACCTACAAAGTAACCTAATCTACAAAATTTTGCTTAATGTAATGACATTACACCTTTCTCCTGCTACTAGAAAAAGTTAAGTGCAAATAGGGGTCTTGGATATTTTCTGGAACCATACATTGGGGGTGGTAAGTAATTTTGGCATTCCCCTAAGAGGAAAATGATCCAAGTGTTGTCACCACCTGAGAAAAACTCCAATTCAGTTTTAAATTAAATAAAATTTAATAAAGAGCCCATAGAATCATCAGTGGCAATCCTTGGGCCTGGGGGTAACCTGGGGGACATACACAAGCAAGGTGCGGGATTTGTTGACATCTGCTGCAAATTTTAGTCTAGGACAGGGGGGATTGGATTGCGTTTGAATTAACATACATTATTTTGTACATATCAGTTTTTTTGTATATGTAATAGCTTGATGGTTACATGGATGAAGCATTTATCAGTAGTGCCTTTGCAGCCATGGGGGAAGCAGTGGTTTCAGTAAAGATGATAAAAAACAGAGCTACCGGGTAATGTCTTTTGTAGCTACAATTGGCAACAAAATTAGTTGAGACACTTTGCCGGAAAGGGGCTTTTTGATGTTTTACAAACTTTAAAAGGGGAAAATAAAGTTTTTCCTTCCCCATCCCCTCCATGCAATTTTGTGCCGATGTTCAAGCTACCTGTAGAAAACCACAAACTTCCCAACTTTGAATGGAGAGGAGGGGGGAGGGGTGTAGATTCTTTTGTTCTCTGAAGTTACCTTATTTGAGTATAATGTCTCAACAATTTTGTCGCCTATTGTACAAATGTAGCTAGAACAAGAAGTTAACATCAAACTACTGTGCCAGTTGACCAAGAGACCTTGAAATGTGGTTCTTCCTGAAAAAGAAGATTTCTTTTTTCTTGGGCATTATTGATAATCATTATTATTAGGGTTTGTTTAAGACGTCTTTTGCTAAATATCATTTCATGCAGCGTTAGACTGGGGTGCTGTAAATTCCTCATGCTTTCTCTTTTGCAAAAGAGGGAGGTGAACAGTCAAACCCAAAATGCACTCTGTTGTTTCATATCATCACCAAAAGTACAGTTCATTCTCTTTAGTAATAATGTATAAACAAGCATAGAGATCAAAATATGCCTTACATGTAAGTTGTTGCATACAGGGAGATTAAAGCAATGGAAAATTCTAAGGCAGTTTCAGCCGCAATAAGCGTAGAACTCACGTGACCAGAAATGTCAACTCCACAATAACAAATCCACTGGTATAAACAAATGAAGATTTATTTCATAAGAGACATGCATGGTATGTGATATGTAGAGCATAGCTGTGTGTGGGTTGAAACTAAAAACGATAATAGAGCAAAAGATTAGATGTACATTAGTTGCGGCAACAGAAAATTTGATGTGAAGAAACAGGAAAACTACCACAAAGTGAGGACTGTGAAACACACTTACATTGTTATGGCTACAGAAAATTGATGTGGTAGCGAACTGCATAAAACATGAAGAAAAATAGAAAGCACAGAAGAGAACTTTGCACTTAAAAGGGACCAATACAAAACTGAAAATTGTTCTGCCTAGTGCCTAACAGCTACCTGCGATGTAAAATACAATTGATTGTGCAAAAAAGAAAACTAAAAAAGTAAAAAAGGCACTAGTTAATGAAGATGAGAAAACAAAGAGATGCTAATCAGGCCTGGCAAAAAAAATAAACGAAGAACTTAACACCTTAATTTGCACAAAGAATCTAAACAAAAGGATAGGGTGAACTGTATTTTGTGAAAAGGGAAAACAAATTATGGAAAAATTGTTACAAGAGGATCTTACAGAGTTTGCTTATAACAGTTGGTTGTTAATGAGAGGTTGCAACTGTCGCGGGAAAATTTTGGTGTTTGGATAGGTGTTACTGCTTTGTCTTATGGGATCGGAGGTGGTCACTTAACAATAAGTGGTCACACGTAGAGCTGGTTTGACTGTATGTAGAGTTGTACAGAGAGTGAATGTGTACATCTGGGCCACTTTGTTGTGTTTACTAACAAGTATTTGTCACATATCAGGTCTCCAGCTGGTTACTGTTTTGTTGACTTTGGTGACTACACAGTCTCACAGAAGGTCATGACTAAACTCAGTGGTTTGCCAATTCCTGGGAGCAATCCTGTATGTATATTAGTATTTATTAAAAAAGTTAAAGCTCTAAGCGCAAGCTAGTATAGAGTGTATATGGTCATTTCCTAAAGCACAGTTTGCACTAAGCATAATTATATAGTCATTATTGATATTTTTAATTTTGTTGTCCCAGAATACAACCTTAGTCATTCTCGCCATGAAGGTTCTTTAGTTTTAACCCCCTTCCCTCTGGCCAGGACTATGGACTATACATGTACTTTTTTATTCAAGTATTGTGTTTCTGGTGCTCTGGTACATGTACTGTACACTGTACATGTGTTTCCATGCCAAAAAAAGAGTGGAATGGACTTTTTGTTAAAGTTACATGGAGCATTAAAATAATATCATTTTAAAAATGATTAACCTTAATCTATTCCAAATTTACAGATAAAGAGATTCAAATTAAATTGGGCCACATATGGCAAGGATTCGTTCACACAGTGAGTAATTCAACAGTTTTCTTCCTTAGTTTGGTTCCAGTTGGTTTTCTTGAAAGTATACTGTGATAAACATATTTGAGATTTCTCTGTTACATAGATTTGCATTTTACACATTCTCGGTTGCCTCAAAACCATGTGATATCAAAAACAAATAATAATATATTAGAATTTCAATCATACATGTACATGTACTTTATTGATCTGTGATTACTACAAGTAAATAAGATAGAGTATAAGCATTACATGTATGTTTATACACATGTGAATTTAATCATTGTGTGATTTTATTAATGCAGGGGACCAGAGTATTCAATATTTGTGGGTGATTTGTCTCCTGATGTTACTGACAATGCCCTTCAGGTAGGATCTTGCAACTACAGTATTACACTGTTAGTGACATTTATCCCTTTGGTGATGGGTGTGGTCATTTTTATGCAATGTGGAATAATGCAGATCATGCATTACTGGACAATTTTGCTTTCACTTTAAGTTAGTGAAGTTATGTTAAGTTTAGTAAAATAGCACCAAATTTAGGAAGGATACACAGGGGTTTCAATGAACACCGACGGCCAACGAAACGCGCCAGCTACTTTGCTCATAGAAGTTGGCTACTTTTTTTAGAAAGAAGAAGGGACTAGTTTGAATAACTTTGTAAACAAAAAATATATCGTAAAATCTGAATGAAAACGTAATTATGATGTGTTTTCATAAAGGCCCACTGGTTTTCCACTGGTTTGACATTGTGCTTTAGTCACTATATTTCAATCCATTTATAGGTTTACGCAGAATTTGTTAACATGCAAAAGTTAAGTTAGGTAATTTAGTTTTCATCATTTGTTCATTGCTTGTAGGAATTGATTGTGACTGATAAGTCAAAAGTGGAATGAAAGCTACATTTTCTTGAATGAAAAACACTTTCTTTTGTCTTCAGTGTAGTCTCCAGAATGCTGAAAATCGCATTTTAGGGCTTTGAAATTTCAAAATTTTCTAGGGCAACACATCCCCAGACACCCCCCCCCCCTCTAGAGAAAGGGTACTAATGGCCCCCCTTGTTGATACAGTTGGTTACTCTATTCAAACCTGCTGGCTACTTCAATTTTTATTGAAACCCCCGGGTAGATATTCACACAGGTACCTCATTTTGGGATCTCTGACCAATTATTCTTCTAATCCTGCCGGAGTTAAACACATACACACAAAAGAAAAACAAAACAATTTGTGTACTTTAGCTAGAACTAAGGAGTTTGTTACATGTAGCAGGGCTCAATAACTGATGGTCACTAAAATTATTTTATTTCATAGACATCAGACTTTTCTTGAATTCATTAGTTCGTCATTCAGTAAAGACTTTCTGAAGAAGATTCCTTTTTGCTTACAAGGAAATCCCTCCTTTAAAAACTTAGCAAAAGGGGTGCAATAAAAAGCATCCCAGATACACTGTAGATTGAAAAACATCTGTAAATGCTTTTTTCAGGAGTTCTTCCAGAGAAAGTTTCCATCATGTAAGGCTGCTAAAGGTACAGTACAATGCATGTGGCAATGTTGCTTTCATGATATAAATCAATTATATGTTGTAGTTCAATTTTATTTGTGGTTTTATTTTGTTGTCCATTCAATATTGGGTGGATATGGTAATGTCAGTTTAAACCAGTGAAAAATATATTCAAACCAACAAAATAATTTTTAATTGCCGCATATCCATGGAAATTTTTAGGAAGGGGTTGGGGGGGGAGGGGAAGGAGATGGCATCTAAAACCAATAATTGCTGTTGAAGTTGAGGCCTGAGGGCTGGAGTGGAGGGGGACATTTGTGAAGGTGGTATTAAATAATTTATTCTCTGTCCATAACAAGCTGGGTTGGCAAAACACGTGAAAGGATTCACTTTGCAGTTTTTGTCTGTTTGAGCTCAAAGTTTACAGGGTCGTGGAACTGTTTATTCCAAACATTTGCATGTTTTTTGGTTTAAACAGTTTTTGGTTGATTGACAGCAGAACTTAATATTGAATATGAACTTACATAAAGATGTTACAAACAAAGAGTTTTTATAGAGCACAACTTGACAGAATCAAATGCGAAAAATTTGTTTTGGAAAGGTAAAAAATGATATTAAGCTTTGATTTTTGAATTTCCCAACATTTTGTTACTATTTTTAGACACATGAGTACATTTCAAAAGGCAACAATGTACATGTATATCTCATTAAAAGCAATTGAGCTCTACATGTTTATTACTGTTCTGCAATAATTACCGTCAGTATAGAACATGAACTGCTCAAGTGTGTTTAACTGTTTTCATGTCAGCATTTTTAATGTTGAATTATATAAATTTTTTTATGGTTTATGGTTTTCATGTATGTAAGTTGAATCATGTTGCTAGGATAAATACAAACAATGTAGTTTGATAAAGCAAGTTTTTCAGCCGTGAAAGTTAAGGCAATCCAAAATTTTTTGTTACTCAATTAAGAGGGGTTAATTCAGATCGCATGAATAAAAAGTTGGATTAACATACTTTAGGTTTAATCTAATATGAATCTGCCCAGTGCACTTGAAAATTAGTACAAGGGTTGAGACACTGTTTAGAAACTAAAAATTTAAAAATTGACCTTTTTGAGAAGTTTGACATTACATTAATATTGCCGAATGTCTTTTTTACATTTTTTTTGCAGTTGTTCTGGACACAGCAGGAAACTCCAGGTACCTTGATGAGTTTCAAACTTTTTGTCATAATACTGCTATTGGTATCATTATAATTTTTTAATGTTTTGGCTTGATTTCACGTTTGCAGATGCTTTGTTTTATGTTTGTTTGTGTATGATAATGAGTTTGAAATACAATAATTTAAACTAAAAAATATAAGAATGATTGAAATAAAGTTGTTGTTGTTGTTTGTTGTTGAACCGCAGTTAATATATGGTTTTGTATTTTTTGGATGTTGTGGGAGTGTGTTTTTGGGCAAACAGTCTTTTAGTTATTGAGAGAAGACTTATGAATAAATTAAAATGACCCAAGGAGCAAAAAACCTGATACGGCAGGAGGTTTGAGTCAAGGTGTCTCACCTTACACAGTCACCTAATTTACTAATTTACAGTACTGCCTTGAATTATATAAAATGGTGTGACATTTCTGTATTGTAGAGGATATGGTTTTGTGAGGTTTACTGATGAGATGGAACACAGGCAAGCCATGATTGATATGCAAGGTGCTGTGGGTTGTGGATCCAAACCCTTGAGAGTTAGTGCTGCAACACCAAAGAGGTAATGTAGAGACACATTTAACAGTTACTGATGTATAATAAACCGTCAATTCTGAAACATATCTTGTGAGATTCTCTTGCAAACCCAAGTGCTTTTTTCTCTATACTCAGATTATAATACTAAAGACTATACTTTATTAACGCTTGTGTTAATTAAAGGTATTTGAAATTGACCCAACCCTATTAACCCTAATGTAAGGAAAAGTTACTATGCAGTAAGGGAAATTAATGCCAAAATTGGGCTAAGCTTCCAAATAAAATGAAGCAAATTACATTTCTTTTTGTACATTTAGCATTCTAAAAATATTAATCCAACACAGGGAGAATATTTTCAGTGGGAAATCAAGCAAGGTAGTTCTACAGGGTAATAATGAGGGTGTGCAAAAATTGTTTGGTATTTAAATCTACTGAAACTAGAGGTAACCCAAGCTCACAAGTGTGCCTATAAATTATATTGTTATTGTATAACATTAAATTATAGGAGTTCAGGGTTCATGTCAGTATTATTATTATTATATGCAGTTAGTTGGTGGGGAATAGAACAGCTAGGAAGTTGTTTTGGTTCCATTTTCTTTTTGTTTCCTATAGAAGTAGCCAGGGGTCAATTTTGTAGCAGCCATGGGAACTTAATGAGAGCCTGAGGGGTTGTATGTTTTGTTCTAGCGACTGCTATTTTGGAGTCAAAATAGCAATGAATAGGCTGCAGAATTCCTTACCTTGTCTCCATCTGTTACCTATTGTTTACCCCTGACTTTTGAGTGATTCCTGCAAGTTTTAGTTGTGTCATTTTCCTCTGTTTACACTTAAATAAAATGTATTTTCTTGTGCCCGAACTAAGTTGGTTTCGCTTGTTTGTGCCAGACCTCAAACTTCTACAGCTGCCTCTACATCAGCATATAGCAGCTCCTCTGCAGCAGCAGCAGCAGCAACAGCAACAGCAAACCAGCAATACATGCAACAGTACCAGCAATATCAGCAATATCTTGCAGCATGGCAGGGATACCAACATCAACAGCAACAACAGCATCTTCAACAACAACAGCAGTATTATCCTCACTACCAGCATTACAATCCATATGTGCAGACAGCTTATCATTCACAAATGGTAACCTTTTTAAAACATCACGCACTAACCTTTAATTAATAGTCCTTTCTATTTGTCAGAACTTAATGGCCACACCATTGCTGTCATTGTGAGAATTTCACTTTTAATCAACACTATGCTGCCAGATCAGTGAAATCCCTAATATTGTGCCCTAAGGAGATGGGTTTTAAGCAACAATTCTTGGAAAAAGCCCATTTAACTTTCAAACTGACTGTCTGGCAATGGTTGGCAATTCTGACAAATGTAAAGTACCCGTACAAACCTTTCTAACTTTTGGAGTCTATGGTTGAGATCCTGATGTAGTTATTTTATTTTATTTTATTTTATTTTTTTCATGAGATAGCTTTTCAGTGGTACTTCCCTGTGCTGTGTTTTACATTGTAAGGCTGTCCAAAGGGTTATAAACTTTTTAGTCTTTAGAATTAAATCATTAATTAAGTGACCAAGACTGCATGTGTAAATATTGTTGTATAAGGTGATTCTAACTTTGGTTTCTGTTAGTATGTTGCTTGTTGAGTGGAACAGTGTACTTCAAAATGAAAATGCAGATGTTCATATAATGAACCAACAAAATGCTAGTTGCAAGTTAGGTATGCATTGTAAGCAAATGTGATAAAAAGCCTAAAAAAATCATTTGTATAAACGGTCCTTAGTCTCTGGTACGAGATCGTAATAATTGAGTCATGACTTAGATCAGTAATAATTATGTTGTGGATCGAGGTCACATGGTAAATGCTGCCAGGCCATAACCATGCAAGTACATGTGTTTATCTGCACGCTGTCTTGTCATGCTGTAGGTGCCATTAGAATCCGGCACCTTCCAAGACAGTGCTGCCAACGTTTTCAATGCGGCGCTACTACAGCCTATCAGGAACTCCGCAGAATTAGGTCATTTGAAGAGTTAGTTGACAAATCACGTTAAAATTAAGGCGAGGGCAAGGCTGTATTCTTAGTGACCCTTCCCTGCTGAATACTGCGGAAGGAGGTAAATAATCACTGTATTAGAAAATTGTTTGAACTCAGCGGTCATGCCATAAGTAGGTGGAATAATTAAAATCGTTCAAGTGAGTGTAGTCCTAATTACAGAGGACTGTTGTTCACAGTACAGATTGTCGAAAGGTCAGTTATTATCGACAACATCCCAATCAGGACTGAACTCACCCGGCCACCTAGTACTTATAATCACTCTCTGTCATGTGGTCAGGTGTACAAGCCACAGTGAATGTAGCTGCGCCGACATTCGTTTCTGACGTGAAAAAGAACTACAACCCTAGTCAAAACTCTCGGGACACTAACGCGATAGCTCGTCGAATTGAGGCATCTTCCCTCCCCGCTTCCCCCTCGGTGCAGTGTTGACGTTATGTATTCAAGTTTTAATTTAACACAATCAACACTGCTTGGGGGAGAGGGGGACAGCAGAAATAGCCCCTTATAATAACATCCCCAAGCTTTTTTAAGAGGTAGAATATGAGTTAATTTAGCAAAGTGCGTCTTTGTACCTAATTCCCTCAAGTGTCCCAGGACGTTTTGACCAGGGTTGTAGTTCTAAGAGCCTGTTTTCCTTTTTGCAGAGTTACGAGGAGCCAACTGTAACAGTGGACAACACCGCAGAAGGTAAAAATAATTTATTCTTGTAGATAGTTTTAACAAGTGAAAAATCTCTGATTTTATAGTCAGCAAGCATTGCCCATTTGTTTTAGGCCGAATACAAAACACTATCAACTTTGATCGGCAACAAAGAAAATACACAGTCATTATGTTACTAGTTCTTTAATTTTTTGAACAAAAGCTTTAAAACACTGCACCAAATTATTTATTTTTGTTTTTATTTGTTCGTTTGCTTACCTTTCTAGATCCTAATCCACCTCTAAACATAACAGAAGAAAACAAAAGCATTATGTCAAGCGAAGCCGTAAGTTGAACAAATTTTAGTTATTCCTGAATCAAATGACCTCATCTTGAAACTTTTGGGTGTTGCTCGCATTCTGTTTTTCGCGCGGCTTGCTTCTTGCTGTGTTGCCTGTCCCAGACTTAGCTTACATGTACATAAGCTGCAAGAACTGACTACAAAACGTCCTTCCCAGAGCCCCCTTCGCAGCCGTTCTTTGTGTTGTCAGGCAACGCGGGAAGAGCGTTGTTTGACAACACAAAGAACGGCTGCGTAAGAGTCGAGCTGTAGATTTTAGATTCTTCATGTCTACGCGGTTCTGGGAATTGAAATCTATATAAAATGTTGTAAATCGAATGTTCCGTCATTTCACTGGTTTTCTTTCTTGAGTCTTTAAAACGGAACGAACCTTTATAACCGTAAGTTCGTTTACTTCGAAGAGAAAGAAGGAAAACGTCGAGGAACAGGAGTCGATTCTCGAAAATTCAGAGAACTCATTTTGTTCCCCAGAGCTCCAAACAACTATATGTAAGATCAGAATCTTAGCCGAGAATGGTAGTGACGGGTTATTTTTGAAAAATTACTTTCGTGGCTGGCTTAGGATCTGGATGAGCAGGACCCCGACGAAATGAGTCCGTCACTGAATGGTGTTCGTACATTCCTTTTATTTCGTTATTGAAAGAATCGATACAGCCCGCTTGATTCATAATAATAAATATTTTTGTACCTATTCCTGTTTAAAATTACTCATCCTACCTAACGTTTCTGTTTTACGGCAGGATTTTTTCTACGAACTGGAACAGTCAAGATGGCAACCGGTAGAGACGCTTAGTTCAGGAGCTAAAACTGTTCCCGCATAGCTTTGTGTATCACGTAGTATTAAACCGTCTGGTCAGAAATCGTAATTTATTGTCATTTTATCGCTGTTCAAGTTCTTTCAGTGTCCCTCAGTCAAAACAAAAATGCAACATTTGCAGCTTCTTATTTTGGTACAATACTGTCTTTTGATTTAGAGCACATTAAAACTCTCTCAAGACCATTTACGGGCACCGCGGCTGTGTCCAGGTGAGTCCGTTCAGGGTTGCAAACGTGTGCGTCTACTGCTGTTCACACGAGAACGATGTCAATCCGTTTACGAACCTTGTTCACACTGGAGACCCGTAAAGACGACCGTTTACACTTTTCAAAGAAAGACCCATAATTTTGCACGTATGCGTTTATAAGCTCCAACGGACTCATGTAGAAACAATTATTGCAAAGAGGCGTTTTGCCAGAAAAAGGGTTTTCCTGTGGTAATAGGGAGTTTTGGCAATAATGTCAGCGATGCTAACACAAAGCAAGAAACTTACCAGTGCCCTTATACCTGGGGCCGCTTCCCGGAAATATGGTTAAGTTTAACCCATGATTATGCCAAATTTTAAGCAGAGTATTTTAGTCTCAGGCTATGTTCACACTGTAGCGGATAGCTTTTGCGCATGCACGAAAATCATACCCGACACTAGGGCTTTTGTTCACGGTCACATAAAAACGGTGTTTTTCGCGCGGTTTCTCTGAGGGATCGACACTGCGCTGCGCCAATCTCGAAAGTGGAGTGTCACGTGTGGTAGAGGTTCTGTGTCACACACTTGGTGTACTGTGAACTTGGTGTATTGTGAACAGGTATTCGGACCTTAAATAGAGGAAGTAAATAAGTAGGAAAGAGGACTGGAACCCGGTACTGAGACGGACGTAACCGCTCTTGAACGATCGGTTCAATGTGTGTGAACGACTTGCTCCACTACTGTGCTATTGCTGTCCGTACTATAATGGATAGACTTGCTTTTCGTGTTGGCACGCAAAGATATTCGGTATAGTGTAAACAAAACCTTAGAACGTCGTGTATTCGAGCTTACCAAAAATTTTGGAGCCTTCCCTTTGACATACAGTTGTGAAGACAAAATGATACTTTGTGTAAACGATTCATTGAATCTATAGAAATGAGAACAGAATCTTGAAGCAAAATTTAATCATGGATAAGTGCTTATGGGCTTTTCAGGAACCCTACAGTTGACATGCTCGCCCTTTTCTCGCCTTTCTGTGCAAAACAGGAACGTCTGGCCCTAGCTCTTCAAAAGGTGGAGAAAGTTATTGATTTATCCGGTGGATATCGTAATTGGTTTCCTTAGTTTATACTTGTCCCCGCTGGATGGTGACTTACTCGGTGGATAGGCCTATCCAATGTTTGAACAACCGCGGCCGGATGATCAAATTTACAGCTTTACGAAGATGAACATTCAGCTGTTGATTGTACTTCTGTATTACAAATTCAGAATTACATGAATTGAAATGAAACGAAATAGCGCGAATTGTTTTGGGACCATCGTTATTGCTAAACGTTCCTGTTTTACCGCTGCGATTACCCAAGTCAAACGAGCCATAAATAAAGAAAATATAAGTTTTATTTACAATTAAATATTATAACTTGTTGAATAAAGCTCTATACCTTTATTGACAACATTTACTCTTATCTCAAGTTAAAAAATGTATATCTTTACAGATGTGAACGAACGTAAATTTTTTTTTCATAGTATAACTCCTTAAAACATGGCCCGGCAAAGGATCGGTAGATGCCCCTGAAAGTAAAAGTACTTCTTCCTTCCAAAGAAATTGAACACAAAGAACTTCATCATAGTGAACAAATGTTGCCATTTTTAAATACTTTAGAACGTCTGCCTACCTATTAACATTTATGATATACATAACTGGATCCAGCGCGAAGTGCAACGCAGAATCGTGTTGTGATAACTGAAGCATTGTTCTATCGTGTAATTAGGACATGTCATTTCGTTAAGTAACTCTCATATTGACAGTCACTAACGCTACGTTCTCCTCCTAAAAATTCAGTTCTGTGAAACTAGTAACAAGTTCTTTTGGCTATGGATTGCCATAAGGTAAAAATGTTCATGAATCCCTTTAGTCAATAAAATCATAACTTCATTTCTGACGTCGACGCTTTCGATTAACGTTAACGCTAAAATGTAGGATTGCCTCGTCACAATGGTTACTCATTTCAAGTCCCAATTCTTTGAAATCGCTTAAATGAAATATTCCTGTCAGTAACAGTATTCACTATACTAGACGAAACTGCCAAGAGACGGACAAGAACTACTCTGACGAGGCGCTTTATTTATGGTACGATATCTGTTGCGTATGCGATGAGCTTGGTCATCTTGGCGCATAGATAACCTTGATTGTAGGAACGCGGGATAAATATATAAGGAATGCGTGTAAAGAAACATGTATCGATGGCTGTAAAGTCACTTATCGAGTAATGTCCATAAAGGCAGGCAGTTACTGGTGAACAAGTATTTCTGTCACAGGCCTTGCATCTCATAAGCATACATTTCTGAACACGTGCCGATAAAGTTACTTATTTTGGCCACCTCAATTAAAAATAAATAATACTGTCGTTGTTGTCAGTAAATACCGTCATGTGGCCGTATCATAGATCCTAGGGAAAGAAAGAAACAACATTGGTTATAAATCGAAACGCTTTTCTGAGGGAGATAGGTCTCTTATCTTGACCACCTCCTCAGACGATCTCACCAAATGACGGTCCACGTACTCGTCAACGTTTAGCAAATACACTCCAGGGAAACGATCACTCCGGAGCGAACGGCGCCGCGAGTTGGCGATGACACTGCCCGAAATGGCCGGTTCCGACCTTACTGAAGAGGGCGAGTCAATGCCACTTTCCTTAGATGATTGTCTTCGTAAACTAAACAAAGAATCCAACTCATAATGCGATGAGCTGGGCCTTGGTCTTGCCAGATTGGCTTGAGTGCGTGTATTATGTGAACGGTCTTGTTCTCGAAGAATTTGACGTGAAGCTACATCCTTCGGTAGAGATGCGACTTCAGTTGTAATGCGCGAGACATCTGTAATGCTGAAGGGTTGTGTGCGCTCATCCATACCATTGGCTGTTGATGTACGAGGATGACTCTTACTGACCCTTGGATGAGTATAATCGAAGCTTAATTTACGAAGCCAGTCCAGGTCAATTTTTGAACCATACTGTGTCGACGGCGCTTTATCAACTGAAGTCACTTGGCTTTCTTTGACTTCCTCGCTAATTCCGCCATTTACAAGCGCTGTTTGGTGTCTCACATCCGTGGAATCATCGCCTGACGGGGCGACGCCATTCACCGAAATCTGTTTCAGTTCTTTTTCTAACTGAAGTTCCCAATCTGCCTCAACGTTGTCAAACGCATTAATAGAATGGGTGCCATAAAGGTCAAGATCAGAATCATCACCGTCGTTTAGATCAATTTCCCAAGAACCTGAGCCATTTGCAATACCAAGATCGAGATCGGAATCGTCAGAGCTGAGGTCAAGCCTGGGAACTTGGACTTCTGCCCGCTTAGTTTTAGCTTGGTCTCTTTTCTTGCTAGATGAGCGCTTAGTATTTTTATAGGACCAACTTTCAAGGGAATCGGAAACAGCACGTCGATCTTTGGATCCTTGTTCGCCACGTAAAGAAGAATCTCCAAATGGTTTGTGCATAGGCATCGGATATGATAACGTTTGATTGTAACGGCCAGGAACATGTTCCTTTCGATCTCTAGGTTTTTCTGACTCTTTCTTGTAACGTTCCACTTCTTTTATAGGGTGACTTGCCAGTGGCAAACGGACAGGCGATCTCGCCCCTCCAAACACGTTTCTTTCGGTTGGTCTGGAGGAAGATTCCCGCAGAAAAATATTCTCAGCTTCGTCTCGCCTCTTGCTTTCGTCCAAAATCTCTTTCTCTCTCTTAAGCTGAAACTCCTTTTCCTTCATCCTCCCAATCCATTTTCTCTCCAGGTCTCGTCTTTGGGATGCCAATTCACTCTCCAACTTCTCCTTTTCTTTCATTTCTTTTTCAAGACACTGTTTTTCCTTGGAGTGTCTTTCTAATGCAAGCTTCTCTCGTGCAATCCTAGTATTGAGGTCTTCTACTTGTTGGCGTTTTAACACCAGCAGCTCCTTTTCTCGCCTGAGGTTCTCCTCGATGATACTCTCGTAACATTTGGACCTGGCGCTGTCCGAGTTACTACTGTTTTGTGAACTGTGTATTCCAGTGAGTTGCCGGGAGATTTTCTCCTCTACAGCTCTGTGTTTTTCTCTGAGCTGCCAGAGCCGCTGCACTAATACTCGGCGTTGCTGCTCCAAATGATTCATCTGACTGTGCAGCATATCCTGAAGCCTGATATCTGTAAACTCGGTAGAATCCATCATTCTCTTAATTTCACTGATCATGTTCTCAGTCTCTTGGACGTGGTTTTTTATGTCTTCCTCTTGTTTGGCTTTGTTATCTCTCAGTTCTTGAAGCATATCAACCAATGCGTCCCTGCTTAGTTGCTTTTCAGGTGATATGGATACCGAAATAACACTGGTGTTATTAAATGAAGTCCTGCTAGAATCCCCGAGAACTCCAAACTCGGTCTTCAAATCAAGGATTTCCTGTCGCAATTTTATCTCAAGTGTGTTTTTCTCTTTCATCAACTGCTCCATCAACTTTATGAGTTGTAACACATGCGAGCCTTCATTAAAATTTTGCGAATGGCCCACCCCATTAGCAAAGGAAGATCCATTCATGAGGTTCTTCAGTCTTTCGTTTTCTCTTTTGAGTCTTTCGTTTTCCAGCTGTAACTGCTCCATGGTCCTCTGGCCTTCAGTAGTGTACCTTCCCCTAGATTTCTCAATTTCCTCCCGCAATTTTCGGTAAAGTTCTGAATTCTCCCTCCTGAGCTTCGACAGTTCCTCTTTGGCCTTATTCAGACCTGTTTGATAATTATGCGCTTCATCCTTGTAAGCATCAATACCACTATGAAGACTCTTAACATCTCTCTGAAGATCGCTTATCTCTATGTCTTTCTTTTTTATGAGTTCTTGATATTCTAAAATGTGCAAGTTGGACTGTTGTTCAAGTTGTTTCTTTAAGCTTTCCATCTCGTCTTGTTTTTCTCGCAAAAGACGCTGGAATTTATGATCAAATTCTGATCTTAGCGTACCAATATCTTTCATGTGTTCCTCGGTAAGCGTTTTTGATGCATTCTCTTGCTGCACCAAATCTTCCAGTTTCTCCATAAGGTTGCTGAATTCTTCAGAGTGTTTCTTCTTGATGCGACCTTCTCGTTGTTGATATTGCTTTTCGAGCTCGGTTTTTGTAAAGTCTATCTCTTGTTGATGTGCGTTTAGGGTACGTGTCATCTCTTCCTTCAGACTCTCAACTTGGTTTTTGAGCTCGTTATTCTCAACTCTTAAAGACGCTAACATGACCTCGTATCCAAGCTTCATATTTTCTGTCTCTTCGCTAATTCCAAGCATATCTTTCTCCGCAGACAGCGTTTCAACTCGCGATGATAACTGAACAACTTCAACGCCAATTTGTTCTTTTAAATTTTCACACTCCTTTATTTTTTCTTGTAGCTGCTCTTGGAGGTTTTTTATGGCCGCGTCTTGCTGGGTGGTGTACTTTTCTCGTAGAGCGCCCAGCTCAAGTTGAGATTCTTCAAGTTTAAATTTCAATTCTTCCATCTCTGCTGCTTTCTCTTCTTTTGTCACCTCCAGCTCCCTAACTCGTTCCTGTATTGTCTCATTTAAAAGGTCAATTTGCTTCTTATGTTCTTTTTCTAGGGATTCTCTCTGGGATCGTATTTCTACCTCGTGCTGGCTTAGGAGGTCAGCTTGGAAAGCACTTTCGAATGTAAGCTGGTCTTTCAATGATTCAATTTCCTTCTCGTACTCTTCCTTTATTTGTTCTTTCTCTTGTTTTACTAATTCAGCTTCTTGGACAGCATTCTTTAGTTGCGCGTGGTGCTCCTGGATTAATCTGGATTCCAGTACAGTCAAATCCACCTTGTGTTTCTCAACCAGTGTTTGTTTCTCAGCTTTTACCTCGTCAAGTTCTTTATTGGCGTGATTTACTTTCGTTTCTAAACTGTTCTTTTCTTCCTTAAAGTTCGTTTCCATTTTTTCTAGCTGGGCTTCGTGTCTCGTTACTTGTTCTGTCATAAGACCTTCGTGTTCTTCGTCTTTCAGTTGATTTAACTGCTCAAGGTTTTCTACCATACCTTTCAATGATTCAACTTCTGCTTCGATCTCTTCGCGACTGACGCGGTGTTCTTCCTCCATTTTAGCAAAAATGTTTTCGTAATTCTTCTTCAGTTGCTCGTTATTTTCTTCGTACTCTTGTTTCAGGTCATTCCGAATGCGTTCCAAACTGTGAACGTATTCCGAGCTCTGATTTTCCATCAGTGCTCGCATCTCTTTCTCCAACCTGGATGTCTTCTCTATTTCTTGGTCGAGCTTATTGGTCACTAGGTCAATAGTCTCTTTCTGTGTTGTTATAGTGCTTTCCTTTCCTAACACAACGCTCTCCATTTCTTGCAGTCTCGTCACGTGTTTGTTCAGTTCTTGATTTTGCTCTTCTATCATTTGTTTTATGGCAGCGCTTTCATTCTTTTCAGACATCAACTCATCTTCCAAAACTTTAATCTTCGCCTCAAACTCATCCGTAAGTCTTTGTTTATCAGCAAATGCTTCTTCGACCTTGCCTTGCAGTTTCAATTTCTCACTTCTCGATTCCTCTAACAGTTCAGCAATTTTCTGTTCCAGGGCCTCCTTTGACTCGGCTTCAGTAGAAATTGTTCCTTCTAGACTATGAATAGAGGAATCATGTTCCTCAATTAGGCGTTTATTCGCTTCTCGAAGCTGTGTCACCTCTCTTTCTAACTCTTCTTGCTTGGATGCAAACCGAGAACTTGACTGTTTCAAGGTTTCTTCTGCGCTGCTTGCTCTCTCTGATGCATCTTCTAAATCACCGACCAAGGCTTCGATTTTTTCATCGTACATATGAACGACTGCCTGCTTTGCGGTATCTAGATGTTTCACCATGGTTTGCAACTTCTCGTTCTCACCAAACGCATTGCTTAGTTGTTCTTTAAGAGCCTCTTTTTCACTTTCCATTGAGGAAACACTTTGTTGATAATCCTTTTTATTTTCTTCAAGTCGAGCCAATAACTGATTCTGTTCTTCTCCTGTCTTCTTTAACTTTTCCTCATATGTCTCTGCAAGTTTATTGAGATCATGCTCACTTTTCTCTTGTACACTTTTTAGCTCTTCCCTCATACTGTCGGCTTCTTTTTTCGCAGCGCTAAGCTCAATTTGTAAGGACTCAATTTTTTCCTTGAACTCTTTTAGTGACTGCTCTTTTTCTTTCTCACTCTCACCGTCCGTTGTGTCTTTTTCCTCTGCCCTAGTTTCCAAATTACAAATCTTTTCTTCAAGACTGTGTATTTTCCCTTTATACTCTGCTGCGACCCGTTCCAATTCACTTGCGTGTTTTTCTTGTTCCTCTGTCTCCGCGAATTTCTCTTCTATTTCTTTCAACCTCTCAATTTCCTCTGCAAGCAGACTACTCTCTTCTTGCGAGTAGCTTAACTTCCTGCTTAGGTCCTTATTTAATTTCATCAAATCTTTAATTCTGGTTTTCTCTGCAACAAGGTCTTCGTAGAGAACCCGAAGCTTTCCTTCGTATTCGTCTTTGAGTTTTTGTCTCTTAGCGGCAGAATCCCTGGAGAGTTGCTCTCTTTTCTTGGAGATCTGCTCCTCGAGCTCCTCTTTTAAAATTTCGAGCTCTTTCTCGTGTTGGCTCAAAAGAACACCAAATTTGTTGTGTCCCTCCTCTTCAAGTTCCTGTATTGTACTCGCTTGCTGTTCTGACAGTGTTTTCAATGCCTCGATTTCTTCCAGAAATTTTTCTTCAAAGTCACCAGCGACTGGGGCAGCGCGAAGCGTTTCAAGTTCGTTTTGAAGCTGGACAATTTCTTGCGATGAACCGTTATTCACATCTTGAAGTTCTTTTATTTTCGCTGTGAGGGAGTCAATGTCTTCCTTCATTTTTGAAACCTCGAATTCGTAGTTCTCTTTTTCTTTCTCAAGCTTTCTAAGCTGCTCTACTTCAGCGCGTAAATTTCTCAAGATGTTTAACTCTGACATCAGGCTTTCTACGTCTGCTGAATGCTGTTCATCGCTTAATTTCTTTGCAGCTTCGAGCCGTTCATACTGTTCCCGTGACTCCTGCAGCTCGCTCTCTAACTGTTCTACTCGGTCTTCTAAACGCTGCTTTTCGTTATCAAAAAGTCCCTGCTCTCTTTCACGAAGTTCAGAAGATCCTTTTTGCAGCTTGGAAATTTCCATCGAGTGCTCATCGCTAACGTTTTCTTAAAGACGATTCTACATCTAAATGTTTCTCGTGAAGCTCATCGCATTCCTTCTGTAGCTTATTCAATTCTTGCTCGAGATTTTCGCGATCTCTTATCACAGTAATCAGTTGTTGTTCTTTATTTTGCGCATCACTACTTTTCTCTTCTAATTTGGACTTCAAGCTGTCTATCTCTTCACAATGTTTGTTATCAGAAGCTCTTTTCGCTTCTTGCAACTCGTAGCAGTTGTTTTGAGAGTCCTCTAGGTCCCTCATCAGACCTGAGAGTTTGACTTTTAAAACTTCCATCTCTTCAGCGTTCTTATTATCCATCTCTTGTTTCTGCTCTAACTCTGCATACGCCTTCTTAACTGACGCCAAATCCTGTTGTAGCTCTGAGACAGTAAGCGACATTTTGTGTTTGTTTTCCTCAAGAATGTTCACTTGAGAGTTTCTTGACTCTATCTCATCTCTTAGTGCGCCTATTGTCGACTTCAACGCACTTGTTTCAGACTCGTACTTCTCTAACAAAATTTTTTTCTCCTCCTCGAGGCTTGCTGCTTTCTTGACGTAAACATTAACTTCTTCTTGCAGTGTTTTGATTTCTCCTTCTTCCATGTCTTCGTATTTCTTCCTCATATTAGTAAGCTGTGCTTCGTAGTTCTCCATTAAGGACTTTTTTCCATCTTGCAATTCTTGAAGCTTGTTCTTATACAGTTCAAGTTCACTTTTAAGTGTCGTTAGATTTTCTTCCTCCAAGCTTTTATCTTGCTTGTAGCGTCCTTCAACCTCACTCATCTTGTTTCTTAGCTCAGAGAGATCGCGTTCGTACTTTTCTGAAAGTGACTGATTTTCTTTTTCCAATTCGAAATACCTATTCTTATACGGCTGCAGCTCCTCTTTCACTTCCGATAGCTGTCTCTCAAATTCTTCCTTCTGTTGTGCTTCAAACTGCATTTTCTCTTGCATTAGCACTTCTCTACTCCTCTGCTGAACTTCATCCATTTGAACCATGATGTCAGACACTTGACGCTCGTATTTATCTTTAAGAGTTCTGTTACTTTCTTCCAACTCAGATCGCGTCTTTCCTATGTCTTCCTCATACAGCTTTCTCCAATGCTGCTCAACTTTGTTTACTTTCTCGCCCAATTCGCTTTGGTATCTTTCCTTTAGTTCGTTAGACTTCTTCTCTACTAATGCCTTACACTGCCGACGCATCTCCTCTTCGATCATCTTCACTTCCTGCTGCTTCTCAGCCTTGAAAGCTTGAACCTGCGCCTCAACCGCGTCCATCTGACGCTGATATTCAACAACTTTGTCTTTCTCCACCCGAAGCTCTTGCTCCAAGCTTGATACTTTGGAACGGCATTCCTCCTTTATAATAACCACTTGTTGCTCAGTGGTGTCTTGTTGAATGACAGATCTGCGACGCTCTTCCGAAAGTTCTCGTAGTTTGCCTAAAAGTTCGGCTATCTCTTGGGAATGACTATCTCTAAGGCCTTGAATCTGATCGTCCATGTCAGCTGTAACTTGATCGAGATCGTTCTGGTATTGACTCTTCAGCTGGCGTTGAAGAGCCGCGATCTTTTCCTCATACTCGTTTTTCTGCCGTTCTAACTGCTGCTCCCACTCTTCCTCCATTTTATTAAGACTGTCATCCAGTTCTCCTTGATACTCCTCACTAAGTCTTTTTGCAACTTGTTCAATTTGTTGTTGGTAATGAGCGTGTAGTTCAGTACGGAGTGATTCCATACCTGAGGCAGTGTCACTCTTTCCATCATGGCTCACAACAATAACTGATTTCACATTCCCATTACCGTTTTCTCGAGGAGAGTCATTTTCAATCTCGCCATTATCTAACCTCGCAAATTCGTTGTTCTCAGCGTTGAGTTTTGCAGAGTTCAACTTTTCCTGGCGCAGCACTTGTTTGAGTTCTTCCACTTCCGAGTTAGATTTTTCTAATTTTGTAATGAGATCATCGAGTTCAACCTGATGCTGATGGGTGAGACGATCTTTCACCGCCATGATCTCAACTCTGTACTTGGTCCGTTCCTGCTCCAAAAGACTTTCGAAGTCATTCGCGACATTTTCATCTCTGTTTTCCGAGTCCCTTTTCTCTTGCAAGTTTTTATTGCGATTGTCACTGCTACTGGAACCGTCGCTGTATTCTCCTCCTGTACTTTCCTCTTGATTTTCTATGCGGGCTCTGAGTTCCTCGAGTTCTTTCTCGTACTGGCTTCTCACCTCAATCAGTCGCTCCTCAATCAATTTCTCAAAATCCCGTTCGCCACTGCCTAAACTAGCACGAAGTTTTTCCGTTTCTTCCTCGTGTTTATCAAGCTCGTTTTCTAACTCAAGTTGCGCCTCGAGCAACTTGTTTTGCAAGTTACCGATATGATAGTTTTTGTCCTCAATCGTTGTGCGTAACTTCTGAATCTCTTTTTCAGAGTCGGTCTTGAGCTTTAAAACCGTAGGATCTTCTGCTTGATCTGGGAACTGTGATACTTGACTCAGGTGCTCCTGAAAACTTGAGGATAAAACCACAAGCTCTTGTGCGTGCTCTGTATTCAGCTGTTCTCTCTCTTTTATTAATTCCTCTATTTTAACTTCCAGGTTTTGAACTTCTTGTCTGTACGTGTCTCTTTCTTCCAATACCTAAAGAAATCAATAAGATTCTGCTGTTTAGCATAATGGTGGCCCACCGTAAATCCTCTATTAAGCGCCCCGCCTCCCCCTGTGGGGGGAGGGGGGGCTTAATTGAGACGGGAAGCTTACTAAATTTAGTACAGACGATGGTATCTGTTTACCATAAAGAACTAGAATACAAAGTGGAAAACCTCAAGTACAAGAAGTTGGAGGTCATGCAGCCGAGGATCAAAGACAAATCCGAACTTCCACTGACTTCCAGCTGGTGAATAGACCATCGTCAGTTCACACGAGGTTTTACGGTCGTGATTGATTAATACAGTCTATCATTTATTTGTGAATAATGATAAGGAGGAGAGGGGGGGTGGGGAGGTTATTAGAGAGCGGAAGCTTATTTCAGAACGGACATGGGCTTGATAGAGGATTTACGGTACTTAGCATTGTTATCACCGACATAAGAAACGCAAATACAAATCCCTCCCGGCTGCTAGCTAAGTACGGAAAATGAAGATTGCTCAGAAGCGAGGAGATACAAGGGCAACTAAGATCTTTCAGCCAGGGATGTTTTTCCTGATATAACAGAGCTATGCCATCACTGACTTGCACAAACCTTTTTTTTTTGTTTCACGAAAAAAGTAACATTATGCCCCCATAGACATAATTTTTTATCTTTTATTATAACATTGCATAACGAAAATCACAGGATTGAGAAGAGGGAACGCTACGAAGAAAAAAGTGAGTCCCGCCTTACGTCTTTGAGGCACATAATTATTAATTATTTATTATTAATTGTAAATACGGTTATGATGCCATATCATATTGTTTGCCTTGCAGGAAAAAAATCCAAGTTGAAGATAATGGTTTATGGTGGTTTTTGTTTTTTACTTCACGGACGTTTTCAATATCGCGCAAAAACTCACTAAAGAGACACTATAGGCAAAATAACAACCTTACGTTGCCTCGACACAGGCGGGCAAATGGTCAAAGGACTTTTGCCTACTGTGGGGCAAAAATGCATAATACCTCATCTACAGATATGAGGCACGGAAAGTCGGGCCATTTTAAACATAATTTTAAAAAATATTTTTAATTCATAGATAGTGTTTTATTATTGAAATGTAATGGTCTTCAAAATTAATGTTTTATTATTATTATTATTAGTATTATTAACATTAATATTATTAATTTGTTATTTTATCATCAAAATGTAAATAGTTTTCTAGTTTATTTTATTTTATTTTTCACTTCACTTCACTTCACATTTCACTTCACTTCACATTTTTCACTGTATGTATGGCAAAAGAGCCCCCAATGGCGAGATGTGCAATCAAAGTATGTATATATGTATGTATGTAAGTGTATTTTGGGAGATGTGGAAATGGTGAACAACCCTGCACTCTAAAGATAATTGAAGAGAGCCCAGTGTTCTGAACCTGTAAAATCTAAGGTGTGCAGTGTATGATTTGTATCTAAAAACTAAGATTTTCGAGTCACCCAAGAACTAAAGACTAGGTGCCAGACCCCCAGGTTCTGCTAGAGACCAGCCCAGGGTGAATGATGGACACGACCTTGGTTTAGATTAGATTCAAGTGTATCAGCCTAGTGAGCCTGGTATTGGTATTTAATTTGTAGGTTGTGTTGATTTAAAGTTAAATCAACAGAGCCTATTATGTATACCTATCAACTTCTCTCTTGTCCAAAAGGCAAGCAATGCGATCATGTTGTGAGTGTGCACGGGGGAGGAGAAGGGGAAATTAATTAGAATGCAAATAGCTTAATTGAGTAAAATGAAGCATGTCATGGAGGCAAATCTTCATGTTGTTTCGAAACACAAATAAAACAAATGGCCATCTACGCAGGATTGTGTCAGTGCACAGCTAATTATAATAAATAATTACTCCCTTAACATCAGACATTAATCCATTCGCTCCTGGAGATTTTGCCGAAAAACGCGTTTTGAAGCTAGTCGAGTGGTTTTCTGGTCACTGTCGTGCTATAAAGAGCTAAAACTTACCACAAACCGATTTACAGGTCGTACACTTGGCGGCCTTCTGATCCAGATGCAAAATATCAGCTTGCAAAGTTCGGGCATGTGCAGAAAGCAAAATTTCGACATAGTTTTTGGGTTTAAAAGTGACACAGCAGTCTTGACTTTTACTTTTCGCGTTCTCTCCTCCCTTCTTTTTTCGCTTTTCTTGCCTCATTTTTTTTTTCTCTTGCTGGGCATTTAGTAGGCTTCATTTTGGTGGGAAGAGTTTTTAGGAAAGCTTTTAGGATCTTAGGATTAGGTGAAAGGAAAGGTAGGTGGGTAATGGAACAAGATTTTCATGGAGATTTTCAGGTCCTTGTCACGTGGTTTTTTGCTTCTTTCTCCGGTGTCCTTGACTGAATTGTGCTCATTCTGGTATGGTTTGAAAGATCTCTTCACTCTGCACAAGTTAGCGAAGAAAGTTGTCCTTGACCGTTAAAAATGATGACGTCACAAAGGGTAGAAAGGACCTAGATCCGCACGGGCGGTTACGGGCGGTTCAGGGGCGAATGGGTTAAGGATAATACAGATGCATAATATATAGATTTAGCCAGGGCTAAAAGGGAAGCTCTTATTGGTATTTATAGTTTACTCAAACAAAATATATATGTAAAATCATTTAATGCTAGGCCGCGATGGCAACAAACATAGCAAAGAAAACTGATAGGTATCCAAAATGCGTGGGTGCTTGAAAAATGCAAAATTTCACCCTGGATTACATGAAAGGTGGATTTATGTACATACAGGTGATTTTCTGAGAACTAGAATTTCTTGGATGCAGAGATAACCACATTTTCTCACCCACGGTGCTCCGCTGTGCGCACGAGAGCTCTGCTATGATCATAAACTTACATTAAAGTACTTGTATAGTGCTGAGATCAATTCAATAGGGGATATTTTGCTTGAGCTGGGATGGGAGCAGCCTGCAAAAACAGCTGTCTCTCCCAACTCCTTGCCCCTAGGGGTGTTTTGTCAGGAGGGATGTCTGCACCTTTGCGACAGAAATTCCAAACTGATGATCTCAATCAATGTTTACATAATTAAATGTTTGATTTTCGGCTTCTCCTGGTCAATTTTCAGAAAGTTTTGTGTTCTTCTGCCAATGCTCAAATGCTTCTTCTAAAACTAGAATAATTATTGTATTCCACAAATATTATTGTCTGTTTTAAATTTGTTATAGATTCATTTGACACAATAGCTAACAATCAGTTATATAATTACTATGTTGACCCATCAGATTTCTTGACAAGATTCCTGACGAATTTTACGTCATCAGTATGAAATTTCTGTCACTGAGGCGCAGATGTCTCTCCTGCCAAAACATACCTAATGACGAGGAGCAAGGGAAGATAGCTGTCTTTCCAGGATAGGATGGGAGAATAGTGTGATAAATTTTTACTCACATTTTGAAATCCTCTGAGTTTCAGTTTCAGTTTTGAGATCTTTTTTTCCATATGAGCATGCCCAGTGGAGCCAGATGATTCTTCAGAGGGGTCATCTTCAGTAGATATCAAACCTCCACTGTCACTGTCTTCCATACTGATGCAGACAAAATTAAAATAACCTGTGAGAATATAAAATGTCAGACTACATGTCTGGTGGGTGGTAGCCTGTGTAGCAGTCATTGAAAAGGGTAGGGATTGTGAGGCATGAAGGCAAAGAGGAAGGGGATTATTGTGCTTTTCTCCCACTCCCCCCTCCCCCTTTTGGCACCTGCCATGAACACTAAAGTGAGTGGGAGACACAGATGCTGAATTACATCCTAAATTACCATAGCTGGACAAAGTGACTTCTGTTGAGCTGCTAGATTCTTCTGCCAGTTTACCCTGTATTTTCTTGTTAGTCAATTACAGAATTTGATATTAAACAGTAGTCACTCAGGGCCTTCTTAAACACCCCTTTGTTAACAGTTGTCGTAGACAGTTCTTCAGTTTCTTAGCCACCATTGCAATTCTTATATACTAAATTAGACGAATGAGCTTAATTTATACATTTACCCTATTAGTGTTCTTAACAATCACAACTGACTGCTACACAGGCTAACAATTAACGATATTAAACAGGAACCTGGGCTTCTGTATTGAAGAGTTTCTCTCTCTCTTCTTTTTGCACCTTTTCATCTTACCTCAATGAAGCTTGCTTCATCTAAGGTTTTTCTTATGGTAAGTGTTTAAGTTTTCTAAATTTTCTAAACAAACGTTAAGATTGGTCACTCCTAAATGCACATACAAGACGTTTAAAAGTGACTAATATATAAAAGGAATATTATTCTAGCAAAACGGCTTATAACTATATAAAACAACATTAGTTTATTAAAGACCTTTGCTTGAAAGCTACAGACTGACCTAACAGCTTTGATAAAGAATACTGGTCGCTTTGACTTAGCTTATAATATTCTCAATGATTCTCATACACCACTGATTCTACAAATTTTATACTAAAAACAAAATGTCACGTCAAAAGCCCAAATAACGCGCGGTTTAGACTGAGAAGGAACAGGTATTGTGTGCCACTGAACTGAGATAGATATATTTGATGAACTTTTCAACCACTATAAAATACTGCTTCCAACGAACATCGATAAAAATAGAAATAATATATTCGTGCTCAATTTGAACTATGATGATTTCGGATATTAAAACTTACAGTCATCAAACGTCATAGAAATTACATTTTCCCAGTAGAAATTCTCAGATTTGTGAATATCTTCAACAAACAAATATGGATATTGATGAAGAGTGTTGTAATACATTTTTAAAGTACTAAGCTGATATAAAAATGTCAAGTTTCTTAGGATCAAAGAATCATTTCTTATTATTTCGTGACAAGAAACAAACCTGTCGTAGTTTATTCTAATCATTCCCGAGAAAGAGAAATATTTTTTGGTTGAATAGGGAATTTGAGAATTTGCAGCTCGATTCGATTCCTATGGGAATTTACTGACTAATAATTTCAAAGAAAAGCGATAATGAAGATATAAAATTGCTGAAAATGTCTCGACTGAATCAAAACATTTTACGTAAACATCATGCAGGTATTACCATTTCGTTTTAACTTCTCGCCGTCGAGTCGTAGGTGTATAATAAACTATGCAAAGATAAATATTTGAAAAGAAAATTCGAAAACGCTACTTCAAAATCCACCGGGACTCTAGCTAGCGGAAGCTCAGCGCGAACAGCCATTGTATTGACGTGACGTTGTTATGTTATATGGTGCACATATGACAGATATTTCGAGTAACTTTTGTGCCAGCCATTCTTAACTAAGAAAGACCGTCCCAGCTAGTTCGATTTATACGCTTCAAGAGATCCAAATAAGACAAAAAATGACACATTTACAAAAGCTTAACCATCATTCTTTCATCTTCATTTGCGATATTGGTACGTGGAAAGGAATCAAGCACAGTACATTTCGCGTTGCCTCTCTATAAACTAAAATCCCTCGCTGTTGTTAGAAGCAATGCGTTGTCAATTTCACAGTTGAAATGTAAACAACTGCTATAAACCCGTTCTTACCTTTAGATCGTGGATTATTCAGCTTTGTCAGCCTTTCCTAATCTTGTTTAGAGTCGGATCGTAGCGCATCCTCGCGCAGGCCGGTATGTCTTCTTAGAAACAACGTGCAATGAGAGTCTGGCGCGAGTTTTCGAAACTCGAGAGTTTACTTTGCAAAGGTCGATTGTCCCCGTTTATATGCTTTTATAAATCTATTCCAACCGAAGTGAAAGTAACGTGTTGAAATCCGCTTTAACTCAAAGCGTGGCGGATGAATAACACGGGACTCGTGATGTGACGCTGAAGTGGCTGACTGTCGACGAGGCGTAAAATTTTCCCCACGATCTCAGTACTCCTCGAGCGCTAACTTTATACAGAACTGACGGTCACGAATAGAAATGCGCGCTGGTCGCTGTCAATGTTGTGGTCATATATTGACGAGTCAATTAAGATCGACCAATCAAAACATCGCCTTCAAATAACCTTCCCAAAGCCCTCTATTGTCTAAAAAACGCCACTGTAGTTGTTCATTGACATCATGCCGTTTTGACTAAAAAGAAAGAGTCGTGCGAACCAAACAGATTTGACAGCAAAGCCCTTGAAGTCGCTTTCATAGTTGACTGCATAGGAATAATGTCAACATTTCAGATTCTTGAAGAGCATAGGAAACAACCAACGCCGTCCACATTTTTAATTATTTCTTTCAGGCCCGCGGATCATGGTTTAAAGTGACGTGGGAATAACTTAAAGCAAATGAGCTCTTTGATCGGCTGCGTTCCAAATCGTGAACATATTTCCAGTTAAAAAGAGATTTACAGCTCAACGTCATTACAAGACTCTTTATGCGTAATGAAAACAAAACTTTCTGCTGCTACATTGCAAATCAGTGGTCTCGTCCTGTTCCACAAATCATTGATTCCTTTTCCGCTTCCAACATAAACTTCGTCTGTTCTTCAAAATACGATTTTAAATTTCTTGCCTTTTTATAAAAGAAAAATGTCTTACTCGGCCAACGCTGAATTAATTACGGAACATTCCAAGAATGTCAAACAGAATAGAAGCCTTAGAGTTGTCAGGGCTCCTGGAGTCAGCATGAGAGAGGTTGTCTGGTCACAGGCAGCCCAAACTCTGTGGGAGTTCTTTGGACTTTGAATTAAGAGAATGTATGAAAACTGGAACAAAATACGTCCTAAGTTCCATTCATTGACAAAAATAGAAATAAAAATTACTTACCTTGTGTTTGGGGAAAAAACCGATCGTTTCTGTAACTCGACATATGAGCATCGGCGAGCATCGGCATTGTTGCGTAACATTCGAAATATGGATTTGGCATTTGGGTGGGAAAAAACCTATCGTTTCTGTAACCTACGAAAATGAAAGGATTTCAATAAAAAAACAGCTCACCTTACTTAAAATGTGTGTTACGTCTGTCCTGTGCGTGTGGTCCACGGGCCGATTTATGGCCGTTTTATGGGTTTTTACGTAAACGGTTTTCTAAACCTTTGTATCAGAGAGAAAACCGTAAAAACCCATAAAACGGCCATAAATCGGCCCGTGGACCATACAGGAGAGACGTAACAAACATTTTAAAAGGTAAGCTGTTTTTTACTGAAATCCTTTCATTTTCGTAGGTTACAGAAACGATAGGTTTTTTTCCCACACAAATCGGTATAGAGTGGACTCTCTCTTAACGGATACCTCTATAAGACGGACACCTCCCTAAAACGGACACCTAGAGTTGGTCCCTGCCTCTCCTTACTCCCTTTATTTGACTCTCTATAAGACGGACATCTCTCTAAGACGGACACTTACTGCCGGTCCCAAAGGTGTCCGTCTTAGAGGGAGTTGACTTGTATTTCTAATGTTACGCAACAATGCCGATGTTCGCCGATGCTAATATTTCGAGCTTGGGCTACCTGTACGTGGAGAAACCATGGCCTATCGTTTTTTTTTTTTTTTTTTTTTTTTTCGACCTTGGTTCAGCTTTCGCGCAGCTGTATCTCTTACTTTGCGAATCACAAAAGAAAAAAACACACCAGAAAGCGGCCAGCTGAGCAAGCCAACCGAAAAACCAGGCAGGAGCCGATTACTAGAACCAGGTCAAACGTTTTTTATCGTCGACGCGACGATCTGATCCATGATCATCATCAAAGGATCACATGACATTCGTCCTCAAAACTTGTTATACCGGAGTGAAGTCACGTGACTAGCCTCCGTCTTTGTATTTTGTCATGATATATTTTCTTTGGTCCAGACTTGATATGTCGTTTTGCATTTGCTTGCTGAAGATAACAGTTACGATTTACGCCGTCGAGGAAGATATCAACTAAAGTACTGAGGTAAGTTTCTGAGCACTTTTTAAGTTTTTTTTTTCAAGGTGTTTGTAAAGTGCGTTTTGACCGGTGATTCTCAATTTGATGGCCGCGCTCTCACACTGGTCTGTCCGGCGGGCCGCCACTAGACTGTCAGATCGATAGACCGCACGCAAGCAATTTTCTCAAACCGTAGTCTAACAACGAGTTATTTTCTTTCATGTAATCAAATGCCAGAAATAAAGAAGGCTTTTGGGAATACTTCTATTATTTTTTAGCATTCCTCTGACACTTTAGCGCGAGTTTTTTACTGCCTGACCACTGAAGCAGTGCGTTAATTGACTAAGTGAACGGCTTTGTTTAATTTCTCGCACAATGTTTGAACTATGTTACGCGGAGATCCAATGAATTCGAATGAAGAAAACTGCAAAGAATCATGATGATGTTTTAGTTTCGACGTATTGAACTGAACAAAGCATAAGCCTACGTGTGTGATGGGTAGCAACACATCGAGATGTGATATCGGTCGCCATATTATAACAATATTATTGTTTTTCACAAAACAACATCCATTATGGACATTTATACTGTAGTGGACATTTCACAATAGAAAATTCGAGATAAATTCTTCAGAAAAGAAAGCAAATTTTCGGTAGTTTTAAACCGCCGAATTTTACCGGGATTCAACGACAAAGAGTTGCATGATTCGTGCAACTGATTAAGTCCTGATTAAGCTGATTTTTACAGTTCAACATCGAAACGAAATCGATATTTAATTAATTATTTTGCACTGCAGGGCCTGTAGTAAATACTTCATCCCTTTAAATCGTTGCCTTCTTAGAAGTTAAAGATAACACTAAATAGAGGAGTCCACGCTTGCCGTTTCCTCTGGGTAAAATCAGGCAGAGATTGCTCAGGGGCACCCAACGAGAATACAGTTCAAAACCACGTAAACATAGCATTGTTAAATGTATTTAAGTATTTAAACAGTAGATATAGGCATATTTTTATCCCCTAAAAATGTTTCATCTGTTCGGATTTCCTAGCTGAAAGTCTAGCGATCCGAAAATAATTATTATAGGGATCAAAACTTACCTTTTCGAAAATTTGAGCCAGAAAAAAGGCTCCCGAAAGGTGACCTTTGTAGGGTAAAAATCCGTTAAAAATGGGCAATTATACTAATTTATAGATGTTCGAAAATCCTAGGAGAGGTATGCAAGCAAGAAGTTTTATAAAAAATGTTCGGAAAATTGTAGATCTGCAATTGTCTTCCGAACAGATATTTTCCGAAAATTGACGTTGGGTGCCCCTGACGGCTGGAAATTCAATGGCTCTGATTTATATCCAAATTTAAGACTACGATTTAACTAATTCTTACTGAATTCATATATTAATATGGAATTCAAAGAAAAAACAGCCAGGAGTTCATGGAAGTCCATTTTCAGTTTTTTAAAAAACTTAATTTCTTCCGTATATTTCTGGGTTTTTTACACAAAATGTGTGAGAAAAATCACAGACAGACCAACCAAACAGTTCAAGGCAGTATGATGTCACATGCACTATTTCATTTCATACATTAAGTAATACTCAACAGTTGTTCTCGGTTAGGTTCAAGCAATCGAGACAAATTATGCTTCACAAAAATAAAAATGTTACACCTTATCCCAAATGTTGATAGAAAGACAAGGGTCAACCTTACCTTATGCTCCTAGTGTAGTTTTTCACTTTTTTGTGGCATTATATGTGGCTTAACACTGGTGCCCTTGACAAAGAGGAAGAAAATGGCATGTTATGCAATCCAACAGCCACCCACAGCTGAACGACTTCTGACTTTTGTCCATTTTCCCCCATGTCCACACATCCCTTACCATCCAGCCTTTGGAATATGAGAGTCAGGAAGTTTTTGAGGATCAGTTCCAGAAAATTTTGGGATTCATTTTCCTCTTATGGCCTAAAGCGATGCCACAAGTTTTCACATTTGTCTCAAAATTGCCATTGTCATAAGAAGTCCAAAAAGTGGTCCATTATAACCACCATTTTAAATTCAAATTAGGTACAATAATGACCCTTGCCACCTATTCCCAATGTGTTTTGTGACCAGTAGACACATGAATTTGTAAGAAGTACACATATGTTGCAGACAGTCTGCACTAATCCTAGGATATTTTCAAAGTTTGCATGTCATATGATAAAGCATCTTACAGTAAAAAAATTATTACAAAGTTATTCCCTGCGTCAGCTGATTTAAGGCAAAGTAAAGTCTTTGTTGGGCACTCTGTGAGAGAAATCAAGTGTTCTAAAAACTAACCATGGACTTCGGTATACTCCAGATTTGGTGTATTGTTTCTTTGAATCATAAGTTACACTGGAAAGAGAAAGTGTCAAATTTGTTAAATCAGTCAGAATTCATTATCTTTGAATAACTGCAATACAAAGCTTTGAATTTCTCACCATCTTGCCCTTATAACCTTTGATGCAACTAAGATTGAGAGTTCCTCTATTTGATTCAGTTAACTTAAAAGAAATATCAGCAGAGATTCCAACTTAAATAATCTGGTACCCAAGTATCTTACACAATATTTTACAAGGAATGCGGATTTGCACAATCATTTCTCTAGGAGAAGCAACAACCTGCACCCACTAAAGCCTAAATGTAACATGGGCAAAAGGGACTATTTATTTCAATTCTTTACCCAACTGTGTTAACAGTGCCACGTCTAAATAGTTTAAATCGAAAAGATGCTGATTAAGTATTTTACCTTACAATTTTAATTTCTTCTCTCTTAGCACACACTTTTTATATCGACCTAGCTAGATTTTTTATAGCATTATTGTTTGTTTTAATCATGTACATAACTTAGGAATTTTTAAATAGTATACAATCAGGGGCAATTTAATCAGCGGCTACCCTGATAAAATAAAGTTACTTACTTACTAAAACGAAAATTGTGTCAAATATTACCAGGTTATGTAGTTCTGTTAAAATTGATCCTTTTTTTGAAGTGTCCATAATGTAAAAAAATTTATTATGTTATATAAACTGAAAGAACTTCTTGCTCTTCAAATCGCAAATTTTGTGTGCAGAGGCTCTTGTAGTAATGTATACTGTCTTAAGTTTATATTAAAAAATAAAAATTTTCAGGTTATGGGCACTTTATTGAATCAGATGCATCAGTACCCTGGCTAAGGTGCCCACAGAGTAACATACACTTTATTGAATCAGTGTTCTAAAATAGTTCTTGTGTCTGCGTCTGTCATGAAGGTGGCTCGACTGGATTTTTTAGGTGGGATCCCTCCCAAGTTTGAGCATTAACTATGCCGGCATCAGTAAAGATATGGGGAAAAGGTTACCTCAGCTGTATTATATAAAAGGATGAAAATTTCTTATCAGTACCCTGGCTAAGGTACCCACAGAGTAACATACTTTGTCTTGTGATGAGATTGTTACAATAACACATACACACAAATTTTGTAACTCAGAGTTAAACCTTAAGTTGAAGTATCTTGACAATAATAACATAATTCCGATTTCTCTTTTTCACTTAGTATTTTGGCAAAGTACTGTATGTAGATGCTTGCATACAGTGATGGGCACAGGACAAAACCATGTCAGACCATCGATATCGCAACAAACATCGGTCACTGTGGCCACCCAGGCGAGTCAGTACCAGGCTGTCTACTTCACAAGGGGTCCATTACGACAGGACACATCACTATGACAACACACCCATCAGTACTTCCTCTTCAGCAATGGAAATCCCTCCTGACACTGTAATTGTTCATGTTCCAGGAATGCCTCCAGCTTCCAGGACTTGTTCTACTGAGGGGCATCCCAGTGGTGAGTAGACAAATTTATATGGTCCAAAAGAGACGTTTCTACAGTACAGGCTATGGGAATTACAGCATTAAATGCTTGTTTATTGCATATTTAACCACCATATTGCATGAAAATTACACAAGAAATACATGCGCGAAACAGGCATGTGAAAAAATAGACAAGAAAGTACAGGCAATTTTTGGAAATTGAGTGTAAAATTTTACACGTAGACTGCTTGTATTTGACAACTTTCATCTTTGTTACAAATCTGTAAAGGGATGAACAATGATCTCTCAACCTCAAATCATACTTTGAATATCAGTCATATTTTTGGGAAAAATAGAATGATCATTTCTCCAGGGATTTCAATAACAATATTGTTGAAGTAGCCAGTAGCAGGGCTCGAACATAACTTTTGAACTGAATAGTCAAATGGCTAGGTTTAATTAAACGTAACTAGTCTGACTGTATCAAAAATTAAAATGTCAAAAATCCTTTTTATCAAACATTAATAAAAACTGGACAATCAAGGTCTGTGGGCCTTTGCCCAAGATGGCGGACATTTTTTTTTTGGCTAGCTTTGCATCATAATGCAATTTCCCATGCTCCCTGGTCATACAAAATTTCAAGATGGCACTCATTTACGCGAAAAGTGAAAACCGCATTTATCGGCCTTATGTCAATCAACTTTTCTTTTTTTATTTGCCAGTTGTTAAAATGAAAAAGAGGTTACATTAATGCGGATCAACTGGGAAAATTTGAAAACATTTCAAGAACAAATTTTACAAAATGGCTATCTATATAAAATGAGAAAAAATCATGTATTTGAAAAAAGTTAAGCCCTGAAATACAGTTTTCACAGTAAACCAAAAATTTTCGAATTTGAGAGCCCTTAAGATACATGTTCTAAATGTAAATTTAGGGGTCCTTTTTTTATTTACAAATGAAAAGTACATTAATGCACTTGAACAAATTACAAATTAAACTATCTATATAAAATGAGAAACGTGTGAAAAATTAACTGAAATACAGCATTCACAAAACCAACTATTTAAAGCTTAACATGTAAATGTAAATCCAGGGGTCCTTTTGGATTAGTTTAACACATCATAATTACATTGTCATTAAGATTTAATGATATATTTCTTCTGGCATAATAAAAGTAACCAACTTCCCTGAGCAAACAGCTGACGCTTTTTGTTGGTTGTTTATGCTTATTGGAAACCCTTTTTCTCTCACCGGGCTAGCTACAAAATTATTGTTGATTCAGTTTCACTTCGTAGATGAATATAATTATGTGCAGTTCAATCATTTAAGCCTCTCTTAAAATTTCCTGGGGCTCTTTGTTGCACGATTGAAACTAGCATAATTCACAGCACTATTTTAAATTAATGATTCTGATGTTTTCAAATGTTTTCAAGGGCACGTGATGTACGGCACGTCGGTATTTTATTTTCATTTTGATATAAACTTGATCAGGTTTGAACTTGATCATCGTTTCCTTTACCTCCTTATTCCCTTAAGGCTTGTGATTTTTCTATTGCTACTTGTTTGTTTGCTGGTGGGTACCAAGTGGCAGTGAACAAATTTTTTTATCATCCTAATGGTAAAATCTAGTTACCCTAAGACATCTTCAGAATTTTTTATTAACAAGATTGTTAAACAAGCAAACAAACCTTGATAGAGATAGGTAGATAACAGAGCTGGGTCAAATTACTCAAAACAATTATAACTTTTTCTGTAAATAGCAATAGTAACCAACTTATACATGTAGTGACATTGTATATAAAAAGCCTTTCATTGTATGTTTTCTGAACATAGTGGTTCTATTTCTTTAATACTAGCAAGATGTTTTTAACTTATATCCATGCCATGTTTTCAAGTCAGTACAGATTACAAATTCATGAATGTCGACAAACCTCTGCTAATAGTAAATGCTTTGTGTATCATGGAAGTGCATTTAATACATAGCTACTGTAGGCAGTTTATAGGCACTCCACTAAAATAATCAAATTCAAATGAAACAAAATAAATATGTAAACTGACGCTAAGCCCCCAAGCCCAAAGTTATAGACCCACTAACCTGAGATAAGGCTCTACTTTCATTTCGCTTTGTAAATAACATTTCAGTAGGCAAGGTCTGCCACCCACTTTTCTTCACAGTTGGCAATTGAGGTTTCTTTTGCATTGAGCCTTCGCTTGCGTGCCCCATTCCCGGCTAAACTTTCAAGTGAAACCAGTTTTAAGATGGACAGTTTTGTGATTTGCACTCGTTTGTTGGCAAATCAAAAGACACCTTGTTTGCGGTCAACAACCTGCAGAGGGATTCAACTCTGCAATACACTCACATTCCTGTGAAGATATAAACAACCATCTGAATGTTCTGCAAAATCCTTCTGTCGGCTGACGGTGGATCATTCGCGAAGATTTTTGAGTGCTTCAGCCATGTGAGGCTTCCGTTGACTCCAACCACCAATCAGATCCTGTGGCATTGTTCTAACAGCCAATCAGTGTTGTTGCCAAAATCTGGCCGAAAGCACAACAAGCTCATGAGAGTTTTTATCAGGACCAACTTTTAGCGGGAGCACGTAAGAGAGAATGTATGAGAACTGCTAAAATTGGGCCTGATCTCAGGTTATAGGCCAACCCACTTTGTCAACGAAAAAGTACATTCAAGTATCCCCCCCTCCCCCGGCTGTAAGTCCCCCTCGAAAAGCATAAAAAAGAATTTGATTTATTATGACACAGTGTTTCAGCCAGAGTGCACCATTGCATGAATCCCACAAAAGATCGAGGGATGGCCCCCAACATAAGCGTTCAAGGTCCATTATGGCCCTTTCCTTTTTTAATCCCCTGGGCTTAAAAATGTCTCAGTTACTTCAACTACAATAATTTTCCAATTAAACAGAATTTTTAATCTAAAGAACAACAACTCTGTACCTTTTTACACAACATGAAAATCAATCAGTGAATCTTTTCAAATCGGCCAACATGTTTACTTGATTTACCTTGAGTAGTCTCAAGACCACTGAGCCTTGACTTGGTTTTTGTAACATCGCAGGGGCTCATTTCAAGGTCTATCGAAACTTTTTTCTCAGTAAGTAACCAAAAAGTGAATGGTGGCAAAGCAGTTCAGAAGAAGCGAAAGGAAGAGGATCTTGATCGTATATCGTGTATAAAAAGGAATGCTCCATGTCAGCTTCAAATAAACTGCCATTTTCATTTTCTTAACTTTCCAACTGTTTCTTCTCCTTCTCTAATTAGAAAGATACTGGTACATGGTTGTACATTGGCCCTATTTAGAAAAATCTGGTCCCCAAGAATTGGTTGTAGCGGCCACTTTGGCCCTCAAGCAGAATTTTCTGGCTGGAACACTGATGATACTTTAAAGCTTAATTAAAAACCAGTAAATGCAAAATGTATTTTGATCAACACTGCTACAATAGTTTGTGTCAAAGTGCTTTTTCTATTCTAGTTTTAAGCCCCCTCAGATATAAGCCCCTACATTTAGGAGCCTTCCTAAAACCTCTTTTGAAGATGTATACAAGTATGTAAGCCTAGGGCGTATTATAAGCAGCAGTTTATGGTACATAATTAGTATAATGTACAGTGTAACAGGACTGAAAACCCCAGTTTAAGTTGTATGTAGCAACCAGTTTGCTATTTACATTCATGAATGACCAAGGATTTGAACATGGGATCACCTAGAGCAAATCCAGCAGGTGATCCAAGCAACTAGTCTCTAGCCCGGGACTGGCTGAATTCAAGTCCATTTGTGCTGATCCCTAAAGCCACTTTTACACCAAATTGCTTACACTAGTAATTCAACTCATCAGCAAGCTTAAGGTGGGCTTGTTAGCAGGTGCCTCAAGGGTAGAAGGACCTGGGGCCCATTTGTCAAAAGTCCTGGTAAGTTTTCAGGTGCAAAACTCAAATATTCATTTCAAAATTTGAATGAAAGCTTAGGTCCTGGCTAATGGACGAGCAGTCCAATTTGTTTGTTAACTGATAGTTTTATTATGTTATCTGCAAAACTATCAAAACCCATATCTGAGATGTAAACAACAGTAACTTTTTGTTTTAAATGAAGATTAATGATTGTGGCAGTGGTAATTGCAATTTAAGCAATTGCAGATTAACCCCCAAAACATTTCAGAACTTCAATGGGATTTGAACCCATGGTCTCTGCGTTAGCGCTGCAGTGCTCTAACCAATTGAGCTATGAAAACCCACGCATTGGGAGCCGGCCAATTTGTTGAATTCATCTTAACCCCGTGGATGAAATGAATTTTGGGCTGAAAACTTATAATGGTACTGACGTGGACTCTTGAAAAATGCGTCCCATGAGCGGAAAAGGCATCATTACCTTGGAGGTAACTATGGTAACAATGCATGCACAAACCATGCAACACCATCACTCTGAACAATTTCAGCAATTGCCACAATTCATACTTAACTCCAGTATCTGTAGGTCAGGGAGGAGTGGGAGCAGAATCCAGCAGCAAACATACAATGATATGAAGCAAGGCAAAGCTACATGTAATAAGTTATGTAATTTCCTGAAGACCCAGGGGCCTCTCAGCACAAGGCTGTCTGCCTGGGTTGTGACTGCTGACCAGCTAGTAATGTGATGAAAGCCGAGGCTCACTCCCCAAAGTTAAGTAAGAAAATCCCCGTAGACCAAATGAAATAATCCCAAGAAAACCAGCTAGATGATGAAGATACATAATTATGTACATGTATCCTAACAAAGCACAGACAGAGTGATGGCCGGATGCTCTGTGGAGCCCTGAGTGGCTGAAAAATGCATAAACATGAACGTCCATCTTTAGAAATCAGAATAGTGGGATCAAGGGATGAAAACCCTAGAAGAAGGGGTGTAGAAGTGAAACCAGAATCATCTTAGCTGGCAAAAAATGTGAAACAAAACCAAGCTAACAATTTGAGGGAGAAATCCTAACCAGGCAATGACAGAGTCTCGTAATACGTAAATGTGAAAGCTACAGTATAGTAAGCGTGTTCCTAGAAATCAAAATAATGCAATACCACTGAAGGATGATAACCAGGAGTTGATGTGAAGGTGAAACTACTTTCGTCTCGTCTCACTAGTGAAACAAAAATAACAACAACAAATGCAGAATGCCAGTAGTCCACTTACGTTCTTTTTTTTTTTTGGAGCACTAACACTGATTAATGCAAAAACACTGTTTTTTAGATCACATACTGGAGTTGGAGATGGTCAGGACTGCCATTTTTCTACAGATTGTAAACTGTTATCTGAGCCATGAAAAGGTTCAGCTTTTTGCAGGAAAAAGCAGTTGACTTGTATAACTGAACATAGAAAAGTGGGAGGGTAAGCAAACAAACTTTATCACATTGAAAAGGGCTGAGCTACTATCAGCTGTCAGTACGGTATACATTACAATGTACTGTAAAGATTCCATGTACAATACAAGATGAGTATTTTGTTCATATGTGTAATGAATTGCTGACTAACTGATTGTTGGAGTGGCAGCAGAGATAGAGCCATGAACACGAGCAGCGTCAGTGGTCCTTTTTTACCTCTCTTATGAAGACTTTGAAGTTGTGTAAGTGTGAAGTGTCTTAAATGCCAGTTCCTCTCCAAAAATCAACAGTTTTCTGGGTGCCAAAGCAGCCATACACCTGTACGTAATCATTCTCTAGCTGTATATGTGCAGGACAGCTCTGTATTGTAGATAGTTGGGTCCATATTCCCTTTGGTGTCCATATTGTGAAGGTTCAACTGAACAACTGTGTATATTAGCTTAAACTGCCTTTCATTAATATTTCTCTGATCAGCTGCAAATCTTAAGGAGAGGGTTTCCCAATGTTTTACCCCATTAATGTTCATGATTTTATTTTAATTTATAGCATTCACTTTATGGTAACAAAAATCTTAACTATTTAGGAATTATTGCTTGTTTCTGCCCTGATATCGGTTTAAATAGATCTGTTTCCAGTCAAAATTGTGATTGTTAAAATGATACAACATAGATATGCCGTGTACAATATTGGTAAAATCTTGGTAATGATGTAGAAGTCACTGGGATTATTCTTATGGAATGGTTCAGTAAAGAGACAAAGTGTAAGTAACACCTTGTACGTGTACTTGCACATGAACCTTTGAAAGTACACATATGGGAATCAATTATAAATTAAAGTTAGGAATGTGCTATGACTAGAGGCAATGATATTGAATTGTTTTGTAATATTGTTATAAGATTCATTCACCTGTCCCACCCATCCTTGAAAACAATCAGCCAGCTGCTAATAGCTTTTAAGACACTTGGAAATTTTAAGAGTTCATGGCATATCTTTGCTTAAAGTTGGACAATTATCAACTTCAAGGTTACTAGATGCAGGATTTGTGAAAACACATGACTGAAGTAGTTGTATCTGTTGAACAATGTTTTTATACCTTTTCTTGCATGACACAATAACTGCACGTGCCACCATTCAATGTATCCAATACCAACTACTTTCAACTTAGTATACAGATGTTTGCTGCTGTGCCAATTTTGTAACATCAAACGGGATATCTGCCCACCAATGTTTATAATGCCTCAATACTATTAAGTCCCATTGCTGCAATCACATATAGACCACATACTGCACATAAATGCTGTCTACAACATTGTGAATTAAAATAGTTTGAGAATACATTCACTGTCAAAGTACTCATAAGGTACTTAGTGCTCTATTGTAAGTTACTTCTCACTCTAACTTATCTTTTTCATGGATGTATCAGTTTTTTTTCCATTGTCTTCAGTGAAGATATATTGGCTACTTCAGGAAGCACTATTAATTGATCTGCTTATGATATAGACTCTGCATGCCAACGTTACTCTCATATCCACTTTTTTGGGTTCTTTGTCTATCCTCATCTTCTTACACTGTATTCAGTGTTGTGATGTTTTACCAGTCTTCAACTGTTATACATGAAAATTAATGTACACCTTGAAGCATAATTCTTCAGGCCCAAGGCAGGTAAATGGAAGTGTGGCTGACTTACAGTACTTTGAGAGATGTTAGTACACAAGATGTAATTCTTACAGAGTTTTTGCCATTATTTGGTATGTCTTGAAAATAAGAAAATTTGGTACATATTTTAAAAGCTACAATGAAATATTCATGTTGTAAATTTGATGTTCATAGCACCTTACCAAGTACATGTATGGGTAGTTTGAAACAGTTTTATATTCTGACTAGCCTAGCTGGCTAAAATATGTGCTCAGACTGATCAAATTACAGCATTGTTTTCAGGTGTTCTAGATTGCATGTATGCCCTTGTCTCTTAATCCAATATATCTCACTAATGTCCTTACCACTCTAATCTACACACCAATATAACACTCTACCTAATGGATAGGAGTTCAAATAGTTAACTTGAATATTCTAAAACCATTAAGCAGGTCGATAGAACTTATTTAATGTGATTATATTGGGATCATCTTTTTTTATTCTCTTTTTTTTTTTGTAATTCCAACCCAAATGCCTTATTTTGTGAACTCGTATTTTGCTTGCAATTGTACAGTAAGGCTGTTGATAATAATTTAATAATTTAATTATCTTTGCAACTATTTGCAGCTATTCTGTCCTATTCTCACTAATAATGTCACTGACAATTCTTTTTACAGGACTTAAACTACAGCTTAATGTTTGTTTGGCACATGAAGTAATTAACAGTATCTGTTAACATTATTATTACTGGCACTCTATAAAATTCTTAACTGAAAATGAATTTATTTTTTTTGAAAAAACATCAGCATTTTTGAAATGCCAGTGCCATTGCCTTTGGGCTGTTCTTGTTTTTAGGAAGTTAACAAGAACTATTCAAAGGCTTGAACTTTTCTTACCAATCATAAAAATAGGACACCCAATATAAAGGCCACTTGTGCTTACTTATAATTAAATCATAGGGGGGTAACAGTAATTAATGGTGGTCATTATTTTGCTCTAGCCAAATGGTGAGACCAACAGTTTGGTTCTGTAAGCACAGACATGGAAACCTAAGTGTGGGTGACTTGGTGAAGAAAATCAGGTCCATAGAAAAGAATTGTTTATCAAACAAAGCTGTGATACTTAAGATATCCAATGAATTTTTTGGAGACCTAAAGCATTGTCAAAGTTTTATATCTAAGCATAAGGCTATATAAATTTTATTAAATGGCAGGAAATTGAATAAATATAACTATCTGCCATTCCTCTCTATCACTGTTTTTCACAACAATTTGAATTATTACCGTATTTATTCGACTATAAGCCGATCTCGGCTATAAGCCGAGACCCCAAACTTTGAACGTGTAGACTCGGCATAACGAGAACCAAAAATAAATCGAAAACACCCGGCTATAAGCCGAGACCCATTCATTATTACAAGACTGAATTGTTAACTACGGGAAAACCTAACATTTTCGGAAAAAAATCACATTGATTGTCATAAATGAGGCTTAGACGATAACACACACGCGCGTAAACAAGAGATGCAATGGTGATTTATTATGCAAACAGCTTCCCTCTTAGAAAGCACACGCGAATTAATAAATACTATCAGTATTAACCGTAACTAACTATTCAATTGAAAAGCAATGAATCATAACTCAGATGAATTAATGTGATCCAAAAAATGAATTTAAAACTAACTGTGTTGTTAAGCGGCATCACCAGTACCTAGACATCCGTAGCGTCTATCAAACAATCTCGTGTTCGCAATCGTTTATTTCAAGTCAAGTTGTCATCATGCCCAAAGCTCGTCGCACGTCATACAACCTCGCGCTTAAACTTACAATAGTCGCCGAAGCAGAAGCTGTTGAAAATAACTCTGAAATCGCCAGAGAATATGGCATCAGTGAGTCCATGGTCCGTCGCTGGAGGAAAGATCAAGCGAACCTTTTTAACGGCGAGATTAAATTGTCAGCGAAACGGAAGCCGATGGGATGCTTCACGCCGAAGTATCCGGAGCTCGATCACAGAATACTGGAATGGTTTACAGAGCAGAGAACCCAAGGTACGTTTTTTGTCGAGCATTGATTTTGTATCTTAAAACAACAGAAACAAGATCACGAAATAAATCAATCAGCTGATTGCAGAGTGAGTACGAGTTGTTGAATGTGTGACTCTCAAAACTATCGTAGTATCATGTGACAACATTGTGTATGAAAGACTCTCATTGGCCAGTTTTCACAAATGTCAAAACAAATTCAAGACGTGTCAAATTTTTAACCTTTCGATCGTTTCTTAACCTTCTCACTTCGTTTTCCATAGGAATAGCTGTTAGCGGATTGATGCTACGTCTAAAGGCAAAGGAATTCAGCAAGGATCCTGAGTTTAAAGCGTCCCTCGGCTGGTACCAGGAATGGAAGCGCCGCCATTCCGTCAGCCTTCGCACCAAAACAACACTCGCTCAGCGTCTCCCTGAAGATTTGGAGCAGCAAACAGTCAAATTCCATCGATTTGTAATCACATCCCGTCAGCGTCACGGTTATTCCCTATCAAGAATCTTTATGTTTTCTGTGAAAACACATTAAATTTAATAAACGGCTCCTTTAGGAGCCACCACATTCTTAAAAGTTAATAACCAACGATTGCATATTGTGTTTCTTTACTTTAGCTCGGCTTATACGTAAATACATCTCGATTTAGTGGAGTTTCCATGCGCCGGGAAAAATTCTTTTTCAAAAACTTTCGGCTATAAGCCGAGACCCCCTCTAGAGCCCAAATTTTAATTCACTTCAGTTTTAATTTGTGTAAAAATCGCTCGGCTTATAGTCGAATAAATACGGTAGTTGTTGCTGAAAGTTAAATCTAAGCTAGCAAAAAAAACATGTGGCTTAAGGGTGTATTTTAAGAGAAAGAAAGTTGGATGCAAATTATTAATCTTGTCTCCATGTACTTTGTTCTCTGCTCTTATCAGACTCTCCCAGACTAATGCAGGTATCGCACACACCTCCCATGTCCATCAACCAAACTGGCCATGGAGACATGTCAAGTGATGCGAGGCCCAGCAGTGATGAAGAAGAAGGACACAGTAGAATGAGAAGTTCTTCTTATGCTGGATCACATTCAATGAATCAGGAGCCTGTGCGATCAACACTATCAGCTGGTATGCATAGCAGACCTGTACAATCTGGACCCATTTGTACAACACCAGGTACATGTCAGAATAGAAACCTAGTTACTGGAATTGCTCCAGCCTGTATGTTCCTCACTTTTTTACAGAATGAGTTCCTCTGTACGAGTTTCCAACAAATGCAGAACTGTGATTACTTTCAGTGTTGATTTAGCTATACAAAGTTGAAGCATCTGATAGCAACGGGTGACTGGCATTATGTGACTCATAGAAGTTCTTAAAAAACACTCACTTCATCAATGAAAATCCTAAACCTAGTTTCTAAAATGGCTCCTGTTTGTTTCTCACTTTTTTACACAGTGGGTTACTCTTTATGAGTTTCCAACAAATGTATAACTGTGATCACTTGAGTGTTGATTTAGGTGTACAATGTTGGAGCATCAGATAGCAATGGGTGCACAATCACTGTAAGGTGTAAAATATAGGTCAGATCAAGATTTTCATTGCACGTGATGGATAAAATCTCCCTTGCTCTTGTTTTATTGCTGAAAATATTATTAACAACTACGTTAAATCAGTTTTTCATGTGGGAAACAAGGAGAGATTGTCAGAAACTAATGTCAAATACTGTAGAGTGAACAAAAATTATGGTAGGCAGTGGACTAAAAAGGTACATTGTATTAATTGTAAATTAAATGTTGTTATAGCTACATTGTACAGAAATTAAAAATCCAGAGGCCATGGTCTATTGACAAGACTTGCATCAGACTGGAATTGGATCAACCAAGTGCTCAGAACCTTTTATCATTAAGTGAGCTTGAGGGGTTGATCTGCTCCCAGTTCTGTTGATGCCTGATTGGCAAGCTACTTAATCAGTAAGAAGCTCTTGGCAAAGACTATAATTCTAAACCCTCATTCCAATTGCTAAGTTCTCATCTCTAAAAAAATGTATATTTAACTTGCTGTCAGAAGATTTCATTCTGAGGCTCACAACTGCAACCATAAAAACTGTACGAGATCTCTGTTGTAGAAAATATTAAGCATACGTGTTAATCTATGTTAATCTTTACAAGAAGCATACTTCTTTGTCAATAATAATTTATTTTGTTTATTTGATTTAAAGTTTAAGTGCTGAGCTATTGATTTAGGAATCCAATTCAAGGTTTTGTACAAATTACAAAAAGATCTGGATGTTCATTACAGTAACAGAAAACATTAGAACGTCTCTTCTTTGGTGTAGCAAATTTGCTTTACCATACTTAGTCAAACTGATAAAACTAAATTTTTTTTTCTGCGGTTTCACAGAGCAACGGTCTCTATTGAAACTAACTTTTCTTAAGTTTACTGATGATTATTGCCAGGTACTACTTGTAGTTATAAAGCTACATGTATATGTGCCTGCTTGTACTTCAGTTTGAAGTTACAAGTATATTACAGTTACTGTTTCCCAATAAAGTAGTGGTCTCTTTTATTATTTGTAGGTTTGTGTCAGGCTGGTGGTGAACTACGACTTTCTCATCTGAGTAGTAAACAGGTCCAAGCCTCAGAAGGCTTTTTACTGGTTGGGGCTAAATCTCCAATGCTGCCTGGAATGGTGTTAGTTGCTGAAGTAGACAGAAGATTTCTACCAGATGAGAAGAACAATGTTACAATGCTAGGGTTCAGTGGAAACTGCATTGGCTGTGGAGCAAAAGGCTTCAGATACTTTACTGAATTTTCAAGTCATATTAATCTAAAGCTGGCCACACAACCAAAGAAACAAAAGCATTTGAAGTACTATATAGTCAGAGAACCCACTGGAAGGATTCGTAAAGGACCACTTATCCCCTGGAAAGGTAGGTGGTTTCATGAATCCCTGAACTGATTCCTGAACAGGCATGTAAAATTATTTCCCTATGTAAGCTGCTTCAAGTTATGTTCCATTGTTATTGCAAAGTAAAAAATTAGTGTCAATACATGTGATGCTCGCCTTATTTCCTTCACCTCTCTAACGTAGAGAACAATATTGTGAGTCTAAATGGTCTCACAATGTTAACTCTACCTGGAGAAATTGGCCACCGTATTGTGGAACTGATTTTTGGCTAATGTAGTGACTATGGATTTTGTTGGCGGCCTTTGCAACTCTTAACACCTTGAATACTTTCGTTTACCCTTCGTTAAGCTTGCAGCAATTTTTTTGTAAGATTATAAATAAAGCAGTAAAAAAAAAAAACGCGAGTAATAACTTACATTTTTCCAAGGTAGCTTATACTAGACTACAGTAAGACTGGTTCTTACATGCATGGTAATTAGCACAAATTTAGGCTATTTAGGTTCTTAAATAGGTTCTTATTTTCTGAAGTAAAAAAATCATTGTAGCTAAGAGTATTTTGTGGTATTCAGCTTAATCTCAAATTATAGCCTAAACAGGTTATTTTATAGAGGGGCCTAACTGGCAAATCTTAGCCTAAAAGGTTCTTAAAAACAAAGTTCTTATTCGCGGGTATTTACTGTAACTACATGTACAAATAAATACGAAATCAACTGCCCAATAGTCTGCTTCACTGATCACTTACTTAGGCCGTACTTGAACAGAATTTCGCAGGACCTGCAAGAACTTGTGTTAATTTTCGCTCTTCAATTTTTTTTTCAGTGGAAGGAAGAAAAAGAACATTTCCATTGGCAGGACCATACATTCCTCCTCCCTATACATCAGGTGATGCTGATGTAAATAGCGAAATGTCAAGGACTGTTGCTTCATCAGGTAACAACAACGAAAACAGCGGGAATAATTTGCGGGATATTGCTCCTCTGTATACTAGTTTTACCGTTTGTCCATTGCCGGCAATAGATTGTGAACAGGATAGTCAAGATAACTTGACAATTGCTGTTTCAAGCAAGAAGCTATAATAAATAGTAATGTAAGTAATTCAGTAAAATCGCCATCGTACCGGCATTTCTGCTGATGTGTTCCTTAAAAAAAGAAAATTTTGTCGGTTGTCGTTGTTTTTGCACTAAAACAAAAACCAAGGGAGACGGAGACTCAGAACGTTCTATTTGCGTTTGAAGTTTTGAAGTATTTTTTTAAACATCACGTTTCCTATCGCTGGATTTACATATACTGTACTTACTTGGACTTTATATACACATGAATGAATCAGGCTTGTCTTTCTATTATATTCTCCACAGCTCCTCTTCATCTGATGTCATTACAGTCGCATAGTGCGTCCTTGCAGGGAGCAAGCATTGCAGAAACTTCACGAGAGGATGGTATGGTGTTTTTACATCCCACCAATCAGATGCACGCAGAACAAAGCTTCCACCATGTTCTGTCCGCAAAGAGAAGGCGCTGGGAATCTGCTGGAAGTGAATCACCGTTGGGAAGTGGTATGGCACCTTTATACCCAACTAACGCATCTTAAGTAGCATAAGAACAAAGAGAAAATCGAAAATAGGGGATTGTAGTTTATAGTTTTCACCGGAATTTCTTTTCGAGGCGTTTATTCAAAGGGGCTTATTTTAGGAGCAAAATTTGCATTTTAAAATCAGTCGGGCTTTCAATTAAAGGAACGTTTATATGTCAGTAATCAGTTGTTCTAATACGCAAAGGACAATATTGCTTCCGAATTAACTAGAAGTGTTGTGACATCTTAATCCAAATGAACATGCCAACTTTAAACACATCATGTAAACGGGTTCGTACCCGTAAGTGTCCATAAAGTCTGCTTTTAAAAGCTGGCGTGCGGGAGCGTCTCGTATAGTTTGCACGTATTTGAGGGCAATTTTCAAATATATATTTTCCGTTGGCTGCGTGGCAGGCGTCGAAAAGTGTAGGGGAGAAAGGAAAGGGACCACCTTTTTTTTTTTCATTTCTGTGGCCCCTGGTGGACGCAAATTTCCGATTGGCTGAGCCGTAGTAAGTAACTTGTCGAACCGCATTTAAAAAGAAACAAGCGCGATGCATTTACAGGCATGGAAGAAAACAGGTTTCTTCGGTGAAATCTTCACCGCAGGCGCTCCCTCTCCCTCCTCTCCCTTTCACTCGCATGTTCTTGCCCCCCCCCCCCCCCTTTTGAACCTTACCGGCACTTAGGCCGTATTCTCACCCCGGTTTTGCGAGATCTTTTTGGCAATTCGAATTATAGAAGTGGCTTATTTTCTGAATGTTTCCTTGTAAATTACTGCCTTTCAGATGACGGTCACTCAAGTGACACAGCAAGGTCCTCTACAGCAGGTTCTGATACAGCAGCTGACCTGCCATCAGAACCCTGGCTTACCACAGCCTGCAGTGTTCGGCCTGTACTACTGCTGTGTCAACACTCCATACCAAAAATACCCTGTAGTGTAGAGGACATAATCATCAGCGACTTACTTGTGGGTTGCTTTGACCCTCCCCTTGTGTCCGACCATAACCATTTTGGTAGCATATCAAGCGTTCACAGCAGTTTATCAGCAGGGACGCCTGAGAGTCATGAGCAAACAGCCAGGTCGTACTACAGCAGCAGTGTACCTTGCCTTACCACCCAAATGGCTGTGCTGCTTACAGTTCAGTATCTCACTCAGTTTGTTGATGATGATCGTATCAGTCGGGAGGACATTGAGCAGTTACTGCAAGATGCCAGGCTTGAGTTAACTGCGTCTGTGCAACAACAGGTACACCTTCTTGCCCAAAGCAATGCGGTGACGCACGTGCAGCTGCCTGTGCTGGCAAGCCTTACAGCAGCAAATTCTAAAGGACGGGTCAAAATTGTGTCATCGCCAGTATCTCTGGACAACGCTATCTTCAGAGCTTTGAGATTTGTCCTGGAAATTCACAGACACAACCAGAACAAGTTTCCAAAGATACCAGTACCTGACTTTATTTTCATCTTAGCAACATCGCAAAAGAAGTCTCCGGAGTTTTGTCTGCTTGTTACAAGCATCCTCCAAGCCAAGTACCTTTCTGAGGCCATGATAGGGCATCCTGTTGGAGCCCGTATTGCCGACAATCTCGGCAGACTTGAACAGCTTTTCAAACTGTCTAGTGATGCTCTAGAACAAATGATCACTAATTTTGAAGAGGCAATGGGTCAAGGACAGTTAGTATTTGTGCCATTCAACGGGTTTGCAAGAACAAAGGTGATGGCAGATGAAGCTGCAGGACTAGAGCCTCGAGTTGCGGCAGCTACTACTTATCATCACATTCAGAACCAAACTCTGTTTGCTAGTCAGCATCTAATGGCCAAACAACTACTAACCCAAGTTTGCAATATTGGTGAAAATAAAAACTCTCTTGATCTTAACTGCTTCACGGCAGTGTCAGCGACCATCATCGTGCCTCCTTTGACGTCACTTTATAATCAAACCACGCAAAGGCTTTGCAGCTCTGGCCTTCTGTCTGAACTCGACCTAGAGAGTGCCGATAAGGCAGTCTTGTTCAAAACTGCTGCAAAGTATGTCATCAAACACAACACCATGGAAGAATCTCAAGAACAGTTGCTGAAGCTTCTTGAACAAGTGCACAGTAAACCAGAAACGCTGTTTGTCCTTGTTTTTGATCAGGCGCAGTTTTTCGCGAGTCCTTACGGAATTTTGGATTTTCCATACTACAAAGAGTTCTTGGAGGCTCACAATGTGGTTGTGTTGTTAGTGACAGCGACGCCGTATCTTTTCCAAACCAACTGCTCTTTTGTTGATCCCAACAATGAAGTCTACTGGTCTGACGTGCGATCTGAAACAGGTTAGGATAATAATGATGAGGGCATTAATCTTCTCTTCACTCTAGTGTAATCACCTGGGGTTAATTTAATAAAGCTTTTACAAGTGTGATTTACAAGTGTAGCTATTGTTTTCAGAATCTAAAACAATGGCTACACTTGTAAATTGCAGGTGTAAAAGTTTTATTAAATTGACCCCTGGTCTCAATTGTTCAAGCGACGGACAGCTCTATCCAACGGATAAATCAATATCAAGTATTTGGACAAACATTTGCGTTTATATCCATTTCTATTGTTTTTGGGGGTCATTTATTCATTGTTTTATGAAACCATTGACAGGCCTGGTTGCATACGATGCGTTCATTCCCCAGTGTTGGTGGAACCAGATAATTTGTATAATTTCTGAGGTTGTATACAAGTTTCGTGAAGATTTTGAAAAGAGACTTTAGTGCGAAAAAAGAATTCCGCAGTCCGGAAATGTATCATTCTGTAATCCTTTTTGAAAACCTATGGAGAAATACTTTGTACTCCCTCAGTGTCTTAAAGTTATGGTGAGTGTGCGAACGCAGTTAACTAGTAAGCAGAGACTGGACAAATTTTACAGTCAATGAAACTATTGAAAGTGGTAGATTACACTGATCAAAATACGCCATCGACGGTCTTGACTTGTAACAGCAAGTCGCATTATGGCTTTAATGTCTTTTAACCACAACGGCCAGTATTTCGACACCGCTTCAAGAATTTGAGCCTTTTAGGGAGCACCAACAATAGGTCTTTAAAAAGCGGTGCTTGGGGTCAATATTGTCTTGTTAGTAAAAAGGCATGGTTGCCACAGGTCAGGAAATGGTCAGGGAAAAAAAATTCCTCAAGGTCAGGAAATTTCAATTTAAGTCACGGAAAAGTTAAATCGTTGAAAGAAATCAGGGAAAAGAGAACATTTATTCTTTCCACTCTATTTTATTGTTTTCTAACATTAAAATTCTTTTGTACATTTTACAGACATGAATCGTGTTGTATTGGTAGAATATTGTTGATGAAATTGAACTACAAGCCCAAGTTGGCTTTTCAAGAACATATTTTTTTTTCTTTTTTTTCTTTATGTAAATGAACTGTCAATTCATGCACTGTATTGTACACTGCTCGTGACTTGCTGAAAGCATAAATAAGTAGGTGCAGGGATGGCTGTGAGGGGAGGGTTGAGTCCATCATCAAGTCTGATGTGTGAAATTTTTAATTCACTTGGTCAGGGAAATTTTACATTTGTCAGAAGAAAGTCAGAGGAAAGTCAGGGAATTTCAGAAACCTCTGGCTGTGGCAACCATGAAATAGGAATTTGTTGCGCTCAGTTTTAGTCACACTATCGGGATGTAGATTGGGAAAAAGAAACGTGTTAATAATAATCTTTGCTTATAGCAGATGGAGTTCCCTCCAGTGTATTGGAAAACTCTCATGATAGCATGGAGACCAATGAAGGAACATATTTTGGAATGAAGGAATATTGTGAGTCAATTAAATGGACTCACCAGTTTCCACTGGTCAGACAAGATGATGCATTTGAAAAGATGGCCTTAAGGACTAGCAGGTACTAACTAAAGCAAAATAATCGCAAAAAATAATTTCAAAACTGCGAGCGAGTCTATCGTAGCGATGGCACATGATGACAACTATGGGAAAGATTTCTTCTAGTTTAGGCATTTCAAATCGTCAAGAACTCTTGTTTTCTCGGTTTCTCTATTTTTCTTCTTTGTCAACAGCTCCTGCTAAACTATTTTGGAGGCTTTCACTTGCTAAATCCGAAATAGCCTTGCAAACATTTTTAAATTACGCGCCATGTTGAACAAGACGAACAAAACAAGTTTCTCGTGTCGTCATTTATGTGTCTGTACCCTGACAGATCGTGGATAATGACCAATCGCGTAATATTCACTACATTGTATAAATAACTGTAGTTTAAAACACATACTGTTACTGTTTTTCCACACCAAAGTTTCAATAAACCTTACCCGCTAAGATTAGCATTAGCCACCTGCGAGCCAGTGCACTTGTGGAAGAAAAGTAGATTCAAGGAAGAATATAGGTTATTTTTTGTAGAACAAACATCCTTTAAAGTTTCCGTCGTTGTACATTTGGGGAGGGTTGCAGTTCAGAAGTTCATGACCAGATATGACCTTTTTAAGTTCGCTTTATCAGACCCCAACAACATATTTGGGCCAATCAAAAGCTAAAAGTGCTTGTAGCAAAAAGTCCTCCCCCCCCGTCGATTTTCTGCAAGAATCCAATTAACCTGCGATGATTTGTTGATTTTGTTGATTGTAAAGGACCACAGATGATGTGAATCTGAGTGTACTGCGTTGCTATCTTCTCATTCGTCATTACTGTGCTGCTATCATGTGGTCAGCGGGTATCAAGCCAGCCGAGCCACACTGCACGCTGAAGACGATCCAGATCATGAGAGAGATTATCGAGTCTCCTGTGCACAATGCAGATGGCAGCGGTGCTATGCTTGTTATTAGGATTCCATCTGTTGAGCTTGCTAATTTGGCATTTGAGAGCCTAAAAAACACTCGAGACAGGTAAGTTCATTGCATTTGGAGGACTAAACGCTAGCTCTTGTTATTATGGAGAATAAGAAGCTTTGATTGGTTATTGGTTGCCTTGGGAACCCACGGACTGATCCGTAAAGCTGTTAGCTCTTAATCGATCCCAGGAGCTGGTTGGTCATTTCTCTAAATTGTCTGAAGTAGAGCGGATAGTTAAACCAAACCGTGAACTTTCGAAAGGAAATGTAATGAAATAATTAAAAGTAAAGTTTTCAATGTCGGGGGCCTGTTAGATACTTTTTGCGGTAACCAATGCAAAGAATATCGTTCGTTATCCCTAGTTGTTGTTCGAGGGGTTTGTTATATCATGGTTTCACTATATTCATCATCATGAAACATATTGGCCTAATGACGTTTTTTTAATAATGTAATTTCTACAGTAGAACGCCTTATAACGCGAACAATTCGTTAGAATAAAAGAATGAAGCGGAGATACTTTCTAAAAATTTGTTTTTATCAACTCACAAACGGTGGGCTGGCTTGTCATAACATAAGTGAAGGGACCTATAAGCTCCGGGCAGCGGCTCGAACCTTCTGCTTTTGAACCTATCAGAAAATGGTGGCCAATTTACCTTAATTATCAACTCAGCTGGTAAAACCAATGTGTTTTGCTAGCTTACATTCAGGTTCGTTTCTGTCAATTCTTTATAAAAATAACATCCAGTTACTGGAATGATTTCTGTATCCTTGCTGCTTGAAGAGCTGGATTGCCTTTGATTTCTCAAACCTTTTCCATTTTAGGCTTGGATTTCAGTTTCGATTCGCCATCATCCACGACAATGGTGTTAATGAACTGGAAATTGAGGATTATTTCTTGAATCGTCTAAGACTGTGGAGGGAACAAAGAGGTAGGTGACTAGATATTTCATTTTAGGCCTTTGTAGCCCCCCCCCCGGGGGGGGGGGGTGGGGGGGTAGTTAGTAACTAGCTGGTATTATCGCACCGTCATGTCAACAAATTAAGACTCTAAACACGAAAGCAATTGCTACACTACTCAATCCAAAACGGGGTGCGTTTGTATGAAAGGCACAGCTCTTGCTTAAGCTGAATACTGGATGTTTTGTTTCCCGATACAGTTGCTCTTACTCGTTATGTTGTGCCCACTAAACACTGGCGACGTATTTGCGTCAGTTCAGGATTGTTTCCCTTGATGGCCTACTTCACTCTTGACTGGGGTGTTTTCTGGGAACATTTGATAGTCCCTGCGTGAATGGTGGTGTTAGACAAATAGATTGTTTGTGTGATGCAGTATTAAGACCCTAGGCATCTATTTTGCAAGCAAACAAACCTGCCATGTTAACAAAACACAGTATAGTTTCCTAAGAGTGAGCAAGGCGACCAAGAGGTTTTTATGGCCTTGTATTTTAATATTATTGTCTCATTTTCTTGTAACATTTTAACTGACAGCAAAACATAGGGTTTGTCATCCGTGGCGGATAACAAGTAACATGGTTTCGTTTTGTTTTACATCTATGCTTTACTATTTCAGGACAGACGAAAGCCAAAAGTAAGCCAGCTGAAAAATGGAACCCTCGATTCTTTGAAGATCTCCACGATCTCCCTTGCATCATCATCGTTAGTGGCCGAGAGAGGCCAGGAGATACGTTTCCAAGGTAACGTAATGCAGTCAGTTGACGTGTACAGTCCAACTTTGTTTGGAATACAAGGCCGGCGCTTTCGAAAAGTCAGAACTGACCGGCTAGACCAGTCATGGTAAAAAATGAAATTTTAATCTTTTCTTCCAATTTTTACTTCAACCCATCACATCCGTGCATCTCATTTAGGAATTAACTGATCTGGCTGGATAGTTCTGATTAATAGTGGAATTCTCCTGACCACTGGACTGGACCGGGCCAGCCAGTTTTCACAATTTTAAGTGCCCTTAGTCACTACTGAGAAGAGGTGCCCAGCCTTATGAAGAGTGTTTTGACAGGTTAGGAAGCACCGAAATGCCTTTTTGCTGAAGAAACGTAGAACAAGTAGGAAGTACAGGGTTAAGAAAGTTCGACTCAGACGGTCCGAGGACGCACTGAGAGGGACGACGGAGACATTGTGAGTGAGCGATCTCGGATGGCATTTGAAAATAAGGCCATGAGAAAGTGACCCTCTGTGTGTGTATCTCTCCAGGTCGTTGAAGTACATGGACTTGAGGTTGATAGACAGAGGGTTTGTCTACCGATCTTCATTGGAACTGGAATTCAGTGCGATAGCCTGTTACATTGGTTCTGGCTCGGGCTCGCGAGGTGTCGAGAGCAATGAGCCTAATGGCCAAGCAGACTCAAAAGATGATTCCAATGGAGCAGGCAGTGGTACAGTGTGCAGAACAAGCCATTATTCTTCCGCCTATCCATTACCAGTGATTCTGGTATCTCGCTCTGTGTTCAAGGCATTCCAAACAGATTTCTACGGTTATCCAAAGCATCTGCTCTTGCCTACGACTCCACAGACGCGATGGGTTGGTCTGGGACGGCCACCCGTTGTGACGTCAAACCCAAGACACCAGTCGCTTTACTACCGGGAATGGACCGAACCCAAACCCAAACAGGTCCCTGGTCCTCAACAGGATGCCTCCAGCAAGTCAGTCATAACCCTGCGCAGTGCAAGTGGAGTGGTTATCAGTCCCGATATATCGGGTAGGTCTTAACTCTGTTATAATAATAGACGAGTCTCACGGAAATAAAGAAAAGGGAGGGGAAGGGGAAAGAAGCAGGGTGGGGGGGTCGAGAGGGAGGAAGGATGTCTGGAGGCGGTTAAGGGCTAGGGGAGGCAAAGTGATGGAGAGGTTCCGGTTTAAGTTTAATGTTCTCTTCATTTTACGCCCTGCAACTCGAAGTTAGAATCGTTATGAAATTCTTCTTTCCACCACGCGCTGACTTGTAAAATCCTACACGAGATTACCTTTAAGAATACCGGGTGAATTTATTACGAATATGTTTGTATTTATATAATTATTTATTTGTTTTGGCGTTCACCTAGCATCGTGTTAAAAAAAAAAAAAAAGACGCAGAATTTGGGGATCAAATAGGGTGGGCGGAATAAAGAAAACTCTTCCTACAGGCCCTTCAGTAGTCAACAGTACCAGAACTACTTGAACACCTGTATACAGAGATGATTGTAAATAATAACCACTGAACGTTTTTTATTCAACTAATTTATCTTTGATTTGTTGTTCTCATGTACTCAGTAGTGAAGAATCTCCATCATTCGATATATAAACTTAACACAACTCACAATCTCTTGGTTTCTTCCCACTAAAGGCTAAGGGCCAAAATATCAGTAAATCTCTCTACGTTAGCAAAATCCTTTCCTATACAGTTCAATTTTAGTGCCCATTTAAACAACAAAAAGAGACTCTCAGGTACTGATGCCGAAACTTCTACACTTCTGGGCATGTTGTTTGAAGACCGATTATCGCGAACTCGGGTTGAATTTTAATCCGGGTTATCTTTTTCTTTCGTTCAAAACATTTTCCCGGTCAATTTGAAGTAGTCATTTTAGAGCGGCCAAGCATCAAATTGTAGGCAAAAAGAATTAAAGGGAATTTTCTTTGTAGGCGTTTATATTTGAATTCTATTTTCGCGCTAATCGTGGGTTATCTTATCCTACCGGCTTTGTACACTGGGCCGGCCCTGGTGGATTGACTATAAAGACAGGCTCACCTCTTTCATATGACTACAGATTTACTGCATTGTAAATGTCACTTCCTTCATTTAAACAGTGAAACTTGCCGCTCTTTCATGAACTGTGAAACGGTAAAAGCATTTTGGTTTATATAGAGAACAAACTAACAGTGATTCCCGAAATAACGAACTCCTATACTCCTGAGTAACGAATGACACTCGTTACCTCAGTAATAGTCCAATTATCAGTATGGTATTGGACTCCCATAACTATAACGTACCCGTCTCAGTTAAAACCAATTCGTTATACTGGGGCCAGTTTCACTGTAGTTGACTGAAATGTATTTTCATGCTTAACATTAACGTAGGCATTTTTTGATTGCCCTTGGCAGTTAAAAATTACAGGGATATTTACATCGGGTTGGTTTAAAACAAATCTCCTCATTGCTCGGCAGAAGGCGTTAGAAATCAAATTGTCAACTACCGAAAACAAGGCTGGTGATTAATTCTATAAAGGGGCTCTTTTCAAAATAAACTGTAGTGATTTGTCGGTGGGGAAGTAAACATAACTTTGACTCAATCTGACAAAGGGCTAGTGCTCAAAACTTCAGATGTACTTTATCAACTCAGTTGATAATACTAAGTTATTCTGCGACGAATAATTAGGCTCAGTTGTGCTGCAAAAGCGCCTAGAAAAGGGAATTCATTATTGGCTGTGGATAAACCATCAACTCATGAAACACAAAGCTGGCCAAAAGTACTTGGCACTTGTTTTTATTGGGGAATCGTTGTAGGTTAGGTTGAGCATGTGAATAATTGTATGAAAATCTTCAGATGTTGTTGAAGAAGATGGGATGTCTGCAGTGGAATCTTTTGCTGAAAGCAACAGAGTGGCTTCAGGTGAAGTGATATAAATAAACCGCTGCAAGAAATCCTCCATCTTTCTGTTTATGCACACTAAACGACCGTAAACGAAATTCCTAAGAATGTCTCCTAAAAGATACCCTCGATAACGTAAATGCATAATAGTAAACTGCATGCACTACTAATTTTGCTCCGAAATAATTATATTAATAGACAATTCATTCACTTAAATTTAATCATCAGTCTGTATGTGGTGTTAAGCAATGTGATTCTTTTTTAAATATTTTTTTATTAATGATTTTCTGAACTTTACATACAAAATAAAAGTAGAAAAAAAGGGGAAAAAAAACAAAAATATTTAGTGATAAAAGTCTGTGATCAAGTAAAGCCCACACAGTCACGCTCACATTGTAACCACACAGAAAGCAATTACGGCAATACAGTATCCTAGTGAGCAATGTACAATATCTTCAAGTTTAATTACAATAATAAGGAAACTTACAATATCAATAAATTATCGGAAACGGCATTGATTAAGTTTCCCTGTTTTTTAGGTGAGTTTTTAATTTTAGGATTCTACTTAATGTATTACGTATATTAAAGACTGCTGCATCGACTTTCTTTGGAAGACTTGTTAAGATAACTTGGAACAAATATCTGTGAATCAAAGCCAGAAGTTACAAACGATTCGTTGACCAACTCTAGGAAAACTAAAAGACAGCAACAGACAACTGTACAACTCGACGTGTATTGTGGTGGTTGAGGAAGGATCGAAACCAGTTACCACTTGTGTTTAGAGTCTTCATTGCCGATAACATTAGGCTTAACTGACAGACGACCAATAGCATTGCGAATTAAATGATCAACTAGGTCAATAACCGGAGTTTAATACCGCATTAACTGACGATACATGCACAACTCACTGTGACTCTGGCGCAGTGACGACTGCCGCAGAGGTTATCGAAACGTCAGACACTCTTCACAACACTTTTACGGAAGAACATACTCAAACTCTTTTTGCTAACATGACTTCCAAGTTCAAGCCATTTATAATGTTAAAATAATTCGGTAAATTGTTTATATTCGAGAGAACGGCCAATAGCATAAATCCAATTTGTTTGTTTGTTTTTTAAATCCTACGCTGTCTTAATAGTTATTGATATAAACACGCTTCTCTAAACTCACTGGTGCGCATGCACGATATAATAAAGTCTGTTATTAATTCAAGATTCCACCTGTTTGTGTAACATGGCGAAAGGTCATTGCACAAAGAGTACTACAACCGCACACGGAATTGAGACTGGTCAGAAGTCATATTTGATTCTTTTTTCATGCAGGCACTAGTGAGGGAGAGGACAGCAGCAGCGAAGATTCAAAGACGAGTACAGAAAAAGGAGGAGAGAAGAAAACGGCAAGAGATTCGGACAAACTAGAAAGACATGGCCATCACCAGCCTATCATTGGTAAGATATAATAATTCAAATGATACAGGCTATAGAGACAAATGATGTTTGGGCTTTTAAATGCTGTGCCAGTTGAAGAACATAATTTGGGAGGCCGGAGCGAACCTCAATGTGAGCACAGTTACTCATGGGTAACAGTGGCACAAGTGTTCCTATTACAGCTGGCAAGTTGGCCGCCTGTTGCAGTTGCTGCTACAAGTCCACATTCGATGGGTACGAACTAGTATTGGGACCTCATTTTGAGCCGTATTTTGTGCCGCTCCTATCAGGGGAAGCATTGTAAGAGTACCAAGAATGTACTCTCTTTTTTATCTCCTTTTTTTCTCAAAATAGTTCAATAAAAGCGATTAAGAGAAATTCGTCAGTAAAGCTTTTTCATTACTCGTTATTACTTATTTTGTACGTAGGTCCCGCTCTTCTGCATCGTCTGTATGGAGTGGCAGCCAGCTCCCGGCAAGGAGATCAGAATGATGACAAAAGAAAGGTTGAAGCGGAGAATTCTAGGACTGAGAAGTATCACCCCAGAACACTGCTGTTTAGTGGACCCCCACAGGTACGCTGGCGGGTAGCAAGTCAGTCATTTGATAGTTCACAAACTGCGGTCAAACCTGTATTAAGCGCTCGATCGATCACCCATGGGGAATGAGTTACTGACTGAAGCTTAATAAAGGTTTCACATACCTGTTATAAGAGTTATTGACGAAAATGATGACAGTGAAGGAGGAAACGACAAAATGACGTCAAAGTCTTTCTTGTGGCAAAAGGAGGAAATAAATTACCACTAAAGGCCACACACACTAACAGTTGCACTGGTATGATTGATCTCGGCAAAGTGCCCTTTTAATAATCATGAGGGCAATGAAAAGAATCTCGTTGGGAGCTCGGAAAAGGTGCCGCCATCGCTATCAGTTTTACAGTAATTAAGAGAAATGATTTCCTGGACCTTAGCATATAAGTGACCACTTGTTAAAGGGTTACCGTTAAATAGAGGTTCGCTTAAAGGAACTGCAGTGTCACAGCTGTCTAGTTCATTTTGTTATTATTGCTAATTACACGTCCTTATTTACAATGGAACTTGACGATAGCAAAGAACTTACTTGCAAATGATAAAATCACTGCTTCATGTCAAAAAAATTGTCTCCTTAGCATTATATCAAAAGTGACTGACAAAAGGAATGATCTTTGAAAAACGGTTAGGCTAACAAGGTTTTAAGAAACACAATTGCAATCCGTTTCAGTCCTCTTCACGTTTGACCATTCGTGCCTCCTATTGTATGTGCTGTGTTATTTATATCTTCTTTTAAAGTTTTGGGCTGTTATTTTTATGTTTCATGCAATTTGGTGGCGGTTTCCACTGTTTCGTTACACAGCTCCTGTAAGACAGGTTTGACTGTTCAGCAAATAAATGCTTTCTCGTTCTGATAACTATATTCTACTTATTCACCATAACAGGTGGGTAAAACTCACGCCTACCTTCATTTCATCCGCCTTCTGCACTTAACAGTCCAGAAACTACGCCGTGTGGACGTGTACAGTGAAGTCCTGTCTTCCCCAGGGGAAAGCTCTATACAAGACAATTCTAGCTCTTCCGGAGATGAAGCCGACAAAATGACGTGGCCTGTGTACAAAGAAATCTCAAAACTTCCACTCAGTTGTGTGCTAAAAGAGCACAGATACGTCAGCACCAGCAAGCTTCGGATACACCCCTCCTCCGGACACGCCACGTCCGGTGACGTTCCTACCCAATCAACGTCCCTCAAACGGTCGCTAAGGAGACCAACTTCTTCTTTGAAGCTTTCTTTCTGGGCTGCGTATGATACTTACCATCACTGCGACGCTTGCAAGAACTATCGGGAGGACAGAGGACCCAGTACCCCTCTAAGCTATTTATTCGCTCTCCAAGGTGGTGAGAAGCTGAGGTTTTTGATTCCACATCGCTGCTTACGGAGTTTTACTTTCACGAAGGAGAAGCAACTTCGCAGTCTTCGACTGCCCGTGGTGCTGACCGGAGGGAACGGGGAAGTGATTAAGCCGCTTAAGACAGAGTCTACTGTAAGCGATGAAGATGCAGTTGGTGTGATAAAGAGCCCAATCATGATGCCGAGTACGGGCAGACATGAGTATGGTGAGACCAATCACACAGTTGTTACACATAGTACAGACGTCACGTCTGAGCCAATAGAATTTAAAATTCTTTTCATGGTGATAAATGAAGTTTATCACGACAGTTATAACCAGGTTTTTTTATTTCATTTGCCTACTGACGCATCATCTCATTGGTGGCCGCTTATTAGAGGTGACAACAATGAGAGAACTCCTGTCGGGGTGGCCGATAGGTGGCCGGTTAATAGCCGTTTAATTTACAATTCTTTCTTACAATTGTTTCGGATGTTTGATCGCTGGCTGCTTAATAGAGGGTGGCCGCGTAATGGAGGTTCAGTTGTTTTTGACCACTTCATTCATTTGAGGTAAAGACAAGACAAGTTGTAAAGACCTTATATTCGATGCTCTAGTTTGCTTGAAAGTAGAAGTTGTGCAAGAAACGATCAGTTTTTCTTTTTAGGTCTTCTAAATCTGTATCATGCCATGGAGGGTGAAAACCATATCCTGCTTGTGTTTGTTAAGCACCAAGAAATGGCTTTGTATCACAAGGCCTGGCCTAATCACGTGATTGTCGGTCTACCTTCGAACGCTGATAATCTGGGCCTGGGTGCGGCTCGCTATTACATCAAGGTATGTTTAAGTTGCATCCTGTTCCGTAACTAGTACAAAAAAAATACCAATCGTTAATCGTGTCATGAAAATCTGTTTTACAAAGTTTCTGTGCGTAAAAGCCGAGGAAGTAAGTCTTAACGCTTGTTCGTTTGCTGGTTGTTCGCCTTAACAAGAGCTGAATTTATAAAACAAGGCTGACATTGCTTCAGAAGATTTAACAAGCTTGCGCTTGCCTGTAACGTGTTAACAAGATTTGTCATGTCCTTTCATACGATTTTTTTCACTCGTGGGAAATATCGTCACCGTGATATAAATACCATTTGATATCATCAGTAGTCTTTTCGTCGTTTGTAATTAATTACTTAATTTTCTTTTTCATTTATTACTTTATTACTTATTTAGGAGTTTGCCACAGAAAATTGGCTTGTGGAGCGAGATCGACACGGAGTTGAGAGTAGGCATGGTCAAGATGTGTGGCCGTTTATCTTCATGATGGATGATTCATGTGTTATGTGGCAAAACCATCTTCTGAAACAATCCGCCAAGAAGTAAGTTCTTCTGTACACATATTGTTTTAAGGAAGCTGTGCAAAACTCAGTTTATTCTAATTCCTCAATAAGAACACGCAGGCTCCAACACCTCTAGAACATTTTAGCTTGAAGGTGATGTTACACGGAACGGTTCGCAACAACGATTTTTAGCGCAACACAGCTTTGCAATGCTAGAGCAATGTTGTAACCATTCGAAACAATGCTGCAACGCTATGTTACGCTAAAAGTCGTCGTTGCGACTCGTCTCCTGTGACATCACCTTTACTTGACGCCGCATCACACTTGAGTAACAATCTAACCTTTTGATCTATTTGAGTACTTAAGTATTTCGTCTTCACCTATCCTTTCAGTCTTTCATTAGCTAAATAGCTCTCTTTTCAGTAGTCGTTGGGGAGGTGTTTGTCTTTCGAAAAGTTCGAGAGACTAAAATTATGGGTAGATATTACAGGGTCCATTATTGGTGGGTTGTCAGCTGTTTCGGAAAACCAGTAACTTGGTTCCCGGGCCGCAAAAGATGTGCAACAGATCACTTGAGTGCAAAAGAGATGCTATGACATGTTGCTGTGTTTTCTTGTGTCTTCAGGGAGGAATCTTCCAACAAGGAATTTGACGTATCTTCCAGTGTGATGACCTCCTTGGTAAAGGTTATTCAGCACCTAGAAAATACACCAGATCTGATGAAGTATGGTATGTTAGGTCTGCAGCAATACAGCACAGACTCGGCTACCAGCTTGGTGCACAATCAAGGCTCCTTTACACACTCTCTTTTACACACCTCTGTTATGATGAACCTAGACAAGCTTCAAACCGTCAAGTATGACAAGCACAGGTATGTAACTCGTTTAACCTCAGCACATGTAGACTGGACACATCTAGACTATACTGGCCCCGATCGTTCAAACGTTGGATAGCGCTGTCCAGCGGTTAAGTGTAAGGGAAACCAGTTGCGTTATTCACTGGATAGAGATGTACCCAGGGGATAGCGCTATCTACCTTTTGAAGAACTGGACCCTGCTTAGTGTATCCTCTACGACTAATATTTACCCTAAAACATTACAACCATCTCAGGTAGCAGAAAACAGCAGTTCTCTAGACTGCATGAAGTTAATGAACTATCCGTCCCCGTGCCTTTGACGTTAAGTGCTGTGGTAAGTTGTTAGAGGACCAAACCTCAAGAAAAGTTGGTCGTTTGGGCTTTAGGGGATGGGGTACCTTTTTTGTAGGCGGGGCTGGACCAGTGATCTATACGGGGAAAACATTTTCATTTTTCATTTTTTAAGCGTAGAAAACCGGTTGAGGCAACCTATCACTGCACCACTGTCTCTTAGCCTTCATGGGAAACCAGCAATTCCTGTTGTTCCGTCTATGCTACAGTCGACAGTATCGTGTTTTGCTATCTTAGTCGGTAATGGAACTCGTTGATAAAACATGTGGGCATCCTATCTCACACAGGTACTGGTGGGAAGATGAGAATTTCAGTTTAAAGGTACTAGCCAACGGAATTCACACCTGCCGATTTAATCACCTGGTTGTCGCTAAGAAGTTCATAGAGACAGGGGGAAACACCTCATTTAAAGAGGAACCAGCTCAGAGCGCTGAAGGCAGAACAGACCTGCTACCGGGGGATAATCTAGTGACAGCACCTGACAGAGAGGATGCATCTTACCTCTCAGCCCCAGCATACTACCTGTTGGAACGTTACCTTGAGCTCATGGGTGCCAACAAACTCTTCCCTGTTACCGCAGCTCACCCCGAACATCCAGTTCTTGTGGTTGACTGCTATGTTAATCTGGGGCCCAAGCTTACTGTGGAATTTGTTAGTTCAAAAGGATGGGAAAAAGACAAGAAGACCGATACTAGGAGTAATACTAGGTAAGTTTGTATTGGATCAGCGCTGAGGCTTTATGATTGACGATGACTGAAGATTGAGCATAGTGAGATCTGACGCACCGTAAACTTTCAAATGCTAATTGCCATTTCAGCTATTACAAATTTACCCTAGAAAAATTTTGGGACTTCAACGGGATTCGAACCCATGGCCCATTTTTTTCGGGTTTATTTCCAATTGCTTAAATTGCGATTACCACGGCGACGATCTTATCTTCATTAAAATTCGTATTTCCGCAGTTCACATCTGATCATCTTCATACTGTAAACTGCTGCTCTTAACATCCTCGTAGGGGTTCTTAGGGTGGCTTATAAACGGAGGGGCTTATAACAGGCGCTTAGAAAAAAATTGAAGTATTGCTGATGAAAATATGTTTTGCATTTACTGGTGTTTAATTAAACTTCAACACGTCGTGATAAATCGAATTCATACATTTGGAGAGGGCTTTGTAATCGGTTTGCGTGTGTGTGTGCAGGTAAATGGGCCTATAATTGCGGTGTGCGGGCGGGGGCTTAAATAAAAGAGGCAGCTTATGTCATCTTACTGGGCCTGGTTAACCTGTGCGCAAACGCGCTTCATAATTGCAAGGGCAAACGCAAATAGGTGTCAAGGTCCAAACACAAAGCAATTACAAGAAAATGTCGGTGTGGTTTGTTTTTCACCTGAAAATAGGGAAGCCACTTAAAAGGCAACCAAAACCAACCCTAACACGCAGTAAACAGATATACTCCCGGTTTCCTTTTTCCTCTTCTTTTTTTACGTTGTCCTGGTCTAAGTAACCGTCGTCGTGTCGTCTTGTATCACCCCTCTTCGGGGTCCTCCTCATTTGAGGAGAAGTGCTACCGATGAACAGGGCTACTCGAAAATGAATTTTGATAATTGAGTAAAGCAAACGATTGCGAGTTAGAATTATCCATGTCTCCCAAACAAAGAAATAAATTGACCAAGTCGAAAAAAAAAAAATCTTACTATCCAGGCACTAAAAAGATAACTTCGAGCCCTGGATGAATGTTGTAAACTTGGTGCCTCTGAGACAAGAAACAAACACATCCAGGTACACGAGATTCTCAAGGCAGCTTTCACTCTATAGCTAGATTGTTGACTCTCCTGGGTAAAAATTCTTTATTCTATTAGTCTTTAATAAATTAATTAAATTGTTAATTTATTTACTGATTTTCTTTAGTTACGGTGGCTTATTGCTTTATTTCTGCGATCGTTCAGTGACCAAGCAGTTTCTTGCACAGTTTAATTTCGCTCCACGCTCTCGTCTTTGTATCGTCTGCCAAGACCGTAATACTCTTAGACAGGAAGTGGCCAGGCTGGACTTGGAAGAATGGTGGCGTTTCCGGTTACGGGATGAGCTTCAGACTGCTAACAGCCCGGACGAACCTGCGCTTTACTTCCTCACCGGAAAACACGATGACTAAAAAAAAGCAGCGAGTTAACACAGAAGCAGCAGGGAGGAAAAATTCCGGGCATTTGCGGATCGCTTCGAATGCCCTAGATGTCACACCTACACGATACGACAGCCTCCGAAGATTTCCGAACGGCTGTTCGGTACCGAAAGCTGTCAGTCAGAAGACATGCGTTAATGTTCGTCAAAGATTTACCGAGCAAGACTAGGATGCTGCGGATTTATTTTTTGCGGCAAGTTCAAAACATTTGATGAACACAACGGTATAAAGGGTATGAAAGACAGAGTGTAAATGAAGTAAATATTTATAGAGAGAAAAGTTGTATTTTAAGTGCTTTAACCTCTTAACAGCGATTAACGGAAAGTTTTATTGAAGGTACATAAGTCTTAAGTGTGCAGGAAAAATATTAACGTTGTACATTCAATTGAAAACTAATGAGCAGTGCGCGCATTCCTGTCGTACTGTTTATCAGGCTACACAAGTTGGCTCTCCATTCATCTTTAACCTGTAAACTGAATAGTCTTTTCATCCCTCTCCAGCTTCGAGAAATCTATCCGGGCAGGTAGTCTGACGACATTCATGTTGTACAGACCTGACCCAGTTGACCAAACACAACGAGAGCGAAAATAAAACAGAAATCACCTGACAAATGGCCGACTCATTCATCAATTTATTATGAAGTGATCCACTTATGATAGTTGAACATGTGTGCACTCACAAGTGGAGGATTCGTACAAAGATGCACCAATGTTGGACTGTGAACAGGCTCCATACAGAGAGCCTGTTCACAGTCTACACCAGGGTCAGCCACATGGTACTTGTGCGCAGGGTACTGTACAGAAGAGCGGTACGGGGGACAACAATTTTGTCAAATGGAAATAGAAACCGATCCAAGGGCTGGACTGGACCAAAATGTTCCCTTCACTTGATTTCTAATATTTTCTGAAACGACTTTTTACTGCCTCTTACATTACTTTCTCACGCAAAGTAAAACTATTGATCATCTTTAGTTTCCGTTGGACAACCTTCATTAGAATAGGTTTAAACCACACCACGTCTATACGTCTATAAAATTTCATCGACAAGGTCCAAAATTTTAACCATACTTTGCACACTTGAAGTTCAATTTATCCCTTGCCTTAAACAGTCAATGCAGTGGTTTTGTAATGAACTGTACATTCCGTGAGGAGGTCAAAATAGACGATCGTACTTTTCCTTGTGCTGATATTGAGAGCCAATGCAGTCGTCGCGGGGAAAACTCCATGGCAAAGCTGTTAAAGAATTCCGTGTCCAGGCTCTCGCGTAGTGTGCAGGCTGAGATCTTAGTTGCCTGGAAATGAATTTGAAACCCATTGTTGGTAAATAAAGAGAGACATACGAGAACCGTACGACACAGTTGATATCATGTGATCACATGCCGTTGTAGTTCTGTCGTCTTCAACTGCGTTCAATATTACTGAAACAGTGTCACCTGTCCTCTGCGGAAATGCAACTGTAAATAACCATTTAATTTTTTTTCTTATTTTAAATGTAGCCGTTCTATCAATATTTGTAATACTAAAGATATCAATAGATTAGTTAATTAAAATAGAAACTTTATTTAACCGATGAAAATGACAAAACAAACTAGTACTCACTGAGGTAATAATATTTCCTCGGTTGTCTATGCCGACATATAAACCAGCTTCTGCAGCCCACAGGGTTGTCATGTTAGATCCCACAGAGTCGAGATGAAACACAGCTGATAAGAATAAAAAAGAAAAGAAACAAATAATAATCCAAAAAGGACCAGTGCCCAAAGAAATTTCAACTTTTGCCGTTAGTTGTTTTCAGTTTTTTATTAAATGTAGCGCATAAAATATCAGCAAATGGAGACAGATAACTGAGATGTAATGAACCAATCAGAAATCGTTAAGTGCGCACAAAGCGCAGTCTTGTGCCCAGATTCCTTATAATAAGCCTCTGGGTCATTTTTTTACCGTGCGGTCGCCTGAACTGAGGGCTTCCGGGGACCGCAGATTTAATGCGCCGAACAAAAGTGAACGAGAATGAATTTAAAATATTCGGCTCCAGATGAACGTCTCTGTTAGAATTTTTCGTTACTAACCGTTGTTAAGTAACGACTGTCTAACTTTTTCCACAAAGAAAATGAACTCTCAGGAGTATGCAATGAATCAGTCATTTGACTTTGCACAAGGACATTTAAAAGAGATGACCTAAAAAGTCGTTCATGTTTTCTCTTATTGTGTGTAAGGCAGTCTAAGGTTAAAACCATCCTCTAATTTGTAGAGGTAAGCAGCAGAAAATCTAACGAAAGCTAAAGTTTCGGTAAACCGACGTTGCGCGTTTTACCAGCCACGCTTAAACCTGTTAACACTGAACCTGATTTGTTACAAGACAGGTTTTATGTGGGTGGGAAAACGCGCAAAATCGCTAATGTTGCAAGAGTAAAGTTGTCAGTAATGTTGCAAGACAAGTTGCGTGTATCTTGTTGTTGCCCATTTTTCCGTACCTTATAAACTCCGGCTCAAGCGTTTATTAAACTTCCCACGAAGATAGCAACTGCTATGCCTATTATTAACAGTTACAGTGAGTCAAGCTGGTCAGAGCATTGTCATATGCCACAAGAGATATGTTTATCGCTGGTAAGCCAAGTTTATGGCTTGTGGCTTCTGCGTTGTCATGAATGTCACAAGAGCGACGACGATACCTGACAATTTATAGACTAAAAGTAAAGTAATAAATAATAGTGATAATACTATTGCCTTTATGTAATTTGTTACTGATAAAAATATTGCAAATGCCGGGAAAATAGAGATTGTTGCGGCTATAACAGGGATGATCGAACTGTACGAGATTTCTGATGTGCTCAGGATTTTATTTAAAATTTAATGTGTACTAATTGCAAATTTCATTTGTTCGAATTCTGGTAAAAGAAAACTTATTTTTTCTGGACTTTTTTCCCTTACTTCTGTTTTAAATTTTCTTGATGGAGCTTTCAGGGAGCAACTTGATTTCAATGCATGAGCATTAAACCCGCTAAGAAAACCCTTTCCGCAACCTGCTATATTTTTCTTAATAAAGAGATTGCTGGTTGATTTTGTCCTTTTTTTTCCTCCAAATATCTCTTACTCTTTTGCATATAATATATACAAAAGAAAATACTAACACTACTTTTCACTCACTGTAAATGCTATCATGGTTTTTCGTTCCACGAACTGTGCCATCTGGGCGAACTTCTAGGTAGTGTCCATTCCTACACTGAATCTTCCTTTTCCTCGGTAGCAAAGTTGTCGAAGATTGTAACTGGTAAACCATCGAAACACTCGCGTATGAGATTTGCTGAACTATTCTTGTTGTGTTTGGGATAAGGGGTCATTGGAATGGGCCACTTAATTTGTGCGCAAGAAAAATATAGTTGATGGGGTATCACTTTAAATGCTTTCTATATTGTGTCTTAAAACAGCTGATTTAGTCGTATTGTCCACTGTATTGGGTATTTTCACGATATGATCAATACAAGCTGAACTACTTAACCACACTTTCAACCAAAACCTTGTTACAAATTCAATTAATCGTAATTCAAGCATATTTTCATAGTAGAAACGAGCTGAAATTACTGTAATAGAACCAACAGGAGTTTGATCCTGGGGTATTCTGGAACCACAAATCAATTTTATACAAGAAATTACCCGCTTATGCGAATATTTCGTTCCTGCATATGTTTTTCATACGCCGGCGGTGATTTAAAAAGTATAGTACTTAATGTTATGCCGATCCAAATCGTCGCCAGTCGTTGCAATGCAGCCAAAAACAAATTTTACGGAAAGTCAGATATATCACCCCAAGAGAGGTTTATCCTCTCTTGCTCACCCATTGTTTTCAGTTTTAGATAAATTGTAACTTATCTAAGAAGTAAAAATATATTTTTCATTGAAACTCTATTAACTCAGTGGATAATCCTAAAGCCGAAATTTACACCCAGCAAGTCAGCAAGTCAGGCGCAACAGTCGTCATTTCTTTGTAGTTTAAAATATTTCTGCCGATCCTCTCTTTTTTGCCGCTAAAATAACAACACTCTCCGCTCCTTCCCTATCGAGTCACTTGCTGCTTATTCTTCGCTCACGCTTTCATTAGCCTGTGTACAGAAGTCCCCCTCCCCTCTGAAAAAATCGGCGAGAGATTTTTTTCTGAGGGGATTAGGGTGTCTGTACACAACAGTATGTACATACGTACCGATCCGCTTAATAATATCAGCCGCTGTAAGAAAAAAAAAAACAGCATGACGCCGACTTCATCACGTTTATCAATTCTTTAAATACCCTTTTGGGTGTTTAAAACTCTTGAAAAGCACTCAAGAAAGTTTCCGACCCTTGTTAATTAAATCACCTCTCAATGATTTTGCTTGTGTTCTGACAAGTTTGAGGTTATAAAGCTTTAAATGGAATCGTTGAGATTACAGACCACCCGATACGTCAAAGTCTGCAGAATAAAAACATAACGGAGCAGAAATAATCGAGTTCATGTGTTTAATATTCAAGAGGAAGAAAAGTTACTGTAACATGGCTTTTGGACTTTGTTGTGACGCATAACCAGTAGTTGAAGCCGTAAGTTGTTTTATATACTGTACTGAATCCTACGAGAAGTGAGTTTCGCATCTTTCTCTTGTTTTATCATAGACAGTTATGAAGCTTAGACATCATATAGTGCAGTTCGCATTCATATCTGGGACCTTAAGATCCGATGACGGCGACGGCAAAGAAAACGTCAGAAAAGCAATTTAAGTTTCTTAACCAAACCAACAATTTTGCACGTGCATCACGCTTTTTTGTACATTTCTTTGCGGTCACTGCACGAGCACGACGTGAAAATGCCTCATTTCACGCTTTACAGAGGAAGTACACATGCGACGACGAAATTTCCTCTCTCATTCTGGTTCTTGGGAATTCAACTTTAGGAGGGTTTACCTACGTTTGACAAAGCTAGTGGCCACGAGTTAAGTATGAAAGAACGAGAATTCACTATTTCAGCAACGTCTTCGCTGCTGTCGCCGTCCTCGGATCTTAAGGTCACTATTGTATCAAAAGACACGTGGAAAGTTTGCCAAACTTTTATCAAAAAACTCATCTGTCCTGAGCATAGATTCAAAAGACAGACCCGGCTGATATCTGTGACGCCACTGCTTTTACCACCAGCCGATATATGTCGTTGCACTCGTGCGATGAGATTCTTAATCATCAAGGAAGGAGGCAAGCGTATAAAAGTCTTGGAATAAAAAATGAAATTGGACAAAACTAAAAATTATCACACTAATATACTTATGAACTGTTCTACCAAAGCAAGACCAAAAAATGACGTCGTCCGATTACTGTATTGTTCGAGACTCAAATCTCTTTTGTTCAATTTCTTTCTCAGTTTGGTTGAGTATTTTTACGAAGAACAAGTGTAAATATTTTAGTCACTGATAAGCAGATTAAAACATGATTATCCTTATCATATGCCTCTTTCGACCGGATATTAACTATTTGACGAAACGACTTTATAAGCTTGCGATGATTGATGCGTTCGTTTCTCTTATTTCTCATTCTCCCAGCTGCTATCAGCCATGCCAATATTTAATGCCTTCCAAGACGATGTACATATCCTCCAAGACTGAACAAGACTCGAAATTTTCTTGAGAGTTCAGTTTCTTTTTATGACAGTCATGATATGTACGGGGCATTTTTAAACGCATTAAAATACCCTTGCACCTCCTATTGAAACTAAAACGAAAAGTACCTGTTCTCTTTTGTCATTCTAGTCGTTATAAACAACCAGCTTTTCTCAAGCTTGCGACCACTCTTTGTAAAAGAACATGACCAAACATTTTGCCATCAACGACGGTTGAGCCATCGAAAACTCACCATGTTAAGTCCATACATAAATATGGCACTTTGGGTTCTAGTAAAGATAAGATCTTTCGAGTCGTGAGATAAAAATCATTCACTAATATCAGTTATCTTTATTATTGCTATCTGAGTACTATGTCTGTTCTTGCTTTCAGCTGCAGTCGGTTTTCCCCCTCAGTTTTGTTGAGTATTTTTACAAACAACAAGTGTAAATATTTTCCTTACTGATAAGCAGATTTTGCAGTTCTCGTTTTCAGCTGCAATCGCCGGCTTTAGTGCTAGGATACTTGCGTGGTGATTATTCTTAGGTTACATCAAGAGGGGATAACCCGCGATAGGAACCATCCGGAAGGGGCAGGGGAATCCACTATACAGATGAAGAGTAATTTTTTTGTACTCAGTAGTGGGGCTAATCTGGAGCGGCACACCCACACTGGTTTTCGTTTCATGAGTGTTTTTCGAAAGTATCCGACGAGCACGGCTAACTTCATTTATATAGGGGTTGTCCGGGGAACGTACTTCACTGCAAATCAAATCTTGGCATGCAAGAATACCGTTAAAAACTTCTGATCATACCACTGAGGGTGCTGACGGTGGCTAAACAAAAGAACACTTCTGCAAAGAATTAAAAGAGAAGGTTATATCACGGTATTCACTGAGTAGCCAACAGGATTGCGTTCATTCACTTATAAAGTTTCTTGGAGCTTAACTAAAACAGTTCAGAACTGAAGTGTTTGGAAACCGGGAATACTGAGTGTTTGGATAACTGTAGAGTCCTATGAATTGTTAACTAAAGCAACTCCTATTTATTTTTGAGAGATGAAACTAAATTTACAATCATCCGACCATTTTATCAATCCTGTTACTGACTGCCTTAACATATCAGAACTGATTGGATCAAATTCGAAGTCTTGATTAAAAGATCAGACACAACATACTGGAATTAGTAATGAATATATGTATTACAAAAATTAGGTTAAAAAAAGGATATCAAAAATAAAACTAAAAAAATTTCTATTTACAGAAGCCCGCTTAAACCGTTCAGTTTTCACGGCTCTGGGGGATGAAGTCATGGCTTTTATGTCAAACGGCTCTATTGCGTTTGGGTAGAAACAAGTCATAAAACACATGACCAGTGTCAGTAGTGATTGTGTTTAACAGATCACGGTCCGTATTTGCTTTGAGAGGCAGAGCCCCACACTTCTAATCCATACAGCAATAATGACATTATCAAGGATTCGAAGAGTGCACTAAGCTGATCTAATTCCCCGGCTAATTCTTGGGAATCAGCTAGCGTTGACGTAATCTTGTGTCAGTTAACTGTAGAAAAAGGCACGGCAACAGATAAAGCGGCCTGATGAAGAGTTTCCGCTGGCTCAGCTATTTTTGTAAAGCTGAACATGAAATGGAAGAAATATGCAGATCTCAGAGGGTGTTAGCAACCAAATTAGTTTTGGTGGAAGACACATATAATGGATTAAGGGAAAATGAAGAAAGTCAGGTATATTGGTCGTTTACATGATCACGGGCCGATCTACCCTCTATTGCAATACGTGATCTGGCTATTTTAGGTTGTGAAAACCAGAAATAACGAATTACCGGGGGAAATCGATTTTGGTTCGAGTTAGCGCGAGGTTCAGCAAGGGTTGGAGTTATCGGGAGTCGACTGTATGTATAATCAGTTTTAAAGCTACTGTGCTGTATTGACTAATCTGTTACCCCTTGTTGACTTCAACTTTTTCTAATGCTCCTTGATGCTGATTGCGTATTCTCTCATGGTTAAACTGGCTGCAAATTAGTTTCTCGTTTTTGGGGTTGCTGCTGTTTGTAATTTGCCCTTGCTTATGCTGGTTGTATATTTTGCGCTTTCCTGGTCGGTCGCTTCCGAGTTTATTTGTAGCTTTTTTTGCGAATTTGATTCTGATTGCGTTCTCGGGTTCTCGATCAAGAGTCGCCACAGAGCGCCCAGGAGAGCTTGCTTGCAGGCGATGCTTTGTGCCGCGAGCGTGGTCGCAGATTTTGTTGGTTTGTGGTGTTTGTTGCATGTTTTCTTCTTCATAATGCCCTATTAGGTTGCATGTGTGCTTGGTACCGGTTGAATGCTTCTAGGCCTTGCTTTGGTGGTATGGTCGCATCAGTTTTACCCGATTTATCGAGCTGGTAGCTTTTTTCCCGCGCGAAGTGCCAATTCTTTCAGTTTCTCCATTCTTGGTCGGTTGGACTGGTCGATAATACGTTTTCTCGGTTGATACTGATTTCTTGTTCCTCCGGCGTGATCGTTGCAAATCCCTTGCTTGGTGTTTGTTGCATATGTTCCAGTAGTTGGTGCTGACATTGGTGCTTGGATGATACCGCTGAGTACACAGGCGTCCCAAACTGAATATTAGCGGATGTATTAATTTTTCTGAACATGTGCTCCGTTATTGAGTTTGGGAGCCTGTGCTCAGTGCACCCCCAGATTATGAACTGCGCTCTCCTATCATCGAACACAATAAGACCGTGCAGTCCACATTTTTAAGAACTGAGATCACTTTAGCCTTCTGTCGAAAACGGTCCCTAGAGGGGAGTTTTTTTTAAAACACCGGTTTATCGTTTTCTTGTGGACGGACGAAATACGGAGGTTTTTTAATACGATGATGTCATGCATCATAGAGCGCATGCCCTATTCGAATACGCTGCGCGTGGGCGCGTACTTTTTCAAAAACGGAGAAACCTCCGTTTTCAATTTCAAAAATTGAATATCCAGATACGTGTGAACGTACCCTGCGTAGCTGGCGGTATTGTGTGGGTGCGAGATTAAAGTTTTTCGCCGCTCGTGACGGCCCCGCCGTCAAATCTCACTCGACTATATTACAACGGCTCCGACGCCAAATCTCAGTCGACTACTACACAATACCGCCAGCTACGCAGGCTAGTCTGAAAGAGGCCTAAGATTAATTTAGCTTGTTAAAAAATGACACGTGGTAAGCTAAATACAAATAACACGGACGACAGGCTCCTGTAATAACCACACACAGTGCATCGCAAGACACATAAGAAATTATTCACGGTTTTACACATATTATCTCTTCTTAATGATATCGTCAGATCATCGACAATGTTACGGGTCAGACCTAAAGGGCGTCATTCGAGAATCAAGACAATCTGCCGCTTGTCCAGATGTGAATTATTTTCTTATCAAAATTCTACATCTTCGATTGAAGCTGTTATCCAAGGTATAGACACAAGAACCTTCCAGAAATGTTATCGGTAGCGATGAAAGCAGAGAAAAAATTCATTTAATTAAGGGCAAACAAGAAACTGGAAAGAGAAATCTCGTGCTTTATTTGCAATTGCTCGGCGTGGTCGGGAGGGCAACAGTGAAGCTAGAAACCAATCTTCCCAAACTTGCGCATGTGTTTTGGACAAGTTCCTGCTTTCAACGCTGGTATTCAGTTTTCAAAACATGTGCTGTCCAGAGGATACCTAGTCCGTTGGCTTGAAATTTCCGAGTGGAGAAATGAACAGGACTTGTATTTATAATGCCCATATCCTGAATAGTTAGAACAATTTTTGTTGGAAGATGGAAAAGGACTGCAAGGAAAGCTATATCCCTGATTGTTTTTGTAATAGTAACCCTATCATCTTTTTGTTTTTAGTCGGCTTTCATGCGAATTGTCAAATATCTACTACATAACCAAGATACTTTACGAACTAAGAAAGACTGACTTTTATTCCGCGCGCTTTCTCCGTAATAGACAGAATTGTATAATTCAGGTAAACTACTAAGCCACGGTAACGACTGAAAAAGAATTCTGCCCAACCCTTCTTCGTCATGTAGACCGTGTACACAAAGTAAGTGATCTTATATTTTCCCCTCCATTTCCAGTTTCAAGTTTTCCTTGTGTGTCGTTATAGGTCGTTATACTTAGTAACTAAGCTCGTTATCTATCGTTTAAGTGTCAAGGATGAGTGGCTCAATTTCTCAGTAGAGTTAGAGCGACGGTAACAAAGGTGTTCTCTAAGACGACGCAATACAGCAGCAACAATAGATTTGTCCTGGATTTGCCTGAAGGGGTTCTTCATGACATATTCGCTTTAATATTGAGAAGTATCAATTTCACCCACCTAACCACAAACAAGCCACGAAAGGACCCTCTTCATAGCAAACAGAAACTTTCGCCCTTCAACTCGCTTAGTACAATTTGGTCTCTTTGCGGTGATAGTCAATTTGTTCGCTAGTCTGCATTCCCGATAAGATTATCGGTTCAAAATTGATCCACTCTGGAGTCTGCCGCAAATGCTTTAACAAGGCTCCCACTTTTGCATCTTCGCGAGGATTTTTGAGAACAGAAAAAATGGTCAACAACG